TCCCCCTCTAAAATAAAAAAATTTAAATTCTTGAAAACTGAAAATAAATACTTAGGCCTCAAATTTACATGAAAGAAGAGAGATTGCGTATTCTAATAATCTTTGGTTGAAATTTATGTTGTCTCTCAAAGTATAGCTTTGTGGAAATAATTAGTCTCCATCTGGACAGAAGCTGAAAATTGAGAAAATTTCTCTCTGTGGGACTTACAGATCCATAGCATCCTGGTCTCTTTCATGCTATTTTTCCCTTTTCTTTGTATAGTCACTCTCCTTTTTTCACTGGGTGGATGAATTCTCAAAGTTCCAGTGTGGGACAACCAAATAGTTGCCATTTGGTTAAGGGGGAGAAAAAGGAAAGAATGGAAAATAGCTAAGGGATTAGAGGATCTAACCGGCATAAAAGGATGCTGTGATCCAGTTTAGTCTTAGCAAGGATTTACAACTAGAGAATGCATTGTGTGAACACCTCGATATTTTGCAGGATCAGTGAAAGTGTAAGGAATTTTTGGTCTGATAGCACTGTATGTCATTAATCCTGTGTTTTAAGAAAATTTTAAGAACTCTATTTTTAGTTAAAAATAGTCAAATTCCAGCTGGCAGGCAAATGTTAAGGTTTTTTTTTTGTTAGCAATATAACACAACAATGGTTGTAAATCGTCCTTCCTTTGGATTAAAGCACTAAGTAGGTAATTTACACTCATATTTACTTTCTTAGGAGTTTTTGGTTGGTTGAGACTGCAAAACGAATCAACCAAGGTGGTTTAAATAAGTCTAACATCTGTTAATTTTTTTTAGATTAAAGGTTTCTGTCATTTGAGCAAGAGTGCTGAAGATGTTCTCATGTCTTTTCATATGGTTGTCAGATAATTTTTTATTTGACCATGCTAAGCACCAACATAACTTTAGCATAATTAGTTTGAGAAAACACAAACACATGTATCTGCCTCCTCTGAAAGTATAGTGTTTAAATTTCGGTAGCATATTATCTCAATAGGATCAATTTAAATGCATATTACAAAGTTCATAAAATAATTTTTCTTCAAAACTATAATTATTTCTTGACTTGTGAACCAATGTTCACAATGTCTTCGGTGTAAGAAAGGCAAAGGGTTTGTTAAAAACCTTTTTGTTTTAGTTGAATTTAGAAATATTTGTAACAATGTGAGTTGAACAGTTTTTTTTCTATAGGAATATCAGTGCATCTGGACAGCCCAGCAATGAAATACCCTAAAGCAACAACATGCAATTGACACGGACAACGACCTAATTCGTCTTTGCCCGTGTGTGTCCATCTCACTGTCACTCTAAGCAGGTTTACACCTCTGACCCTGTCAAGAGTGTCAAATAGCTTGTCAGAGGCCTTCAGTGAAGCACAGTGACAGGACCTCTAATGCATTACAGCACGAGTGCCATATCTTCCCTGCCTCAAGGCAGACAGGTGTGCCGTTGAATGAGACACACATGCCAAACACACAAACAAACAGGCACATACACCCACGCAGAGGCACTCGATCAAAACAATGACTTGACAAATTATACGTTTATTAGCAGGCCTGCAAGCCAGATAACTACACCTTATCTTTATAAAATAAATGAAAAAAGGGACATTGATTACCTTCAGAGACTTTGGACTAATATATACACTCAATGCAGCAATGTTTAAAATGCATTAACTATTCTGCAAGTTAGAGGTCATTTTTTGATGGACTTGCCTGGTGGGACTTAGTGGAAATAATTTTCCCATTTGTCAGTCTGGTAGACTCTGCCATTTTAAACCAACTTTCTTTCATCACTACCGACTTTTATATTTATTCCGCTTTCAGTTCATGTGCATGTTCTTTGTCTTTCTTTGACCTCTTTTTTCTCTATTTAGAGAAAAACAGGATATACCTTTGATTCATAAATTCCAGACATAAAAATATCTAACAAAAAGGTGGGTGTGACTTTTCGATACATATTTCTAAGGGTGTTTTGTCTACTAAATTTCTAATGATTTTTATTTTCAGTGTTGTTTTATCAGCTAATAAAGCGATTCAAATAAACAATGTCATGGGAACACATTTGATCTGTGTGTTTAATTTTTTGCACTTACAAGTTACTTTTACAACATTTTAGATCAATGTCCAGATTCTGGTACTATTTCAGTAAAATTTCTCTCATATTTTTTAATAAATGAGAGCCATATATGAGGCTCTGATCATGAGTCATTTCAAGATGTAACTATGAAAAACCTTTTGCTGGTAGATGTATACTTTTAGGTCATTTCACCACATTTCATGACAATAACATAGGCAAAGATTTAAGAAAAGTAGTTCAATTACCAGTTTTGCTAAACATTTGATCTCATTATGGGAAGGAATAGTAGGGTGACAATCAAGACATGTCTCCTAGGATGTGCACTAATAACTGCATACTGGCTGATTAGTAACTCACGTGACCCACATATTTTTTAGTGAAGCTCAAACTGCACTGTAGATCAGTGGTTAAAGCTTTTTTTAGCCTAATATGTTAACTTTTATTAACAGTTGACCTGTTCATATTTTTTGCAAATTACAAAGATGCAACATTGCAAAGGGACACAATGACTTGCACCAACAGATGCTGGTTATATTAAAAGCTTACTTGATGAAAATCAGAAAGCAATTAGGGAGGCCAGTACAGTTCTCATGACCATGCACTGACAGTCAACATGAAAATGTAAAATAAGATCCAATTTTGCAAAAAAGTCTGATACAATGAATTTGATTTCAACAAAATATGATAAATCCTGTGGTGGGCATGCCAGTTTTAATCATGCAACATGTTTTAGTTCAGTCTTGCACCCCTAAGTGCAACAGGTTCACACAATCTTTGAAGCCTCCCCCATTGGGATATAGTTGGATTAAAACACAGAACAGGGGAGGAACAACTCGTAAAAACTTGTATACATAGCAAACATGAAACAACATCAATAAAATCCTTTCAAAGAAAGAAGAAAGTCTTTCAAAGAAATACCTTTATCCTCTCCATTGTTTCATCTTGAAATGGCTCATCATCACAGCCTTGCAGCACACCTAAGGCGAGATTCAAAGAAAGAGAGGCATATGCTGCCTTAAATTTTGCATTAATTAGAATGTACTTTATGGTTTATTAACTGTAATGAAATATCTGCTTCAGTGAAGGTCATGGGAGGATGGTGGGAACTGAAGAGTTGGACTCTGGTAACCTCACAAAAAACCGAGTCATCCTTCAGGAAATCCAGTTCTTTGGCATGGACGATTTGTTCAATGCGTACCCTTGCACCTTGCCAGTATACCCACAACCTCCAAGCCAGTCGTTTTCACTCCTAAAACACTGTCCCTCCTTCACTAGAGGGCCCCATGTTCATTCTGAGGAAATACGTCTTTTGGGAGCTTGTCTCAACCATCTGTCACAGAACGTCTCCGGACATCCACCTCTCGACACCAGTGGTTTGCATAAGTTCAGTGCTAGTTGTGATTGGACAAATTAAAGAATTTCAGATTAAATTTCTTTTCACTATAGCAATCTTGTAGAGAGAACTTAAATTACAGCCTTATTATTAAGATATAACCTTATGATTCTACAAAGAAAGATTTAATGGCCTTTAATTTTTTTTTTTTACAGATTTCATGGCTTCTGATGTCATCCATGTTTTTCTGTTATGTTATTACCTTTTAAACAGTTTGATGATGCTTACACAAGTAATTCTTTTACTCTTTGTTGTCAAAATACTAGGAAACTTTCATGTCATAACAAAAAAGCAAACATTTTTGGACGTACCCAGGGCAGAGTGCAAAATTGTATGTAAATCCCCTTAACGACCTTTTCAAGGCGCTAACAATCACCATACATAGGTGACTGGCAGGCGACACTGGTGCACATTTATCCTTTTGCCCCAGCCCATCATTCTCTTTAGCGCCCCCTACTGTGAGAGGCGTGGGGTAGGATGCCCAGTGGCACTTGTTGCCAATGAAAGAAGCCAGCATGGATCGTCTCATGGCAGCGATACAGGTCGTTGTAATAATGTTCGGTTTGTTTCCTGCTTCACACCACCTTTGGGATTTGGCCCGCCCGATAATCCAGTACATGAGGCGCAGAGGGAGGTATCCCATGCTTGTCCATCCAAGTTCCATCCTTGTTTAGCCCGAACCTAGTCCTTTGTATGACTCACACAGCTGTCTACTGGTTGCCAAAGAGGCCATTTCATAATAAGCTTTTATTATTACAATTATTAAGATAGCTATTAGGATATACAAATCCGAAATGTATTGTTTAACTCAGTGTAATCAGTTTTGCAACTAACAAAAACATATGCACAAAAAAAAACATACGCACAAGCGCACACACTCTTATTCTTTTGCTCTATTTGACACAGACTCACACACACCAGCGTTCCCAAGCCCCTGACTGAGTGTTTTTATCCATGCTAGGCCTTGTCTCAGAGGGGAGTCAGGCCCCTACTGAGACCTTATCCACTTCCTCCTGCAAAGCCTGTTTTGCCCCTTGGCAGCCCTTTTCCATTCAAAAACTTGCTTTAACTCTCATTAACCATGAATATACAATGATTTTGCATTGAGTAACTAAGGAATATTAATAATACCTTGTTTGTTATGATGTAGGTCATTCCCAAATTTGTTAAAGTGAACACGAAGAAGGATTTTGCTTCCAGACAAGGGACATTATGTGAAAGAACTTCTAAGAGTTTTACTGTAGCCGTCCCCCATGATGCTGTGCCCCCCAGGTGGGCATACGAGTTCTGGGAGTGACATTTACCCAGAATAAAAAGTGTTTAAAAAGATAAAAAAAAAATTTAAAAAAAACGGGAGCACAAGGTTATGTGTGTCATTGTGCTTGCATTTGTGTATGCGTTGGAGTAAAAGATTTTAGGCGTGTACCAACACCAGCGGTGCATCAAAATTTGTTTGTGTGTGTGCTTTCAGAGGGGTGTGTGTGTGATATATACACCCCCCCTACTGTCCTATTTCGAGTCATCAGTTCACACATCACAACTGTCAGTACCCGGCGAGATATGAAGCGGAAAACATGAACAACGAAGAGCAACCCTTCAGTTGGATATTACCGTTGGGTTTGACACGGACTGTGATGGATTCAGCATAACCTTAAGGATTGCTTTATCTCATTTGGATTCAGAATGCTCCTCAAGGGCAATAAGAAATCTCTTATTTCAAGAAAGGGTTCTAAAGCAATATTGTTTCCAACTTGAAGGTAGGATTAGGGATTTTATTTATTTATCATAATTAGAAATTGGGATATGTAGATTTGCAAAGAATTGCAGCTACATGTATGTCACTTAGAAATTAAGAAAAGAAAAAGAAAATAGATGTACAAAAAATTTATGAAAAAAGGTCCTGTGTCGTAACTTAACACCTCCACCTGCACTTTTGGCTCTTGTTTCATATTTACATTGCTGGTAATTTGTTTACTTAATGACTAGGGACAAAGTCAAACTAGCCTAACACTGAATTTGATATGATTGATATGATATGAGTATAGCTTTTCTATGAAATAATGCTCAAATAATCTCTTACTTCTCTAGATTTTACTGATTATGATAAAGTAAATATAGTAATGGATCCAAGGCTGTTTTGATGGGTCTTTAATGATTTGAAAAATATAATTTCGGAACTTTGAAGGGCAAATTTTTCACTTTTCCCAAATTTCTCCAATATTTAATCATTATTAATTTTCTTCTTATTCATTTAAAATCTGGGCTGAATATTTAGCTGCTTTCTAAGTTAGCCATCTATTTGCCAGACCAACTCAATCCACACCCTTGGGGGTGTTAAAGCTTGTATCTTGTGATCGAGGGGCAAAACGAAGGTTAAACCAGACAGGTCACAGACAGGTATAACCTCTGATTTGAGAGAATTTTGTCTTTCAAACCAGAGGAATGTTATAGAAATACAGCTACTTGATATGGATAAAAACATTGCTGGACTCAGAAAAACCGATTAACCACAGGTAGTCAAACCACTGAAACGCTGCTGTGGGAAAAGTAAACTTCCAGGAAGCAGTTGACAGTATGGCCTTTTCTACTGGCAGTAAATATGCAGGAAAACTCAAACAAGGATTGTTCCCTTATATAGAGAAGGGAACAACCAGGTAAAGGTTTTGTTGTTTAGTGTATGTGCATCTTAAAGGGAAAAAAAGTAGATGTTGCTCTCTAGTCATGGTGGGTCAGGTGGGTGGGGTGATCTTCCTCTTGCCCTGTATTTGCTGTTGTATTGTGCTGGGCCTTGGGTGATGGATAGGCCAATGTATGGGTACTGTAATGGGCTGGCTTGAATACGTATTCTTCTCAGATGAGTGGACTGAGATTGTTGGCACTTGCCAGGAGGTTGGGCAGGATCTCAGGTGTGGTATTCTGGTTATTGTAGGGTCCTGGGAGGGTATTGGTGGATGGGGGTAGGGGGTGGTGAAGGGATGTGCATAGTGAGGAAATTTTGTCTGTTCTTGTGAGTGAGGGGCTCAATTGGGCTGGAATTGGACTGGTTGATGTGTTGGTAGTTCTCTGTGCTTGGGTGTATGCAAGCTCCCTCCCAATGGCTGCTTGTCAAGGGGGCAGTGTGTCCTTGTGTCTCAGGTCTTTGGACCCAAGGCTGGATCTGGTCTGGCATAGCTGGCTGCCGGCAGAGCCTATGGGCTTATCACTGCAGCCCCCATGGGCTTCCATACTTTGGCTGCTGGGGAATTCCCTGGTGCTCTCCTCTGCTCTTCTATGGGATGGGGGATGGGGCTATCCACTTGCTGGTCCGCCTGGAGCTTCCATGATCTAAGAGTTTGGGTGTCTGGGGCTCTGATCCATCCCGTTTCTGCCTCAGCACCTGAAGGGTGCAGTCAACTACTGTTGACCAGTTTTTTTATGAAGAACTCTTGCATTTGCAAGCACACTCACACATACACACACATACACCCTCAGGTGTTTGGATACGGGTACAGATATATACAGACAGAACCTCTAAATAGTTGTGGCTGCCTTTAAATACAATGAATAACGCTGTTTATTTCTCTGTGATGTTATTATACTGTATATGCATTGGTCATTTGCACCTGTGACACTTTGTTTTCTCTCTATCTGTGTGTAGGTGTGTGTGCAGACTTCCAGGATATCTTGTATTTTCTTTATCCTTCTTTCCCTCCTTCATTGTATTTTCCTTCTCCCCCTTTTAATTTTTAGCCCCATCTCTCCACGTGTCTTTTTTCCCTTTTTCCTGGGCTTTTCTGGCACTAAAGAACTGTTCTGCATGCAACACTGAAAGACCTGGAAAATGAGAAAAATATGTATGTCATTGCTTTGTTTCTTTTCTGCTGTCTCTTTCATGATTCATCCAAAACACTGCTGCTCGGTTTTTGACAAGCACATGTTAGAGATCTCAATCTCCTTGTTTTGTCTACCTGGCACTGAGTCTTGTAATGTTATTAGGTGGGTTAACACCCCCTTACCTTTCTGGCTGATATTCTAAAAATTGTCAATAGTCAGCTGAGCTGATACTTCAGAATGCACTGAGAAACATCTGCAGCATGTGCTGCAGCTCTACCTAAACTCTAGGACAGCTTTAGACCTATATATGTTTATTTTTTTTATCTTGTGCATGTTTTTATTAGCCTTTTTAAACTTTCAAATACATTTTAAATTAATTATTTAGATTTAGCTAGTAGTTATTCTTGCATAAACTGCACTTCTGGGTAAGGCCCCGTCATACTCCTCATTTTATAGAGTTCTTTAAGTCTAAGTTGAAAGTGTAATAAAAAGGATCCCGAGTGCAGTTTTGTTTTGGTTTTGTTTTTAAATATACAGACACATATCATTGATTGAAATCCTTTTTTTTTTTGCCTTGAAGGGTTTATTTGTGGGGAAAAACCCTAAAATTAAATGCATTCAATAAATTTGTGATAAAATGTTTAATACTTCTTCATTTTACATGGAAATACTCATAAAATCCGTATCCATCCTTAATATGAATAATCTGTACTCTTTCTAGATATGTATATTTCATGTTTGACCATTTTAAGCATTCTGCCCATTATATTAGCCTATAATATAAAGTCCCTGATGGTGAAGTGGCTTTAGACTTTCACTGTTTTACTGGGGCCCAGGGATAAAGTCATAGTTGCATTAGAAAAGGCATCCAATGTGGAATTCTGGAAAGTCTGTAAGCTAGTCATCATGATTTGTTGTGGTGACCCCTGAATAATGATAAAGGAGCAGTCGAAAGGACTTCACATTATCAGTGCTACATCAGAAACTACTGATGATCAGCATCACAGCACTATACAGTACTGTTACACAACTTACATGGTCACTAAATAAGCCTGTATGAATATATATCATGAAAAAAAAAATATTCGCCCACTCTGTTTTTCCTTTTCCTATTGTATTCCTTTGGTGATATACATTTAGAACAAGTAATTAAAAAAAACCAAGGATGGTGTAGATGCTTTTGTTCTATGACTGTATATACACATAAATGTATGCTTGTGAGGGGGTATTCTTGTACTAACAGCTGAGTTTGAATATAGTTTTTCTTTCCAAAAAATTTAAAAAAATTTTTAAAAACAACAGACTTTTTTTGAAGACGTTTCGATTCCCATCCAGAAAGCTTTCTCAATTCAAAATTTCTGTTTTGTTTTTTAACTTTTTTGGAATGACTATGACCCTGATGACTGAGAATTTTCACCAGGATATTTTTTTATATATTATTGTAACAGATGGACCTTATTCTGGTCCCCTTTTTGTGGTTAAGTTAGTGACTAAGGTATACATTAGCTTTAGTGTTAGGGTCATGGTCAGGCCATAGAAAAGAACAAAAATAGAAATTGGCTGATACAGGTTTTCTAAGACCTATGCTGATGCAGTTTATTTCGAGATCAGTCTAACTGATCCCCAATATCTGCTGCCAGTTTGGGGGGGGATTTTTGAAACTGGTAATTATTTATTCCTCCATTAACACAATGATAACAAATGTTACTCAAATCGCAGTTTAAACAAAAAAAAAAAAAAAAAAAAAAGAAACTTTTATTAAGAGCAAAACAAACAAGATATTAACTATAGAAAGCAAATGCAGGGCCCTGCAAAGTATCACTTCGTGTGATCTCAACGCATGGCTACCGAATACAATGATGACTCGGCAAATGCATGCACATATCGGCCCTTGAAGAAGCAAAAAGAAAAGCCAATATTAGCCCAAAATATGTGCCAGCTGATGTATCAGTCTACCACTTGCTAGAAGCGCAGTTCCCAGTTAGTATTGAAAACATAGATATGTGAGTATCTATGTGTGTGGATTACAAAAAAATTTCAACAACAACAGAGAAAGATTTATGTTGAAATGTTTGAACAATTTGCAGTTTAGTTCAAAATATCCCAGCCACAGAGGAAAAAAAAAAGACAGCATACCATGTTAAATATGTGTGATTGTACAGGAAAGTAAATAATTGTTGCAATAATTACCTTCCACTCATTTAAAAATACAGCAGTTGCTGAAAGCAATCTTTCAGCTATTCAGCAGGGCAAAACCACAAATTATGGTTGAGTAGAGCAGAGTGAGACAGCATTATGAGCCTTCCCTGTGTGGTCCTTCAGCCTTCTCCCCTCCTGCTGCTCTGCTCTGGCCTTATTCCCTCATGCTGCCCCCTCTGCTGGGGTTAGGGGGCATAGTTGACCCTGGTTAAAATTCAACTTGTTCAACATTAACAAGGTTTGCAGTATTCTTAATGACTCGGATGTGCTGAGAAATTTTCCAGTGGCAAAATGTAATTAAATAAAAAAGAACAGGAGTCCCTTTATCAAGTATTTAAGAACTATGGCATTAAAAAAATATGTATGTTTAATTAAAAATTGACATTATATAAGAAGCCATTGGAAAGAAAATTCACTGGACTGTTCTGTGTTGGTTTTTGGAGCTAAAAAGATCATTTAAAGAGATTTATCCATCATTTGTACAATATTTAGTTTAGTCTTTGATGCTTTGGTCATGTTGTGCAACAGGTCTGGCCTGTGAAGAAACCACTATAACATTGACTCTTTCACAACAGAACCATGCACTGAACAGTTCAAAGTGTAATTTGACCCTGATTTGATGAAACTGAATTATCCTTAATAACAACATAACAATTATAATAGATTGTAATTCTGTATCCACTTTTGAGTAATGTAATATGATGATGATGATGATGATGATGATGATGATGATAATAATACATATTTTTTTCCAAAAAGAAACTCTTCTGCGTATTTTGCCTTTTGCTCAGATTGTGCTGCAAAAGATTTTATCCATCATCTGTTGCCGAGCAGAAAATAATAATGCTTTTTTTTCTTTTTTTTCTGCTAATATACAGTGTTGGGGTTTTTTTTTTTCATTCACTGATAAACTTCTAGGATTAGTAAGCCCTCTAATTTATATAATAATGGATGACTGCCTTTACTGTGCTCCGGTGTATATAATAATAATAATAATAATAATAATAATAATAATAATAATAATAATAATAATAATAATAATAATAATAATAATAATAATAATAATAATAATAGTACATTGGTCCTTTATGCTCTTCTTTTTGAGGCTTTTTTACAGTGTGCTTTTAAACAAATATTTTAAGCAAAGGGGATTGCTGTTTTTACTTCAAATAAGGGATTCTTAAAGAAATGTGTTTATATTTCTGGTGGATAATACAGGATATTAATTATGGAAAAAGTTATGAAAATATATATCATAGTAACATATATGACAACAACAAACTGGCTGTGTAAAGGCATTTTATAAGGCTTTTCCTTTAATTTTATTTTTTAGCTATCCATCTGAAGAGAGTTCTTTCTTAAATAAGCAATAGTCCTGGTATTCAGACACACAAAGTCTAATAATCTCAAAGTTTGAATTATCGTTTGGTTAAAAAAATTTCTGACCAAGGAGAGCTAACTGATAGCAAAGAGTCATTCATCCTATAGTGTATACATTCCCTCGCTGAGCATGTGGCAACAGTATACATTGTTTTTTGGCTGTGCAGCAAACCCTCAAACTGAGCATTCATGCAGCTACAATTTAGATAAATATCTTCCTTTTAACATAAAGACATTTCTAGCAGAACCAGTTTCAGTGTGAGCAGCCTCTGCCAAGGTGACTGGGGGTTTGAGGAGAGAGAAGCAGACATACAAGATGCACATAGAGGAACTAATCGATAAATACTTTTTGTGTTAGAAAAGGTTATGGTAAACTAGCTCCATAGGCTGATCTGTTTAGGAAAGAACAGTTAAGCAGGTGATTTCCAAGCCTGTTTCTATGCCAAAAGGGACTAAAGAGAGCAAATACAGTTAGTAAAAGTAAAAGCTGAGCCCATAGCTGTGTCTAAGATACAACAGGACTAAACACTATAAAAACAGTCCCAACGCTATCATCTATAATTAAAGGTGTTGAGGACAGCAGCCCAGCTGATTTTTCTCTCCAGGATGGCTTCACAGCCCAATAGGAACAGACCAGAAGGATCTACTATGATGCAAAATAGCAGAGAGAGCATACATTAAGGGGTTGAACTAGCAAATACTGTAGAATAGGAGAATAGAGATAGAATGAAGTAGAATTATGAAAAGTGGTCCCTATGTCCAGCAACATTATAGCAGCATAACTATAGAAATAGCCTGATAAAATAACCTGAGCCACTCTACCTATAAGTTTTATCAAAAAGGAACGTTTTAAGCCTGGTCCTACAAGTAGACAGGGTGTCTGCCTTACTAAAAAAGGTAGTTGGTTCGATGGGAGAGGATTTTCCATTTTACTTTCTGAAATTTTAGAAACCACTAGTAAACCTAAAGATTGAAAGTGAAGTATTCTGTTAGAAATTTGGAACAACTGCATCCCTGATTTTGGATAGTTAATTATTTAGGGCTCTTTCACACATTTTACGGTAGTTTTTCCACTAGCAACATCTAATATGATCTGTGAGATTCCAATGACATAACACATAAAGAACCAACTTAAATAAAAGAAAGACAAAAAAAAAAGATTTTGTTATTCTTAATGGAGACTTAAAAACTGGCAATTCATTGAGTCACACAGAATGGAACGGGGAATTATGTTAGGAAAGATGATTGGATTGTCTCTATGGTAAAAAAAAAGAAGACTAAGTTGTACAAATGCAATTTTTCAAATAGTAGACACATTTTTTTTGTTGTTGAATACATTGTTGTTCCATGTTAATTCCGATTAATCCACATCACCTTTAATTGTTATTCAACATTTATCATATTTTCCTTGTAATATTTGATGTGCCATATGTTTCTGCTTAAATGCGCATCTAAACGGCAGACATGCAAACATGTCTACACAATTTTTCTCTAGTTTAAACCTTCTTTTCTTTCAACTACAATTATCTTCTCTACCACAGGGGGCGATCGCTCCCAGTCTACGTTCACCGACGCTAAAAAAAAACAAAACAAAAAACACCCAATGACGTGTCAAACTAGGAAGGTAGCAGCAGGAGACGAGGAAGGACGTGGGAGGAACGTTGGTCGTTTGGTGCATGGCGCGTGTTTTGAAGCTGCTCTGCTTGTGGAGAAATGTCCTGGGCCGTGAGTAGTGAGGAAACAGGAAGCGATTCTTGTGGGATGGAAGAGGGAAATAGTGACAATGAAGGTTGGAAGATAGCAGCATCAAAAAATGAGAAAAAGCGGAAAAAACAGAGATCAGTTAAAGGGGAATCTAGTTCAGAACAATCCAGTGATGATCAATCCATACATTCCACAGCACAACAAAATGAATTCAAAGTCATATTCAAAGTCGTTAATCAGGCAGACTCTTTTACAAACTGGAATCCGGTTCACTTAACAAAAACCATCAATAAACTTGTTGGAGAAGTCAGAGGTGCCAGAATTCTGTACAGTGGAGACCTGCTAATTAACTGCAGAGACAGCGCCCAGCAAGGCAAAGCAATACGTATTAACAAAATTGACGGGATAAGAGTTCAGTGCAGCCTAATGGAGAACAAAAAGATCAGCAGGGGAGTCATTGGAGGAGTTCCTCTGAAAATTTCTGAAAAAGAGATTCTGGAAAACATAAGCGGTGCAAAAGTAAAAGAAGTAAAACGGTTAAAAACAACAAGAAACGGAGAAAGATCTGACAGTTTATCTGTACTAATTAAATTCGAGGAAGAGCAATTACCAAGCAAAGTATTCATCGGTTACATCAGTTACAATGTCAAAATCTACAATCCACCACCATTGAGATGTTTCAAATGTCAAAAATTCGGACACATTGCAGCAGTTTGTAAAGGGAAACAGAGGTGTGGAAGGTGTGCAGGAGAACATGAATATGGTAAATGTGGAAAAGAAGCTAAAATAAAATGCTGTAATTGTGGTGGAGAACATACTGCTGCTTATCGCGGCTGTGAAGCAAGCAAAAGGTCTGAAGAAATAAAAAAAATGAAATTTGAGCTTGGAATAACTTATGCTGAAGCTGCAAAAAGGATCCCATCTCAGTCAGAAAAACCCAAACCTACAGTTCAACACACGGCAAATTTCAAACCTCTAGAGAAATCTCCAAAAATTGATGAAGACTCACTAATTGTTAAAAAGACAAATTTTGTTCTTTTCATGGTGGAAGTGATTAATTGTACTGCTCAGACGACAAAAAAAACAGAAAAAATCAAAATAATAGTGAAGGCTGCAGAAAAATATCTGGATGTTAAAGATATGAACTGGGAGATGGTTGGAAGCATGATGGAAAGACCAATGGGACCATCAGAAACTGGCAGAGGTACGATGACCTAGAGTAAATTAAAATTATACGGGCAAATGTAATTTAGTATAATTTAGTATTATGTGGGTTTAAGTTACACAGGTTATTTTATTGTATTTTTTTTTTTTTTTTTTTTTTTTTTTTTTTTTTTTTTTTTTTTTTTTTTTTTTTGGGGGGGGTGAATCGTTTCCTGTTTCCTTGCTTTACTCCATATCAGTTGGTGGCGGTAATGCACATTTCACAAGTTTGCCAACCGCCATAAAATCTCATAAGAAGAAGAAGAAGACGTGTCAAACTATCGCCATTTTCCTGTAAAGAAGGAAACGCCTTAAGGGAAGAAAACGAATCGAGCAAGTGAGTGAGTAGAGACTATTTAAACCCAAAGTTAACGTTTTGCTTCACTTTTATATAACCGTAGGCTGCATTTGTACAGGCAGCCATGTATTTACAAGCTAACTGAGATTGTGTCTTACAGTTAGCTTACACATTACAGTAGGAAGCAATGCTAACTCCCTGCGATGCTCTCATTAGCTTCCTATGTTATCCCTTACATTGTATACCTGGTTTCATGAAACATATTAAACGTTGTCGCAATGACTTTAGTAAAACGCTGAAATTCCTGTGTATTTTATCCTGGCTGTCTGTTTGGTAATTGTACTGTAGCATATGCTGTTGTCGGTGTTTCTTTATCTAGGTGGACAGCTTTGCACCGCCGCACCCTGAAAACTCAGCTGTTAGCTGCGGCAGCCTCCGTTTTTTTTTTTTTTTTCTACAGCAGCCTCCATGGCCTCTTAAGAGAGAAATGACTAACTAATAGGTTTTTCCCCGGTGTTAAAAAAAAAACCTCAAGCAATAATATTGCCAAATATTTTGACGAGTCATATTGAAAGCCTGCTTCCAGTCTCATTATATCGTTATTTCCATTATTTGTTTTACACATATTTAGTCAGCTTACTATTTAAAGTTAGCTGACAACGAATGTTTTTTCTTTTTTTAAGATATTTTTGTCAGTCTCATGTACTGCAGCATTACTTAAGTCCTCAGTACAAACACAATTGGTATGTTAAAGATATTTTAATTGTGATCTGTGTTTACCTGCTTGTGTAACCAATTTTCGAAAATGCACTCTATTTTAAAATAACAGATTATTAAAAGTTTTCCTCTAGAAGCCTCACAAAATTTTTCATATAGAGTGAAAAAGTTGGATGGTCATGCAAAGAGGATCAGTTAGACAAATGTTTAGTTAGAGGTATTAATTAGTTTAATAGAATAATTTTCATAACCTTTTGTGCTGTGCATCAGTTCATCTACGAATTCACTCAAACCATGGAGAAGGGGTTTTATATTTAGTACATTTTGCTTGCTGTCTTTGCATGATCTATTAATATGTTAATTAGCTAAGATTAACAAAGTACTTATGGTTTGTGGTGCATAAAAGCTAATAATTTATGTTTTTCAACTTGAAATTAAGCTCATTATTTGTTTTTTCACAGGTTTGGGAAGTTTAATACCGTTTCTGTCCTAGAGTGGTTTTCCCATCACCAGAAGCCATGGGGAATATGTTTGCAGGGCTCTTTAAAATGTTTGGGAAGAAGGAGATGAGGATACTTATGGTTGGCTTGGATGCTGCTGGAAAGACAACAATTTTGTACAAGCTCAAACTTGGAGAGATTGTGACAACTATTCCAACAATAGGTGGGTCAAATGCTGTGTTTTAGCTCCTTGCTGATAGGCAGTGTCATTCAGATATTTTTTACTTGGAGCTGAAAAGTTACGTTTTAAATGTCCTTGTTTGTTTTCTTTCCAAGGTTTCAATGTAGAGACAGTTGAGTATAAGAACATCAGTTTCACAGTGTGGGATGTTGGTGGTCAAGATAAGATCCGTCCATTATGGCGCCATTATTTTCAGAACACACAGGGTAATCTTTTGACTATATTTTATTATAATCTTGAAGAAACTGCTTTTCAAAAAGTGCATTTCTCTTATCTGTCTTCATTTTACACTTCCCTAGGTCTGATTTTTGTGGTGGATAGCAATGACAGAGAGCGATGTGCTGAGGCTCGGGAAGAGCTCTTGAGGATGCTGGCAGAAGATGAACTGCGTGATGCTGTGCTTTTAGTCTTTGCTAACAAACAGGTAAGTAACACAAGCCTCCATAAGGAGAGGAATTTTTCCTCATAATCTTTCCAGCAGCAGCTTTAAAATGGTTTCTTCACTAATTTTATTGTAGGACCTCCCAAATGCGATGAATGCTGCCGAGTTGACAGACAAGCTGAACCTTCACTCCCTGCGTAACAGAAACTGGTACATCCAGGCAACCTGTGCCACAACTGGGGACGGTCTCTATGAAGGACTTGATTGGCTGTCTAATCAACTCAAGAACCATTAAAGGCTAGAGCATTTTCCATCCAACCCTTCATGTTTTCTCTTTTCACCTAAATAAGACTGAGTCATCCTTATACTGGAAACCATCCCCTGCTAAGCTTTGATCTCTTATGCACAGGCCAGTGGTAGGGCTGTTCTAATCTTGTAAAACTTATCTCAGTACATTTTTCTTATTTTATGTAAATGTAAATAATCTTGGTAATAGGGATCTTATTGCACTCTTCGACTATTCTTGGCTGTTGGGTGGCTTTTACTTTGAAAAAGAAAGAGAGGGAAGACATTTTACTAGATCGATTTGGCCCCATAAACTCAACACAATCAAATGACCCTAGTGATGTACTGTAAGAGGGATAATGAGAGGGTTGTTTTGGGGGGTGGGGTGGTGAATAAACTGAATTATACTGATGCACTACTTGAATCTGCTGCAGTAATATCAAAGAAATCCTGAATTAAAAATGTAGAACACTGGCATTAATTATTTGTACTGACATCTCTCGTCTGTGAACACTCACCAGCCTTTTGTATAAACTGAAATACTGCAATGGTGGCACACTATAATCGTGTCAGGAGAGCACTGGATGGGTTTTGCTTCTTTTTTTTCTATTCAAAAGTCTCAGGTTAATCATAGGTAGCTTTTGGTGTACTTGCCAAGTCGTTCTGAGCAAGCATGTCTACTGGGTGTTAACACCATTACCCATAGGTGAAACAGCTAACTGAGTACTTATTCCCCTAATTTTATAATCATTTCATTGTGAGAGTACTGTGTGAAATATACTGAGCTGTTTGGTGCCATAGGGTAAGGTTCTAGGCAGCTGATATGCATGCTTTGCTCCATGTGGGGGAAATAGCATTTTGAAAGCAATACCAAAATCCGTTGCATCAAAGTGCCATCATCTTTGATGTAAAGAAAAAGCCAAACAAATGCCTATATTTTTCCAAGATTTATCTAAAAGATTTTGGTGTTACCATCTGTTGTTGGTGCCTTTGTTTGTTTTTGATTTATAACTGCCTAAATGTTCTAATATTGCAATAAGTTTGTTGATGTTTTCTTAAAGAATTGTGTATGTGTGTGTGTGGGGGGTTACACAGCAATTAAAGTGATCTGATACAAGTGATTCTGAATCTGAGTTTTATTGTCCTACGCATTCAGAATGTAATTGTAAGACTTTTTTTTTTTTTTATCATTTTAAGAACTTTGTTTAAATAGTCCCCCTCTTTGAAATTGACAAGACTTTCAGGAAAATAAAGCTTTACTTTAGTTGGTTAAATGGATTACATAAAGTTGGCTCTGTCTAATGTAACAAAGCTTTAAGACATTTCTTGGCTTATTTAAAAACACCTTTTCTCACCTCATGTTTTAGGTATTTAAATCTAAAATTCACTACCAAAACTTTTAAGCTTGGATCTTTATTACATTTTGCAGCTACATACTTCATGTATGTATTGAATATTTGGGATTACAAAATACACCACATGGAAAAGATCATTTTTCTTTTTAATCTAAAATCGGATTTGATAGAAGAGAGTTAATTCCCCTGACTCATAAGTTTGTTTCTTATTTGGAGGCAAAAGCATCATGAACATCTGCAATATAGAGCAAGACAACCTCAGCCTGCTGAGGCATGGGCATCTAGCTTAAAGGAACCAACACGGGTTGAAAAATAGTCTTTCAGCAGAACAACAATCCCAGATACAAGAGAATGGTTTAATCCATAGAGAACAATCATGAGCCTAATGAAGAATTGCTATCCGTTACCACACATGATTATTTGGTTGACATGCCATCTCATACCTGATTTTGATGGTCACATTTAGAATTTTTTTTTTTTCACATGTATAGCTTGCAGCCACCCTCCAGATAACTTGTAATTGTAACTTTGAGGGCAGATTACTGTACAAAACAAGTAGGTCTGACTATTTTAACTGTTTTGATCATGTTTACGTTTTGAGTTACTAAGGGAAAAAATAGTTACTAACTGACCCAAGAAGAAATATGATTCTCTTAAGTGATCACCCACTGCTGAGGTTAAAGCAGTAATGTGAAGAACATATCCTACTTCACTTTGTCTAAGGGTGGCAAGTCTAGGAGAGCATTCTTGCAGGTTGATTAGGCTGCCATGGATAATGCAGCCGAGCCTATAAAACTTGCTGGGGAGTGTGGTAATTGTAGAAGGGGAAGTAGTTCAGGCCTGGAGTCCCTCATAGGGTGGCTTTGTCTGGCCTCTGCTCCTGCTGCTTCTTCAGCTTGGTTTGTGTGTGGCAGCATAACAGTACTTGGTCATAAAAAAAAAAAAAAAAAGACCAGTCTGGTATTTGCCGCTCTTCTTAATGAATATCTTGGAGAATTATTTTGTGAGTGAGACCTTATTAGGTGATAGCCTGCAGAATTTCCCCTTTCAGATCAATTAGAGGCAAACGGTAGTAACCTGCTTCAAGACGTATCAGCCTGAAACATTTCTGCTAAGAAAATAGAATTAATTTGAATCTATCCTGCTTTATTATGGCTAAAACTGGACGTTCAAATTTAAAATGTTTCAATAAGAAGTGCAGCTTCATGTTTAAGAAAAATAATCTGTTCTACAAAGCTTCCCCCCCCCTACTAATGGCATCCGCTCTTCCAAAACCAACAAAAGCCAAAGGGATTTAAACAAGCAAAACAAGTGGATCCATTTGATCACAAATGATCTTGGATATAAAAAGGGCTTTTAACCAAATATCAGCAGAAAAATAAACACAATCATGCCTTTGAAATTACTCATAGTGTCAAATAAAACATAAATCTGAAACGCATCACACAGGAGGTCCCAGAACGCAGCGTGTGCACTATGCATCTCTGGGTCAGGTGGGGGGGGAGCGCGGGACATTAGTCGTCCGAGTCTGTGTCGTGGCGTCTTCTCTGGCTTTGTGTGGCACCAGCAGGGGCTTTCTTATGGAAGGCAGAGTTACTGCGGGCAGGAGACCCCCTGTCAGAAGTGTCTGTGTCATGCCTATGCCGTCGATGATGGGGGCGGGAAGGCTGTCGCTCGGCCTTTGCTCCCTCCCTTGAATGGCTGTCATGGGGTCTGGCTCCACTCTGACTATGGTATGATGGATTATGATGATGGTGGTCCTTTCTGTGTCTGAAAGGTAAAAGGAAACAATCAATGAGTGGGGCATCCAATAAGACGTAGCACACAGTTGGGCACAAGCGACTGCCTGGTGCTTTATGGGGCAATGCACACAGTAAAGGGTTTGCTTTAAAAGGTCATTCCAATAACTGCACATGTAGAATATATTATTCTCTCACTCCCAAACTTATTTCTCTCACAGGCATTTTAAATCCTAAATACAAAGGAAATGCAAAACAATAAAAAGAAAAAGAAAACTTCAGTATGCAAAATATAGAAGTATCTTAGCGCCCTCAAGTGGTGATGCAGTATTTTGCATTTTGTGTTAAAATCTACAGAAAATTTAGGCAGACAGACCCAAGTAGTGATGAATTAGTTTAGAAAAGAATTAAAAAAAACATGGATATTGTGGTAATAAGCATATACAAAGAAATGCTGCTAATTTTTAAAAACAGGAAGAAAAAAAAAATCAAGACTGAAAAAATATTCAGCTTTGCAGAATAAAAAAACTTTAAAGATCTTTTACAAAAGGCACATTATATATTTTTGAAAATAATGCATAAAGGTTCCTTTAAAAGTCTGGATTTAAAAGTTTGAAGTTTATATAAAAAAATTATTTCAGATCGTTCTTTATTTTAGCTTCTGTATCTCCCCCTAGTGGCCTGAGAAGTGTATTGCTTCTTATTTAAATGGAAGCAGGATTTTTTTTCCCCAGGCAGGAGCTGGAAATCTCCAGCATCAGAGGGCAGGACATGTTTTTCTCTGTTGTATCTGATCACCCTTAGTAAAGCTTTCCTATTAACCACAAAGTCATATTTCAGCATGCCAACACCTTTAACAGAAATGTTAACACTGTGCAAATAAACTACTATAAAAAACTTTTCTAACTAGAATGATTGAAGTAGAATGAAATCAAGGAATTTATAATAATTTTTTACCAGCAGGGTATTCAATGTCTAGGTCTTGTGTATTGCTAAGCAAGAGAAAATTCAGATTACTGCCGATCCAAGAATATTCATCCTCCATAATGATTATAACCCTGACAATAAAATTGACTTTAAAGGAATAGTACACCCAAAACATGATTAGCCTTCATTTTCTACTCACCCCCATGCTGAACAAAACTCTGGAGTACTTTTTTGATATCTCAAATGCATCTGGAGATCTGGGAGGCTTCTTGCTGTCTGCTGACATTCAAATAATGGAGGTCTATGTTGACCGAGACAGAAAGGTCCATAAAAGTCCACAAAAACGTGTCAATATTCCTCCATACTGCTCGTCCAATGTAATCCAAGTGTCCTGAGTGGGTAGCATCCAGAATTTACTCGAAACGAAGTCATTTAGAACGTTATAGAGCCTAAACAGTAGTGTATAGGATTTCCTAATAGCGCCCCCATGCGCGCTCACGATTCTACGGAAGCCGGCAGACCAAACCGGAAGAAAGTGCGCATTCAGCGTCTGCTCTGCCGATAATGCAAGCGTAGAAGAAGAAATGTGCTGTTTACCTGTGCAAAGAAAGAAACAACGAAAGAAAAATGTCTGAGGACTTCAGTGTTGAGGAAGAGCATGAGTTCTTTGCCGAGCTGAATGCGCTGGTTTGGTCTGCCGGCTTCCGTAGAATCGTGAGCGCGCATGGGGGGCGCTATTAGGAAATCCTATACACTACTGTTTAGGCTCTAAAACGTTCTAAATCACTTCGTTTCAAGTAAATTCTGGATGCTACCCACTCAGGACACTTGGATTACATTGGACGAGCAGTATGGAGGAATATTGACACGTTTTTGTGGACTTTTATGGACCTTTCTGCCTCGGGCGCCATAGACCTCCATTATTTGAATGTCAGCAGACAGCAAGAAGCCTCCCAGATCTCCAGATGCATTTGAGATATCAAAAAAGTACTCCAGAGTTTTGTTCAGCATGGGGGTGAGTAGAAAATGAAGGCTAATCATGTTTTGGGTGTACTATTCCTTTAAATTACTTTCAATAACTATTTAAAGCTCAGTTTTTAATCGCTGTATTCACCATTTAGTCGTTTCAGTTTTCTGTAATAGCATCAATAAGCAAGCCACATCTGTCCTCTCCATCCCACTGCCTTAGATGCTATTGCTCAGAGAATAATCAGTTTCCAAGTTTTAAGTTTCTGTCAACAAATACTAATTTACCAGTTTCATGTCTCAAAAGAAGGACAAAGATTTAAAAATTACTCTGGATATTAATACAAAATGTGAGATCAAACTGATTTAGAAAAATTGTGCAATTTAGGTTTATATTTCGTTATCATTTTCAGTAGCAAAAGCAGAATCTGCCCTTCAGATTAGAACATGTTTAGCAGATGTTCAGCAGCAGGTATCAAATAAAGCATTAGACAGAATGTGAATGTGTTTTTCACCTGCTAAAATTAAATGAAGCATTTCAGTCATTTTTGTTTCTGTAAAAAGTAAAGTTTCACATAATTGAAGCCCCATATGTTTAAATGTAAAAGCATTATAATAATAATAATGTAGGCTTTGTAAATAATGCATCAGAGCAAGCCTTTCTACACTGCAAAAAAACAAATTCTAAATAAATTATTCTTATTTTAAAATAAGTGCACTTGTTATTGAATTGAAGAGGTAAGTGAGACAATTTGCCAATGGAGCAAGATAATTTAATTAAAATAAAAAACAATTGCATTGTCTTATTTCAAGTGCATATTATCCAATTATCTTATTTGAAGAGTAAAAATATGCAATCCATTGGTAAATCATCATATTTACATTCTCAAATTAAGGGTAAATACACCTACTCTAAAGCCCCTCTCACACCTTGGTGATTTAGACCACCGTATGCCCGTTGTACAAAAATCTGGTAAAAACGCTTCTATACGGCGATTACGTCAAGAAGTTTTGAGCATGCTCAAAATTTCCCAACGTATGAGAGCGTCTGCCATACGTGGGCCATAAGTTATAGGTATATTATCTGATCGTTGACATATGTTAAGCGTACGTTACTCATAAGTTGTGGCATCTAGCTTATCCAAAACCTATGAGAAACTTGTGCATAACTCATGCTTAACTTATCAAGAACTTACCCCCAATTGTATATGAACGTATCTGACGTGATTCAGACAACCGCTGAACGCGTTTTTAACTTACAGCTACCATTTAATGGCATTGTGGCACCGTTTTGATATAAAATGGGTTCACAGGAGCATCCCAGCAGTGCGTTATCCATAAGATAGGCTGTTGTTGGACATAAGTTCTGGACTCGTTATAAATGTGCAATGCATACGCCCAAAATTGAAAAAAATACATAGAAAGCTCAGCATATAGCAGCGTTTTAGGAGATTCTGGGACGTCAGGCATAACCTGGCTAAATCGGCAAGGTGTGACAGGGTCCTAAGAGATTTTTACTTATTTCTAGATCGTTTTTTTTTTTCAGTGTAATGCTCATGGTAAAATTTGGGTGAAGTTTTGGATTTGATATGTTTGATTATTTTGTGATATTACTGAGAACATGGCACTGCATGACCCAAAGTTTTGAAGGAAATCTCAGTCAAACCTTTTTCTATCATCGGAGGATGAGGAGGACGATGAATCTTGTCTTTTCCTTTTCCTCTTTTTTTCCTTCTTCTTTTTCTCCTTTTTGCTCTTCTTTTCTTTCTTTTTCTTTTTACTCTCATGTATACTGAAATTAAACAGAGGTTATTAAAACCAGGCTCACATTTCATGAGGTCTGGTTAATGCTGAATGAGAGTACAATTCTGCATATTTACCTTTGTTCTGTCTCTTCTTCTTTTGCAGCGCTCTCAGCTGATATTGTTGCCGGTGTTTCTTGACGACTTTCAGTCTTGTGATGCTGCACGACAAGCATAGTTACATTTGTTGCACAGAGGTGTAGATTACAGTAGGAAATCTTGAAACTGAACTCACCGTAAAAATCGGCAGACCCATTTTAGCCGCTTCTTTCTCTTTCTGGGACAGCAACATTTTCCGTGACCCCACACTTCAAACACAAACGGTCAAGAAAAGCAAGCACATAATATTAGTGCTAATTGTATTTGTATTGTATAGCACTACTGAAGCATGAGGTAATTCAGAGAACTTTGCAACCAAATAGGAAGAGCTGGTAAACTGGTAATAATTTATCCAGTGAGGGAAAAAATCCAAAGGAAAATCTAAAGTAAATTAATAGAAATGACAAAAACATAAGTTTTAACTGCAAAAAAAAAAAATCCTACAAGGTTGAGATATGCATTAAGACCCACAATTATTTAGTACCCTATAGAGCATTTATGACATTTGAAAAGTGATTTACACTCTAGGACTGATTAAGACTACTGAGATAGACTCGATTAGCTAGTGTTAGCCAGGACTACAGCTGCAGCATTTGGATGAGCAACCTGATATTTGATCGAAATTACAAACAAAAAAGTATGTAGAACCATAAATGCAGGGAAATGTTATGAAATTATAGTAGGCTGAGTAAGTAAATACTTTAGTTGGATGTTAAATTTTAGTAGAGTCCAAAGCACTACTGTATTTTCCTTCATTGGATCCAAAAACAAGTTTGTGTTTTCCTGCAGTAAATAAGAAGACCCTTGTGATATAAACATAGTGTGTGCATATCATGAACAAATCATCTAATAGACTGTGATAATGCAGTGTACAGCAAATATAAAGTTGGATCATATAGATACTGAATAAATGTGTCCTAAGAATGAAGCCTTGAGTATCCGTACAAATTCTCCAATCAGATAATAATCGGAATTGTTGAGTTGTTTCATCAAGCCACATTATGGACATTAGAGATATACCATATATTTACATTCCTTATTTCAGGCTGCAGTAAAAAACTAAAATCCAGCGAAACCAAGACTGTTTCATGCTGCGGAGACATATTTCATTGTATAGTGTTACCACTGCAGTCTCAATGCCGTGGTGTGGTTGAAACCATCTGGAAAGCACTTACCGGTAAGTCATATTTGCCTTTTATGTACAAACTGCTATACGTTTTCTAAAAACCTTAGGTGAGATGTGGGCTTTTAATTTCTTAAGACCAACTCATCCAGATCAAACTTCTTTAAAAGAGCCAATGTGCTCAGTAGTCAAAAGAAGTCACTTTCAGGTCACATGGATTACAGTGTTTTAACCTTCGACATGATTATCATACATCCCGACCTGAAATGGAGTCCTCACAGTGCTAAGATTCCACATTACTGTAGGAACAATACATTTCAAAGTGAGGAACCAGTGTTTATGAACTAATTCGCAGGATTTGTTTGAACCTGAGTGGAAAATATTTCAACGTTTATACAAGAAAGATTTGCAATTCAGAAGGATTTTGAGATCTTCACTCATAGATTTCCTTTCTAAAATTCCTTTAATTGCTTTCAAGGTGGTAGCAAAAAAAAATGCATTGTTACGCATTCCCTGTATAACAATTTCCGGTTTTATGGATAATCACCTGGAGCTTCCCAAGCCTGATATACGATCCACGCTCCTCTCTTCACCATCAGCCTCTTCCCTTCGACAAACCTCCACGAGATCCTGTCAAAATGTAATAAAACTTAAAACATTTGATCTTGTTGGTCGTAGAAGATTATTTTTACCCCCATTCACCATCTAACTGATGTACCTCTTTGGTAAGGCCAGTTGGTTGCCTCTTTATAATCTTGTGTCCTCTAAATTGAGAATAAAAATGTTAAATTCTGATGCACCACACTTGCAGCATGCAGTACATGTGAGGTCATACATACAGGGCGGCCATCAGAGCCTCTTCTTCGGCGGCTTTCACAGCAGCAAGTTCTTCCTCTTTGGACAAAGCTTTGCCGGATTTTTTGTCTTTTGCATACCATGTCAGATCTTTGCCTTTCTGCCATCGTCCAACCGGGGCCATCAAAGAGTTTCCTGAAAACAAAAGAAGGCTGGGGTGAGTTTAAATGCTCATATTCCAAGGTTTAATTAGACTGAATATTGGATATATATCTGATGATCTGATATTTTCTAGTGTCGGCGAGTACCGACAAATAGGGCACCTACACCATTTTAAAAGCCAAAAGTTTATTCAATTATTGTCACCCATTATAAGTAGGCAATAAAAAGAGCTGCTGGATTCACTTTGTATTAGTCTTCTCTTCCTGCTTCACAAAGGTAGGCAGTAGCTTGACAAAGCCATGATGGCAAATATTTACAAGCAGTATGCAGTTCTTCGTATATAGACACACACATCAATTTCAAACAGATACCCGATACCTGGTTGTGCAGTATCGGCCGAAACCGATACTGCACAACCAGGTATCGGGGCCAAAAAACAATAATATTTTCCAATTGTTTTCTCAAAAAACTGCTTAAGACTATTTTGAGGTAGAAATCGGAAACATTGGTATGAGTTGGTTAGAAGATATAGGAGGGTTTAAAATATATATGGCTAAAAAACAAATACTGGTTCTGTTATATTGTAAATACAGTTCTACATTTCTAGAGTAAGTTTTCTCTGGTTGTGTGGAGCAAAGGTCAAAACAAAGATATTACTTCATATCAACTTCAATTTTATTGTTTAAGAAAAAGAAGAAAAAAAAAGAGTTGCACCCTCTGCCAATTAAACGTTATAAATAACATAAATTGCCTGCTACAGTTGTTTAGAAGAAAATTTCTTAATCCTTAAAAAGAAATAAAAAAAAATTACTTAAATAAATGCAGATAATAAAAAGAACAACAGAAATGATATGATCTGGCAAATAGAGAAACAATAGAAAGAAACCAGAATATTTACAGCTGTAAAACAACAAAGAGTTTTAAAATAAAGATTTGAGCTTTGGTAAATATTCTCACTGACCACATTTTTTTTTCTTTATCCCCGGAAGCTTATCTATTTTGACTGTTTGGATACATTAGGGAATAATTTGTATCTTTGCTATCTAATTTACAAGAAAGCAAATAATGAATCAATGTTCTTATCCAAGACGTGTTAAAAAAAACTCCAAATTCTGATAGAATGACACCTTTATTTACAGATATCTATCTTATTTAGAAATAGAAGTATATCAATATATTACAATAGGTGAAATATATTCTTAAAAATAAATGGGACATTTCGACGATGTTCTGGTTTACTGAGATGCACTTACATGTGTTTCATAAAAATAAGATGACATCAAGTTTGTTTCTTTTTATGTGAAACTCTAAAACGTTTCACCAACACAGTTAATTGTTAAATTTACCATCCGTTTGCTAGAGATAGCCTCTCAACATAAAATGTAGCTATAAGTTGTGCAAGTTTACATTTGCTCTCCTTTATGTGCTACGTCGCTGCTGTAGTCTGGCATGCTGACTAGCTGGGCAGCGGTCAGCATAGACACACTCTTTATGCTCAGAGTGAAAAGCAATGTGAAAGTGGGAACCAACTGTGCCCAGGGAACAAAAATACGTCTGTAAATAGGAAGAAAATAAATTCCATCCAGACTCTACGCAATGAGGGACTCCATATCAAAAGGTATGGGACTGCAGTGGGTGAGGCCAACATGTGCTTATAAGCTGCTATTTTCAGCTATCGTCGCCTCTCGTTAGCTGCCTGGTTAGCTCGGATAAGGTAGGCATTTGAACTCACCCAGATAATTCTCTCTGTGTTTATCGACTTTTACGTCATCCCAGTTGAATTGGTCCTGGCCTCCGCGTAGGCCCCCAGATCTTGAAGAACCAAACATTTTGTTTTAGCAGAATAAAGTCAGAGTTAGAGTAAACAACACGCTCCTAGCGCGCGCAGCTAACGCTAGCAACCTGAACTGCTAGCAACCCGAACAGGCCTTTGACTCATTCATCCGGGGAACCTGTGCGGTGAGTTAACTTCCTAGTATCGACGGGTGCAACAAGTTAAGGGTTGTACTTGGAAACTTTCGCCAATTCGAGCGACTTTTTTTACGTAGCTAAATAACGTGTGGCAAGTTAGCCGCTTTTTTCACGTAGCTATAGTAACGCGTTCAAAGCTTGCGTACAGCCGCTACAAACTACTTCCTGTAAGTCCTTTTTTACATACACAAATCAAAATGGAAATTTCTTAAGTTTTAAAAACAATGCTCGTTGCTTAAAAAAATAAATAAATAATCGAAGAAATATCGAGTTTCCGCGTTTTCTCGCGCGTGATTTTGACGTTGAACGTTGATGTTTTGGTTCGCAGTGATGACGTAGCCAGCACAGTTTTCTCTAATGGCTCTTACAACGAAAGCCCAGGCCAGGGGAGGAAGAAAATCCTCCGGACACGGTCTCAGAGGCTGGAAATAATCTAACCTCCGATGTACCTGAGACATTTTGCCAGGTTATTTTCAGGTAGGAAGGATGATGTTTGTGTTTGTCGCTTCCTTTCATCTAGGATGTCTTTATTATCTGGGAGTGCCATTCATTCCTTGAGGCGGCTTGTTGACATTGCAGACCAGGAAAAGATGGAGCTGGAATGTAGAGGGGTTTCATCGCAGTGGCAAGATAGCTGAGTTTTTTGTACGCGTGGTTGACTTATTAATAACTGGTAACAAGGATGTCGTACAGACAATGAAAAAAAGACTTGTAGCAACACATGTACAGACTGAATTTTTTTCCTTCTCTAACGGTCGCATTATTAATCTGCAACATTCTGCAACCTTACATTTAAATGCATATTAAAAATGTGGGCTTTTCTTGGCCAGAATCAGCTTTATTAGCCAAGTTTTGGTTCTTGAATAAGTATTTTATCTTCAATTTCCATCTCTAACATCATGCCATCATTAGATTAAAATGTAATATTCTGCAAATTCTCTACTAAAGTCGATTCTTTGCAAAAATGTATAAAAATAAAAAATTATACATGCACGCTTATTGTCATATTTTTTTTAACTCTGTTTATCCACGAAATTCTCACAGCTTATTGATCTGTAAAAACAGAAAATTAAAATAGTCAATTTGAGAAAAAATTAAATGCAGATGGATTTAAAACCAAAATGAATGAAATATATAAGACAATATTATCTATTTGCTTTTAGTCAAAGCAGACCATCAGCTCTTATTCCCACTTCTGCCACAATAGTCCAGAATATTAATCATAATATTTATAGGATTTTTGTTTTTTTTTGTATTTCAATTTCAGTAAACTTTTAAACTCTGAATATAGTAGTAGTGTTTAGTTTATTTTTGAGCAGGATTTTGATGAGATTTGTATTTTACCCAGTAATTATTTAAAGCTGCCATCATCCTCCTCATTATGGTTTGTTGTAAATTCCCATGGTAGAAACAGTCTATCATCTTTTCTAGTAAGTCAGTTTTTGAAAGTACCATAATACTTTATGACTTTTAACCCTGAGTCAAAGTGCATTTTCATAGTGCAGTCGTGAGACTTTTGTATCTGGATTGTTATTCAGAACAGACTGTCGACACTCATGACTGCATAGGAGATAACATTTTAGCTGCAAAATCATCTTTGTTTAGGGGGAACTAATTAGCGCTGCAAGGCTGCTCTAAGATCATTATTCTCTACGTTTATTTTTTTTGCATCAAAAGAGTTTCTTTGTTTAATTTCTGATTCCTGAAAATCTGCTTTTTCACATTTAAACCAAGTCTTTTAGCCAATGAAACTGCAGGTCAGTGTGTGAATAAAGGAGAATCCTGGTATATGCATGTGCCAAATATTGTAAAGCCTTATTTAATGCATTATTTATCTCAAAATCTAGAAATAATTAGTAATTTTATAATCAAAATGTCTTTTAGTTTGTAATTTTGACTAGAGTTTTAAGCACCTTATGCTGCTCCTGTGATTTAACTTAACTCTGGTAAACTCCAGTCACATGAGGGATGCTGCATGGGGTTAGGATCAGTTATGGTGCTGTTTCCAATAAGTGTCAGCACATGCTGCTTGTAGTGCCATGTGACTTTCATTTGTCTTCATGCATCTTCCTATTAAGGAGAAATGGCAGATTATCTCAAAATGAACGTCTCTGCAAGTCACAAGGAGCCACACTACCACATAACAGTTATGACATTGTTAACTGCAGTTACTGAGATTTTATTGTAAATAAGCCCTGAAGCTATCTGCCTGGTTTTATTATTAATAGATACAGGGTGAAATATGAAGGTCTTTCAAATTGGGCTTGGTTAATTCATTTTAGCCAATTCAGTGTTAAAATTCTAGGGCTGAACAATTAATCAGATTAATCAATTATTGAAATAATCATTAACTAATTTAGTAATTTAGTAATCGATTATTCGTTAACTGGAGTGTAGACACTCTAAAACATGCCTTTAGCTGACAGAGCAACCCACTTAGTGCATTAATTATATTAAAATTGTAAAAAAAAAAATGTGTAAACATTTTGAATTTAAGATAAAAAATCTTTTTCATCTATCTGTATAGTCTATCCAGAACTCTTTAGGTGGAAATGTTTTAGTTTCACCTGGTTTAATTTAGTAAAAAATCTTCTGGGAACCTTTGGCTATCCAATTATTATTCGATTACTAAAAAAATTATTTGACAGATTCATTAATTTGCAAAATATCATTAGTTGCAGCCCTAAAACGTTCCTTGATAAAGTGACTGAATATGTAAATTTTGTTACTCATTTATTTGTTTAAATATTAACCTTGCCATGATCAAAAACAATTCACAATAAATGCAATTCTGCAGGTCATTAAAAAAACATGATTTTGTTTAGAATTGTTCAAAATAGAGAACACCATGCTCTATTTTTTTCTTCTGGAAATCCAAATTGCTTATAGTTAGTTGTACTTTGATCTTCTGAAGTTATATAATCATCCAAAAAGGGGAAAAAAAATCATACACATGCCCAGGTCTTGTTTGTAATTCACCAAGCATCTTAGGATAGATGGATAGATGTTCTCCATAAGCAGAAGTGATAGTATGAATGCAGTCCTATTAGTGCATATCAGTTGTTTAGGTGCGTTCAGTAAAGTTTTTTACAGTAATTTTATTTAACTCAAAAACTCATTGTTCATTACTGGCAGGTAGGGATGTCTCTGTCCAACATTAGCCGAAAAACAAGTATCGGCTTGCATCTAAAAGCTCTGATATTAGCAAGTTAATAGAAACATTCATCATAGATCTATCCAATTCTTTCTGATGTGTTTGTATCATTGGTTAATAAAACATGGATCAGATGTTTTTATACTTTGGTTGACTGTTTTCTAATGGATGTAAATCCTTTGATCAAGCCTTTTCTTCCATTCCCCGCTTAAATAAGTAATGAAAGTATGTATGATTTGTGTTTATATTGTATAGGATCAATATCAGTATCACATATGAAATGGAAAAGTTGTACGGAGAGATCCCCACTTTCAGGTTGATTTATTTAAAGCATTTATTTCTAATAACTCTGGTGATAATAGCAGACAGTGCATATACTGCCAGAAAAAGCAGAATTATCATCATAATAAAGCTTGTCACAAGAGGGAGGCATCAAGAGCTCGAAAAGCTAAAAGAAAATGCTACGCTGACTTTGGACTTGATGTGACATTGCACCATTAGATGAAAAGTCACAAAGGATTTTGAGCCTCTTTGCTCTTCTTCTAGAGTCTGGAACTTTCATTTAAACGATGAATTTAGGCAACTCAGTCAAGAGTCCAGTCTCATTCTTCGTATTCCATCTGATTGTAACTTGGTTATGGGTCTGTGATATTGCTGATACCCATATACGTCTTTTTCTTATCAGTCAATATTAATAGTTATTGATACGTTTCTTGCTGTACCTATTCTATATAAGGAGAAGGGGAAAGGGAAGAATTTAAATTGGTACCACATTTAATCCTAACTTTTGAAAAAAATCAGTCCCTACCACCAACCTGGCTTAGCTTGGCCATGAGGGTTACAAGGCTGAAAAAATTCCTCTGTCTGCAATCCCCCACAATGCAATGGGATTCTGGGTTGGCTGTTTTTTCTATTGGTATTGATCACTTTTACAAAATATATTAATATTGTTTTATTGCTCAGCCCTAAACTTGATGAAGTCTCACTTTCCAAGTCATGCATAATTTCTAATTTAATTATCCATTTTATATCACCATCAAATCTCCAGTCCTTTCTGTTCTTTCTCTATTTTTTTAAAGTAATTATTGACAAACTTGTAATTGGTGATAATTATGTGATGTAAAGGCTTGAAATAAGTCACTCAATGTGAAAGTGAATCCTCTACTCAGCTCAATCACTTGTTGCTAGGCACTGGGTTAAAGTGATAGCAACGCCCTCTTGCTTTCTCCTCCCCTTCAGTTTCAGCTTTCAGGCTGTTTTTTCCTAATCAAACTCTCACCATTTACTTCAGCTCCTCACCTGCTCTTCCTCTCTGTGTCTCGGTAAAAAGGTAAGGAGAAAAACATCAGGGCCCCCTCTAATCTTTGTTAGAGCATGTGAGATAGCCTGGCCAAGTGGCTGAAGAAGGCAGTAGGCAGATGTCCAATGTAGCAGGTGGTTTATTTACATTGCAAAACAAGGGTGCAAAAAAAAAAAAGTATTTACAAAAGAAATTTCCAAAAAAAAATAACTCAGAGGTTTAACATGGCTCAACAGAACATTAACTGAACTTAAATCAACCATAAATAATGTCAAGTGCACCCAGCTACACTGACCTGGTTCCTCTCCCTTCTGAACCTCAAACAGCTCTGTCTTATACCTGTTTGGTCTGAAACACAAAATGGCCTCCAATGGACTCTTCCATTAACAAATGTGGCTGCTCCATTTACTCTCTACCTAGCTTGGTGTTACATTCTATAACTTTAAGCAAAATGTTCTGAATAAACACCATACAAATATCTACATCTAAATGTAACATTGGCAAGGATTTTAAATAGTTAACAAAATGTAAAAGGATTTTCATCCCCCCCTCTTCCTCTGGTATCTTCCTGTGACCACAGCTCTACACAGGAGTCTCTAATTGCAGGAAGTGAGGTCACACTTCCTCCTGAAAGACAGGTAAGGTAAGTTCACCAAAATAAAACAAAAGTTACATAATCAAACAAAACCTTGAAAAGTTATCACCTGATTTAAACCAAGATGTTTACTAAATTATCTGTAAAAATGCAAACATAAACAAACCCGGGATAGTAAATGAATGCAAACTACAGAATAAAGAGATGGTTAAATCAAGCAAACAAAATAAATGTATAAACGGAGACAAATGGTGTTCTCACCCACTTTGTCACAGAGCAGTCTGAAAACAGTCATCAGTATCTGAGTAGATGTAGAAAAGGTGTTAATATTTGAGTCAAAATTTATTCTTGGCTTAAAAACTAGAATGTTGCTGTATAATTTCACTTTGAGTAGTTTTAAATTGGTTTGTCTGGAATCCATGATTTTAAAAAAAAGCACAGCTTCTCCTTTAGCTTTGCGTAGTTCAGCATTTTTTTGGTATCACTTTTAAGAACAAGAATTTCCAGTTATTGCTTTAGTGACACTGTGGCTCTCTAAGGAGGCAACTGTCTCTTTTCCTGTGAGGGTTAAACCACAGCCTTGTTTTTCTCTTTAGTTTCACACCGTAGTTTTATAATAGGAAACATTTATGATGTTTTTTTGATGTTTTTTTTTTTTACTGAGACAGATGTTGTCTTTGTGATGAGTCATGCTTCCTGCTCCACCTAAAGAGTCAATTAACGAGCTCCAGTCTTTTTCTCCTCTTGTCTTTCAGCTATGGCTGGACCAAGGCCTGTGGTGTTTAGTGGCCCGTCCGGGGCAGGAAAAAGCACTCTGCTGAAGAAACTCATCAAAGAACATGACAATGTGTTTGGCTTCAGTGTCTCCCGTAAGTGTGGCAGGCGGTAACTTCAACCATAAAAAGAAAAACTAATGTTTCAGGCAGTAATTGAATTAGGATTTCAGGATTTTTATCTGTATTAAAATCAAAGTGCATCACGAGTTGTATGTAGCCGATTGTCTTTAATTAAGTCAATCGTCTTCTTGATTGGTATTCTGCGTCTTTCTTTTGATATAGGCTTGGTATCAAAAATAGGTACTGAACAATACATTTTTGAAACATTTCAGGAGAATTTAAAGGTTAAAACTCATCACAATTGATTCTAAGTGCCCAACCTTAATCTTAACTTATCAATGTGTGTTATTCTATTATATATCTGTTTCTAATTATGTGGTAGTACTGTGTTCTGTTATACCATAGCAACATTTAAAACTTCTTTTTATGTTTTTGTTTTGTTTAGGATGGGCTTAACTCTTCTAATTTGCTCGACAACTGATATGATACATATAAAAATCTGAGACCTAAATAAATACATAATTTACAGAATCTTCTGTAATTGTTGATAAACTGCTTGCTTAAAGCTCTGGAGAATGTAACACCCGAGTCATTTTGTCTCCTAGATACAACAAGAAACCCTCGCCCTGGAGAAGAGAACGGCAGAGGTAAAACATATCTCGTATTCTCTTTTAAAAAGAGCTTTCCAACCACTGTCTAGTTTCTTCTAAACCTATTCCCTCTATACTTAAATCGTTGGTTTATAGATTACCATTATGTTACACGGGAGACGATGCAGGCAGCCATAGACAACGGCGAGTTCATCGAAAACGCAGAGTTTTCTGGAAATCTGTACGGCACAAGCAAAGCTGCTGTCCAAGCTGTTCAGGCCAAAAACCTCATCTGTATACTGGACATCGACATGCAGGGTGTGAAGAACATTAAGAAGACGGACCTCAACCCTATTTACATCTCCATCCAGCCGCCATCCATGGACATCCTAGTGAGCACAACTGAAATCCATGCAACCAGTTTATCTCTGAGTTTTCCTACAAATAACCTGTATTGTTGGAATCAACAGGAGAAACGACTAAGAGACAGAAAAACTGAGTCGGAGGAGAGCCTGCAGAAGCGTTTAAATGCAGCCAGGGTGGACATGGAGTTCAGTAAGGAGTTCTCCTTGATTCTAAAAGCACTGAAATAAAATTCAACAAGCATGTTTAAAGGCTAAAGCTTCTTTTTTGATTTCTCCAATTTAGGCAAAGAACCTGGCATGTTTGATGTCGTTATCGTCAATGACAATTTAGACGATGCTTATGGAAGGTTAAAACAGACTCTTCTTGAGGTGAGTTACCTTTGCAGCCCTCGTTTTCAAACATTAAAGAAGTTAAAGATAAGTTAAGAGCTGCTGTATGATGCTGATTCTAGACACTAGAGGCAGATGAGGCTACACAGGTAAAAAAAAAAAAAGGTCAAAGCACGTGTTTGCAAATTAGAAGACATCTAATAGTGTTAATGGGTTCCACTTACTTCAGCTCTCATATGGGCATGTAGAAACAAGTAGAGGCTCACTGATAACTGCAGAACAAGCATAGATAATTATTAAAGGGAACTGATGAGAAAATGGGCATCGTGTTACTAGCTTACCCAGTCGAAGACTTTACTCACCTTTTCTTTCTAAAATAGCTCAAACTCTTTCAGACTGGATGGAGAATATCTATAAACATCAAAGTCTTGCTTCAGATTCTTGATTGGATTTAGGTCTGGACTTTGACTAGGCCATTCTAAAACTTGGATATACGTTCTCCCACTGTATTTTAAGGGTTGTTGTACTGCTGAAAGGTTAAGAATGGATCTATAAGTTAAACTGACAGATATAAACTTTGGAATTTTCAATCACAATTCAGGGTTTCCTTCAAACTCTTGATAAATTGGCCAGCATTTGGAACCTCAGTATTTTACTTTATTTATCATGTCTGGTTAAGTATCGGCAGAAAAAAAAAATAAGAAGAATGAAAAGTTTTTTTTTCATTACATAAATGAAACCTTCTAGTTTCTGTTTTGTTTTTATTTTTTTCACTTGGTTTTGTATTTAGTTGATGATCATTGGTTTTGGTCTTGCAGATAGCAATTTTAGTCCAACTCCATCATTTTTGAGTGACTGAACGACTTAATGATATAAAGGAAATAAAAAAGAGGCATCTGACATTTTCACACATGGAGCATTTTGCCTCTAGATCCTCTTATCTGTGGATTTTAAACTGATCTGAAGGCTATTGAAACAAGTTCTTGTCCATCATTAAAATGTTTATATTTTCAAACTTAAGTTAAGGCAGTGCTAATTCTAAAAGAAAATTCAGAATATCCCAGTTCAGAACTTGCTGTTTTTTTTTTTTCCGAATGGTCTGGAAAGGTTTGAAATTTGGAGATTGAGATATTGCAGGAACCCTGCAGGGCATGGATGTTTGTTTTTATACTGATACAGGCTTGTTGTTCTCTCTGTAGGAAATTAACAAGGTCAATAAAGCAAAGACATCATAGAAGACAGCACAGCACGGCGCCTCATCCATCCACTCCCCATGAAAGCCAAGACCACTACTACTACATAGTACATTCCCTCAGATTATGGTCTGTTAAACTCAGACGGCATAAATTAGTCAATCTACAAACATGTATTTAGATGGAGTTGGTCAACTAGTGTATTTTTGTTTTATTTTTAATAGCCATTTATTTTTTATTCTTTATGTTTAAAGAGAATATACTCCAATGAATTTTACTTGAAATGTGACTTGCACCTTGTGGAGAAGGATTTTCATCAGACAGAGTGAATGTCTGCCCTCTTGATCACTCACCATGCCAGAGTAGCAGCAAACGGGGAGCGGCAGGATGCATTCCATCATGTGGACTAACTGGTCTGTGATGTGGACTGCTTTGGTGGGCTTTTTAAATTCTTTTCCATCTCTGGTTGTTTACTTTCAGGGGGTACATGCAAGTCAGCCATGCTTAATGAAACATTACATTTATTCCAGACTTGGTAAAGCTTTTTATATTATGTTTTTTTTCCTATGTATATGTTAACAGAATATCTCAGTTTTATTTGGATTATGTTGCACTCGAGTGAGTGAAGTCCAATTTTTTCTTAATTACTTTATCACTGTCATTCGTTTTCGTTTTTATGTTATCGGGGGTCGGGGGTGGGGTATTTGGCTATTTTAAAATTGTAGTTTTATAAAACATTTATATTATTGTGTAACTTGCTCATATTGTAGCTTTACATGTATTGTGAAATGACATTCAGAGGACTTAAAAAGATCTGCAGGACAAAATAATGTTTAGAGTTGTAAATGTTCCCTCAAACAAAAAGCACAGCAAATCTATTTTTACATATGTAATTAAGGAAATCTATGGTGTGTTTGTAAACTGGTTTCCCAGCCACACCTTAAACGGTGAAGCTATGAGTCGCACCTTGTAAAATCCATTCATTTACCATGAATTATATATTCCTGATATTGTTGTTCATTGAAGCAATACGTCCTCTGAAATAGCATGTTACATGTTTAAAACTTCAATTAAAATGTTACAAAGGTCCTTATTTGTGTAGTCTGTTGTGTATGACTGTGACTGATAACTAATAAAAATGGACAATACCATTTCACAACATAGGGTAAATATAAGCATCTATGGTGAGGGTTAAAGTTTGCAGTCAATGAAAACAAAGCTGGGTTTGTATTAACATGTTTCCCAAGATCCGTTAAAAAATATCTTAGGAAATATGTTATAAGGGTAGCAATGAGGACTACTGACTGGACAGGTGTCCTTTGAAATCTTCCATCGGTTACTTATGGTGCTGTAGGCAATAGGATGATTGCAGCTTGGGAGAGCTACAGCTGAAGTCTGGTGTTTTTTTTTTTTATCTTTATGTTCAGGACTGGCTTAAAATAAGGAATAGAACAGTTGAACACATGTCCTGCATACACCTGTGTGTTGTGAGTAGGGCTGCAACAACGAATCGATAAAATCGATAAAAATCGACTTTTAAAAGCGTTGGCAACGAATTTCATCATCGAATAGTTGTGTCGCGCGATTATTGCGTCATCCGCCGCGCCGTCATCGCTGCCTCTTGACTGAAAGAGGAAGAAAAAAAAATATGGCAGAGCGAGTCAGCGCTGCAGGTGCAGTGTTACCAACTCAGCGACTTTTCAGACCCCTCCAGCGACTATTTTTCAAAAAAGCGACTAGCGACAAATCTGGCGACTTTTTTCGGTGTCACTGGCGGCTTTTGGAGACTCTTACGTGAAAGCATGTATCGTTCCTACTCTGCCGTGGGGCGCATCCCCCCGCTCCCGCAGGAGTCCCTCTCAGCTGCAGTCAGAGCCGCAGTGTCCAGACTGCAAATGAAGCGCGCATGCACCGGGATTGACGGCGCAAATTGATCACAATAATTAAAATAGCCTGCGCTTTGTAAAGCGAAAAAAGTGATAACATGCAACTTTTTTCAAAAGAAATTAACATGGCACGGAACCACCATGTTTGTTTGGTTTCAAAGTGGGGAAACGTAACGTTAGTTTCTCAGGTAGCTCATCCGATGCTTTCCTTACCGTGATAAGGTTGGCTACTTATTTTACTTTTAATTTCATTTCAATTAGCTTAAGCAGCGTTTGTATTTACTTTATAAATAAATTAACTTGCAAATTATGAGGGCAAGGCTTTTAAAGTTTAAATCTTCTGGCGAAGATAAAGTAAAGAAGATCCTGCAATTTATGGAAGTAAAGCAGAATAAAATCCAGCAAGATCAGTAATATGTCAATTAATTATCTGCCACATTCCCATGTAAATATCTGTCTTTGGAGGATGTGTTTTTTTAGCACCCCTAGTTCTCTCATTTTTATTCCAAATACAATTTATAATTTGAATCACAGGGCTATTTTTATCTCTATGGTTCAGTATTTTCTCAAGTAGCAACTTTAACTGCTATACTTTCCTGTCTTAAAAGGCAGAACTCTTCTAGTCTAAAAAAACTCATTAGTTGAAATGGGGGGGCCTATTGTTTGAACCCCTTAGGGGCTTTTAAAAACAAAAATGTCTTTTTTTGCGCTTTATGAAACAAAGTAGCCTATATTTTGTGGATGTACAGCTACATTTCTCATGTAAGTTTGCGTAGTTTTAACACAAACATTTATTTTTCATATTGCACCAGTACAGTTAATGAGCAACCTGTACTTGTGTGCTTGTTTGTTCTGTCTAAAATGTTTATTTTGGAATAAAGAGCTTAATATAAAAAATATTTTTTGTCAGATTCATCGATTAATCGAAAAAATAATCGTCCGATTCATCGATTTTTTAAAATAATCGTTAGTTGCAGCCCTAGTTGTGAGGCATAAAGCACTGCCTCTGTTTTGTGAATTACAACCTGTGTAAAACCTCTGCTTTACATTTCTTTCGAAGTACCCCTGTTTGCGCACCCTTTTTAAACTATGGTACATTTTTTTCTGTGCTGAGATTTTCTCTTAATCATTCTGAATACAGCCACCTTCTTTAGAATTGACCTATTTGTTAAAGCCTCCTTTTCGAGACTAACGCTGTCAGCTCGACTACTGTGTACTTGTCATCCTGCTTTTATCCAGGATTGGGTCGATGGGGCAGCAGTTTCAGCAGAGACTGGGGAAAGCCGAGGCACTCCCATGCCAGCTGAGAGGCATAGTCCCTCCAGTCCTGGGTCCTCCCTCGGGCCTCCTCCCGTTTGGATGTGCCTTCGCAGATCATGGGGCATCCGACAAAGATGCCAGAGCCACCATAGCTGACTCTCTGTGTGGAGGAGAAGCAGCTCTTCTCCTATCCTTTCCTGGATGTTTTAGAGAGACCCCAGCCACACAGAGGAGAAAGCTAATTTCAGCCTCTTGTATCTCGTTCTTTTGGTCACGATTCATGACCATAGGTGAGTGTAGGCCGACCCGTAGATTGAGAGCTTTGCCTTTTCCCTCTCTTCACCCATACAGACCTGTGCAGCGTCTGCATTATAGCGGCACAGAACCGCCTATCAATCTGCTCCATTCTTCCCTCACTCATAAACCTATTGACTTACTGGTTCCCCAGTGATTGCTTTGGTCACAACATAGTTATAATACCAGAAGATAACTGTAAAAAAGGTATTTTATTAGTTTTATGTATTATAATTCTCTTAGAATAAAGACTATAGCAATAATTATCAGGAATGTATCCCTGAAGTATTGATCCATCCCTATAATTATTCTAGTAAATGTTTGAATTTCAATTCCTAAAATGAATATCTGAAATACCTATTACCTGACATGCATAATTCACTCAGTTTAACCCAAACCCATAGCTATTTATAAAGGAATAATAGAAGAAGCAGGTTATTTTGGGAGTTTTCTGTACATTTATTTAACACTGTGCTCAACCTAATTTTCCTCTCGAAAACTACACATGAACATTTCAAACAATAACAATCCGTCGGAGCCATAATATAACAGCATACATAGTCCATACCAATTACATGGTACCTTATACCAACACAAGCACTGCAACATTTGTAAAGAACGTAGTAAAGTCCTTGAATTTAACATTTTCACTTAAATACAAGATGATTCTGTTGAACACATTTGCTGTAGAAAGCAAATACATGCAGTCACTCGTGTAAATATGTCACTGACACACAAAACTCCCCTGTGAGTTTGCATGCAACTGCAAATCATTGAAAGGCAGGAAAAGGGCTAAGAAGCGTGGTAAAACAAGAGCTAATGATAGAGTATGGGGGGGGACTTATGGTTCAGGTAAAGTGTACTTGTAGTGCAAAACAGGTTGTAGTGCACTCCAGTGTTACTACTGCTTACCAAGGAATCATTCATACATCAAGGCAAAAGTTTCTAGAATTTAATGGCACACCACTGGTTTAACCTAACAGTAATACAGAAAGCCAAAGTCTATGCCATGTTATACATACTTTCTCCTTCAAAAATTCAAGAAAGTTTCTGCAAGAAAAAAAGAGCTGTGGTAGTCATTTTACTGCTTGGATAAGTTCCTTTTGCAGAGATGATGATTTTCATGGTGGCACATCTATGAAAACGACCATCAAACTGATGAACGACAAAAGGTTTCTTCATAGAGCTCTGTCCACTTTATTCATGCTGCATGTCACACATCACAAAAAATACAGACAGAGCTGAAACCTGCTTACAGTGACATGTTTATCTCTACAGTTTACAGTTTCCACATTCCCTAGCCTATAGAAAACGCTGAATCCCACAAAAACAACTGAGGATCAGACTATTTTCTGACTGGCTGCTTCAATATGGAATGGTTGCTTTTTTTTATGTAGCAGATATATTTTTTTAGATTATTTTAATAATGTAAGTAGAAATGAATCCATTTAAGACTAATGATTTGTGTTGCGAATTAAAAGTTGTTTATTGGTTTTGAAAGGGTTTCTCTTTAATTTGGAGAGTGACAGGCTTTCCGACTGATGTGTAACCGTAGGTTTGGGTGGACACCTTAGTTTTAAAGCTCTGCTGCCCACCCTCCACTCTCTGTACCTCAGTGCAGTAAGAGGGCTGCACCTCCAGCTTGGCGTGGCTCACTTGGATTGGGACTTGTCTCTCCATCCTGGTTCGAGCTCCGCTGGTTTGTGGGGAGACAGATGGAAAAAGACCGCTTGATAGATGCTCCCTGAAGCGGCCGAAGAGGCCCCTTCTCTGCCTTGGAAAAACTTCCGGCCGCCCCACATGGAGAAGCACCGGCTGTCCTACTTGGGACCCCCCAATCTCCCTCTGGAGGACAGAGACCTCACAAGGCTTCTCGTCAGAGACGCGTAAGCTGTCGGAGGAGCCGTAGGTTTCTCCCTCTCCTGGGATGTAATCCTCCAAGTCCTCCAGATTTATAATACGATCCCCTTGTTTCAGATCCACTGGTTCATTCCTCTTACTGTCATCATCATCCGGTTCAAAGATAACAGTTTGTTGATCATCCAGGTCATCGATATCTTCAGCAAGCGTTGCGATGTTTGGCAGTTCATATGGTTCTCTCGATGCAGAGCCAGAGGCAGTCTGAGGCTCCTCTTCCTCCCAGGAGACGGTCTGGCTGCTGATCTCGTCTTTAAGATGTTCCTGTTTCTGTTCCACCAGCTTGTTGTTTGAGTTGTTAACATTCAGGTTGTCCAGAGGAGACCTCTTGGGACGGGAGGGGGTTGCTGCACGATCTGAGCCTGCAGGTGAGATCCCTCTTCTTCTGGACAGTCTGGGAGACTTATTGACCTTATACTCAATGACTTCCTCCACTTCAACCCACCTGGGCTTGCTTTCTGCTGCCCTGGCTCCAGCCCCCTCAGGATCAGTGACATAGAGGGTTGGGATGGTGGTCTTTCTCTGGGTCGGCATCCTTCTTGGCCTGGTTGCAGGTAGTTCAGGGGTGGAAGTTTCTGAACGGTGGGCTCCAGTAACACTCAAGCCTGGAGATCTGTGTCTCCTCATGCGTGGGTTTTTCACAACAGTGGTAATCGTCTCCTCGCTGTGATAAATAAATGAAAGCATTAGAAGAGGTACTACAAAACTTTGCAAAAAACACACTGATGATTGGAACTAAAAGGCTTTAAATAGCTACTCCATCTTCAAGATAAGAATTCAGGCATTTGTATGAAAGCAGTCAAACTCACGTTTGATACAGTTTATTGCTGAGAGAACATGTCTAGTTCAGTTTTTCTATTTGTTTTCTGTCATAGAACAAAATACAATCAAGACAAAACTCACCATCCTAAAAACAAGCTTCTGTGCCCATATGTAGCTCTATATTTCACAAGGCAAAAGCAACTAATCTGCCCTTTTTTTGCTTATTTGCATTTTTTTCTTCTTCCCTCCTTCAGAGGTAGTTTCTTACATTTTGTACAGCTGCAGCATAATGTTAAAGCCTTATTTTAGAGCATTGCAAGGACATATTTTGATAAGAGGAAGAACATGAAGTTATCTTGTCATCTACCTAAACTAGATTTTCCAAATAATGTTTAATAATGCTGTCTGCTCAGGTTAATTTATGTGTCTGTTGCAATGTCATCAACCTAAATATACACAGCTGAATCAGCAAGGGAATTTTATTTCTGTTTTTTTTTTTCAAATGTGGTAATCTAAATACTGTATAAAAATATATGCTTTCAATATTTTCCATGAGACAAATACATACGACTCTATAATAGATTAAGTTGCTGTGTAAATAAGACCTAAATGTTTACCTGCCCTTTTATTTAGTTGCACAAGTCATACTAAGCAGCAGGGATCCCAGTTTAAAGGAACAAACTAGCCCCTCCTTTTCTCATCTCCATGATAAAATCATTTAGTGCACAGACTTTAAATACTACACAATCTATAGAAAGGCATACACACAGAAAAAATCTCTATTTTAGTCTTAAAAAGAAAACACTCTACAGCTGAATAAAACTTTAGCTCTCAAACAAAAACATCATTTTTATTAAGAAGATAATAAAACTAACTTTCTTAGAGGACAACTGTGTATTCTGAAGCCCCATCTTGTGGCTCTTCAGCAACTTCATAGGAACTCCCAATAACCAACATAAATGCTATAGAAACTAGACATGGTTTATATATAGAAGAGCTAGATTATTTACAGACATTTCCCAACGAAATGTTACTGATTTTACAAATAATAATTTTCTTAATCTGATTTTGCATCACAAATAAACTATATCTTTTTCACTTTTCTAAGTGATGAGTTGCTTTTTTTTGCAGCCCCTGAACAACTTTGATTAGTAAAAGAGAGAAAAAAATGTTTTCTCTGTAAACTCCTCTATGTAACAAAATGCACAGAGGGAAAAAATTTTCCTGATCACACTTACATGATGATGGTCTTCTTCGGTAGTTTAGTCTCCTGTTCGGTAACTAAAAAAAAAAAAAACATCAATAACTGAGTGAGCACCACCTAAAGTAGTTGCTATGTAGTTGAAATGTTGAAAAGAATAAATAATAGGCTCTGCCTAAACTCATTTAAAGTAGTAAAAAGCAAAGTGATGATGAAAAGGCAGGCAGAGAAACCGTACCTTCAATGGTGATGCCCTGCTCCCCAGTACGGGCCACAGCAGAAGGAACTACTAAATCAGCAGCACACTTGGCACTGCCTAGGCGGTTTGACAGCTGGCAATAGAAGGAAAATATATTTAGAGTTCTAAATATGACTTTCTACTGCTTATTGGTATTAGATAGCTTCAAATAAAGTTCTTAGGAGTAGAAATTAAAAAAAATATTACAATCAAATCTGCCCTTAGAGACCCTCAATGAACCCAGCAGACTTAATCAATAAGTTATTCCAGCAAAACCTTCTCTGGTAAAGGAGGTTTTAAACATGATCTAAATCTAAAGATGAACTCGATAGAAAAATGTAAATGCACATACCTATTAATAACAAAAACAACTCAAAGTTTTGTCTTTTTTTACACTAAATGTCCAAAAAACAAAACAAAACTATAAACATAAAAACAGCAGGAGAGCTAGTTTACCTCACACTCGTAGTGTCCAAGGTCTCTCTCAGTCAGGTTTTTTATAATCAGAACTACAACCCCGCTACGGAGCTCACTGTAGGTTTGATACTTCTCCTGGTCAGTCAATAATCGTCCATCTTTGAACCACCTTTAACAAGTACAGAAAGATGACCATGCGAAATGTAGTTAGCCTTGCAGATATTTCACAAATGTGAACATTTTCCCCTTTTGTGATGTAAAAAATAAATAAAATCTGAAAAATTGTGGTGTGAAACTGCAGTCCTAGCTAAATTCGTAAATGTAGTGCAACCTGTAGCTACCATAAGTCACCTATTTGTGTGTGTAATTTAACAAAAGAAAGTATTTCCTGGCTCAAGTGGAGGAGTTTAAGTATCTGAGGGAAGAATGGAGCAGGAGATTGACGGATCAGTAGGCCTGCTGCTATACTGTGGACGCCGCACTGGTTTGCCGTACTGGTTTGTCGTGATGAAGAAAGAGCTGACCAATAAGGCAAACGAGGCTCTGGATTTACCAGTCTATGTTCCTTCACTCATCTGTATCATGACAGAAAGAACGAGATCCCAGGTACACGTGACTTTAGAGCAGACATCCCCAAAGTCAGTCCTCGAGGGCTGCTGTCCTGCAGGTTTTCGAGGTTTCCCTGCTTTAGCACAGCTGATTCTGATGACAGCAGTTCAGCAAAAGCCTGTTAATCAATTAACAATGTAAATCAGCTGTGCTGGAGCAGAGAAACCTCTAAAACCTGCAGGACGGTGGGCCTTGAGGACCGACTTTGGGGATGCCTGCTGTAGAGCTTTCTCAACGGTGTGGCAGGGCACTCCCCTAGAGGCAGGATGAGGAACTCAATCGTCCAGGAGAAGCTCGAAGTACAGCCGCTTCTCTTCCGCATCAAGAGTATTCAGCTGTGATGGCAGGGATATTTTTTTCAGATCCCCCCTTGACCCCTTCCTTTGAGAGGTATTCCAACCACATCTCATTGGTAAAATGCCCAGGAGATGACCCAGGACATGATGGAGGGACTATGCTTCCCCCAGCAGAGCTGGAGGAGCTATCTGGGAGGAAGGAAGTCTAATAGTGATGCTGCTGATACTGCTGCCTCTGCAACCTGAGGAAGACGACGACTACGAAGTACATATCTCTAATATGTGCCGCAGATGCTCGTAATAGTGTTTGAAAAGGCTGGTTAATGTCATGATACTGTAAGTGCATGCCACAGTTTTCAAATTTGTATTGGTAAAAAAAAAACGAGTTAAAAACTTCCCCATCATTGTCGACCACATTAGAATTTGTTGCACACTACAAAACTTCTCGCCTTTCAATGCACACTACAGAAAAACCCAATAAATCATAGTGAAGTTTGTGGTTCTAATCTGACAAAATGGGATAAAATTAAGTTACAAATGTGATAGCAAGGATTCAAAGTAGTCCTACCTTATTTTGGGGTTGGGGGCACTCTGAATCACACAGGTGAACTGAGCATCTTCTCCAGCAACAAAAAGAGCATTCCTTAATTTATTTAAAAAACGAGGAGGCACTGCAAAGAGATAAATAACATGTTTAAGCTGTGGTAACAAAATCAACGACTCATCATTGACAAAAGAAACAGAAAAGTTGTTCAACTTGAAAATAACCTGGAGTTTGCCTCCTCTCTAACTGTACTCTGAGAAACTGCCAAATAGCTCATATGAACACGGCCAGTGCTGTGGATAATCCACCTTTGTTCTCTGTTTAAATGATCTGAGGTGGAGTTGTTACATGTTGAAGTGATGTGTTCTTACCTTCTCCTATAAAATGCCTTTCTAATTTGGATCGACATACATTTTTAATGACTTTTTGATTTGTGGTTAAAAAATTGCCTGGTAATATGAAGGAACAGGTGATTCATTCTTTGTATATCAGTTTACCTTGAACAGTGATTTTTCCAAGAGTACTTGCATTGCCTGCTGGGCTTGTTGCAAAGCACATGTACTGGCCAGAATCATCTGCTGTCATGTTATCCAGGATCAATGTGCAAGAGCCGTCAGGGTCCTCTATGATGATGTGATGAGGATCTGCCTCTACTACACGGCCATCTAAAACAGGTCAGATAAGCTAGTTGATAAACCAAGTGACTTATTTAGAATAATGTAAAACATTAAGCATGAGGAAATACAATGGAACAAATGTCATACCTTTGTACCAGGTAACTACAGGTTTGGGCACCCCAGTGACTTTGCAAGCAAGTTTAACTGTTTGACCCAGTTCTGCTGTACAGTTTGCCAAAATTTCTTCAAAATCAGGCGGACCTGGAAGAAAACGCATATTTTAACAGTCAACATCTATAGTGAAAGAGAGATTAAAAACAAGGTTAATGGGAATCAAAGCAAGTGAAAGGGGGCTCTCACTCCATGCAGGCATAGTGTAGCGTTGCTGCAGTTCCCTGAGGTCTCGCAACCAGGAGTTCTTGATGGTAACCGTTCGGGCCTGTAAAGTGTATTTTCTTACAGTGTCCTCCCGTTCATGCCAGATCTCAAATGCACGGTCGTCTCCTTCCACCGTTTCATTCACATCGATGTTATTCAGCTGCAGTGAATTAAATAGTACATCAAGATTCATGCTAAAATAAAATGTAAAACACACATAAAATAATTTCTTACCTTCATCATGTTCTTAAAAACATATGCCTGTGTGTCAGTGTTGCTGTCTCTTTTGGGTTTGCAGATGATACAGTAGTTCCTAAAGAGGAAGACGTGACGGTGGTGACCCCTAGAAGATGTTCGAATACCAGGAGCTCCCTCCCACACTTGGAAAGGTCCCTTTAACAAAAGAATAAATAAGAATATAAAAAACAATCATGCAGAGAAAGTCACCCAAGTGCCTACAATGAGTAATAACCAAAGAAAATATTACCTGTCTGATTGGTTCTCCAAGAACTTCCAGGGTAGCTGGATAGTTCTCAATCAGAGAGACATGGTGGGTATTCTCAGAGCGCTGTGGAAGGGCAGACACCATTGCGTACGCCTCTTCCAGGAGGCAGCAGTTCTGCCCATTTCTTGCCTTGTTTCGAATTAGATCCTGCAGATGAAAGGTAAAAATGTCTGGAAAAGCTGTTGTGACGACATTGCCTCACATTAAGAAAGGAATCAAATTTGTTTCCACCAAAACTGTCACCTTAAGGAAGGCCTTGTACTTCTGTATCCTCTCCAGTGGTTGCTGCAGGTAAGCATTGATACTTCGAACTGGGGGACCTGCAGGGTCTGCATTTGCTTGCTCTTTCTCAGTATATTCCTTTAAAGGTAAATAATTGATAAGTGAATTTTAATGATCTTCACAATTCTTCACAGATAAAAACTGTGGCATAATTTTGTACAAAGTAGCTCTGGGTCAATACTCTATACCAGTGATTCCCAACTGGGGGTACGTGTAACACTAGTGGTCCACGGGTGCATTGCAAGGGGTGCATGAAAATATTCTATTTCTTAGATTGTAAAATAATACAGGGCTTGGATCTGTTTTGGTTTGTGAGGACTCAATTGAAATATTAAACAAGCTTTTATGAACCAAAAAGTACGTTTTTCTTATAAGTTTGAGTTCACCTTCAGCTTTGACACATATCCAAACCAAGCAGAGGAACAGATTGGATGTAGAGATCAGCCTGGGATCAGCTGTTTTTCACACTGAGCTATAAGAGCTCATCAAAGCAAGCTCAGGTGTGTTGATGAAAACAAAGTAAAAATTTGGTTAATTAAGTTAGTCTGACTGTAATTTTTATTCTGTATTTTGTTCCCAATCCATCAAGTTTAAATGTGATTATACGAGTTACTCAGATGAGCTCCAGTTTTATACAAATACAGGTTTATGATAGGATTTTTTTTGTTTTTCAATTCCTTACTAACTTCCAGGAAACATATTTATAATGTTTTTTTATTAGAGATGGAAAGCATAAATTAAATGCTCAAATGAAAAGATTAGGTAAAATATTTTTTTATTATACAATCAGTTTTTGTACGTTCCACATTTGGACAATCAATAGTTCTGCCCTTCAACGCAGCAACATCTCCAAGTCTTCCGAAGTGAATCTCTACCATTTTTTCAAAATAGCTAAATCAGACTCAGACTTGATGAGCACTTGTGAGAAGTGATTTTTACATTTTGCCACAACTCTCAAATTGGTTATGTTGTGGAATTTGTGATATTCTAACTTAACAGTGTCCTCAAGGCTGCTCCTCTGCTTAATGCTTTTCCTGCATGTCTGAGTCGGTTAGGAGGAAAGCCACGTCCTCATAGGCAGCATTTATAAATTACTCTTTCCATTTTTAGTATTGTTTATGTATTGGGATACTGTTTCATTGCCTAACCTTGCTCTAACTAAGAAAAAAGATCTTTGCAGGCTAACTTGAAAACTTTATTTAGTGTAGAGGTGAGATCTGCAGGCTATTGGCAGACTAAAGCACACTGAAAATAAATGCATGCCACACCTTTCATTTATTTTATTTAATTAAAAAAAAATCCAAACCACATTGTAATTGTGTATAATTGTGTCTACTGCAAAAAATATACTAACGTATGTTGATTGTTGAATTTTTACTTAATAAATTATGAAAAGCTTTAAAGAATTTTCTTCTGTATTTTCACAAGGTGCTTCATGGCTGGAAAGTGAATAACGGTTCCACTTATCAGAAATAGATACCTTGAAAAATCGATGGACAGTCTTGTCACTGACAGCCGATTCAGCTTGACACTGTCCTACGAGATACTGAAGGTACTGTTCAAACCCTTCCTTGTTCTTCAGGAAGCACATAGCTACATCATCATCTGTGTCACAGTCTTGTAACCTAGGAAGGAATGTCCTAGAAACAAAATTTGGCAGACAGACAAAGTCCATAAATAAAAAACAGCCTTATTTGATGCTGTCCTTTTTATGATTTACCAAATCTTGCTGATAATTATGGCTAAGACGTTGGCTCACTTGGAATGGAAGGACTTGATGTCATCAACGTTCCTAAAGATGGTCTCTTTCTGGCTGCAGACATCAGGTGGAGTATCCGAACTGTCAGCTTGCTTCAGGTGGTGAGATGTGAAGAATTCGACCTCCCTCACAAACTGTAATTCTCCATTGATCAGATCCTGCATCAGCTGACTGTATGCACCAAATGACATTTTGTTAGTGTATGTTGCTGCATATTTAACTTTCTAACTTTCAATTTCGCTCCACTTACAATAACTTCCTCTTGTATTCCCCTTCAGAAACCTCTTCCACACTTGTTTCTGGAAGATCTCCAGCATCAGCTGAGAGCTTGAATAAAAATTATAGTCATTCACAAACCAAACGGCTGCAGAAAATATAATTAAAATAAAAACAATAATGCATAAATATGTTTAACGAAAAACATACTTTGATTTTTTTATCCAAGTAGGCAGGGGACACCCAGCCTTGTCGTGATGGTGTTGTTTTGGTCGGTTTGGTCCGAACCAACCATTTAAGAGGATGAGCAGAGTCCAAAACCTCCACATACTGTCCCTCTTTGAGAGAGATTGAGTCTTTACTTGCAATGGTGGGGTTATAATCCGCTGATGCCACATAAATGTCAAACATCTACAATGATATGACATAAGGTTTTTCATCAGTGATGTGAAGCTTGAGGACTTCAGATAGATACAATTTTCTTTCTTGCTTTTTTATGCTGTTTCTTGTCATTCAATCATTTAATCAACCTATCATCTTTTGGTGACTGAAAATAGATTGAAAAAAGAATAAACTAAAGTATAAAATAAATATGACATCTTGCTACTGAATGTTCAAAGCCAGTCTGAATAAGAATCAGAATCAAGTTTACTGCCAAGTAGGTTTGCACTATTACAAGGAATTTGACTTGGTTTCGAGCCTGGCCTTAAAAACAGCAAAGTTAATAATGATACGACTATCACGAGGCAATTTGTTCCTGAGCCTGGGCCCAGCGATTGAGAAGGCCCCGTCCCCCCAGTATGCAGCTCTAGGGACATCTTACAAGAGCTAGTTTTACCTTAAGGCCCTAGTTAGGTTACAAACACATAGGAGTTCAGACAGGTATGGTGGCGCAGGATCATATAATAAAGAGGAAGCCAGTGAACAGGAAATAAGACTGGGATTATGTGCTGTTGTGGTTTTTATTGGTTGAAAAGCAAGAAAAAAAAACATTTTGTACCAACTGAGGAGGATTATAATCTGCTATGTAATAAAACATAGGTTTTCTCTTTCCATTTAGTTTTCAAAAACCTCTTTGTTGGGCTTCTCAGTGGTGCACTGGCTAGCATTGCTGCCTTGCAGCAAGAAGGTACTGGGTTTGATTCCCAGCCAGGGGTCTTCCTGCATGAGGCCTGTATGTTTTCCCTGAGCATGCGTGGGTTTTCTCCGGCCTCCTCCCACAGTCTAAAACATGACTGTTAGGTTAATTGGCTTTTCAAAAAAAAATTCTCCTTAGGTTTGAGTGTGTGTGTGAATGATTGTATTCCTGTTTGTCTCTGTGTTGCCCGGTGATGGGTGAACTTTCCAGGGTTTACCCCACCTCTCTTCTCTAGTAAGCTGGAGATATGCACCAGCACCTGTTGCAACCCCGCTTTGGATAAGTGTGATGGAAAAAAAATTAGTCAATGTGTCTACTAAGTCATTAATTTATCTCTAATCATTGCTATTAGTGCGTGTTGGTTTATTTGAATTGCTAACATTTAGATTAATCAAGAAACTCGATATAGAAACAAACAAACTGAATTTGAAGGTGTCTTCCCCACTCAGATGTAAATGTGATGTAAACTCTGTTATCAAGCAAACAAGACTGTTCTGGTTCCACAGTTCCTACCTCTCCTCTGGCGTCTCCTTCATCTGACTCTGAGGAGGAGTCTGCAATGAGGGAAGGAGGTCGAGAGCGGCCATGATGGGGTGATGGAGAAGGAGTTTTGGTCTCATCGTCGCTGTCAGCACCTGGTACTCGTAACGAAGCTTAGACAACACGGTTAGGAAAGCAGTTAGAGCAGAGATACAACATGCAGGGCGTGTCCTTTCAGTGTTTATTGTTTTAAAAATTATCAATGTTCTGTATTAAAAACTAATTTAATCAAGAAAGTTGTATTATAAACTCTTATGAAATGATTTAATTTGTTGGCTTTAACATTTGTGCCAGTTATTAATACTCCGTTGAATCAGTTTATTACAATTTAGCTTGCCAAAGGTAGTGAGTCCAAATTCACCATTCTACAAATAACTTATGCACTTGTTGTCTTGATATAAAAAACCTGAGGAATATTTTAGCTAAAGAATTTTTTTTCAAATTGAAATTATGAAAAAGATCGGAATTAATCAATGTTTTGGTTTGCTAAACAATGCATTTCTACTGCGTTAGTGGCAACATGCAACATGCCCTACATGCCTCGTATCCCAGCTGTAGGCTGATTGAGGCGTTACATCTTGTTTGAAAGGATGATAACATTCTTTTATATAAATTTAAAGGAAAAGAGGGGAGCTGAGATAAAAGAAAGAACTAATCTTCTACTATAAGAAGAAAATAAAGGAAACTGCGGAAAATCCATGAAAACAAGAATTACTGTTATCGTCTTTCTGATGCAAACTTGTGTAAGCTCATCTAAGAATATAAATATGTCTGAAAGAATTGTAGATTAATTGTGATGCTGATGCATTTGGTATACATACTGGCAGATTTGGGCCAAGATTTCATCCACTGGAGCACTTCGTGATTCTGTAAACTGTCTGAATAACAAATTGATTATTGGGTGAACATTTAAATGTGGGAACTGATAAAGAAAATGAGTTTTGTGGTTAAGGATCTCTGTGTGAAGTTAGGACAGGTTTTAAATTCCCCTGCATGATGATGAAACACAGCATGCAGAGAAAAGGTAAAAAAAAAAAAAGGTGAGAAAAAGATGTGGAAGCAATAAAAAAAAAAAAATGCTTTCAGGTTTGTTTTTTAAGTTCCTAATAAATATAAATGAATAATTTATGATAATTTGGTTTAAGAATTTTTAGTGATTAAACATGAATGTTTCCACAGAGTTTATGTGCTGGTAGAAAAGCAGCAAAAACCACAAAACCTGACATGAGGAACAAAGCAATTAGCTAGTAAGAGCAGAGGGGAGAAAACCAGGCTAACATCAAGTTTTTTTTAATACTTGATGATCAGCCATGCAAACATAAATATGAGATTATAACTTCTGCCTGTATGATGATGGTGTTAAAATGAGACGAGGGACATGTTACTAAAGAGCACACCACAACGTCATATTAGTATTGAGCTACATTTTACCTACCTTCTTAAACTAAAAACATCCTCTTCTATTTTGTTGCTTACATATTAAGCTATTTGAGAGTAAACCTTAACGATAAACTAAAATTCAAAGTGAATATCCAAAGGATTTTTTTAAACTGGTATTAGATACTTACCTTGGGTGATCTTTGCTGAAACCATTTCAGTGATCTGAGAAGTGAGTTTCATGAGAAATTCCTCCGAGCCAACTTCCCCTAAGTAGGGTATTTTACGTTCTTATAATATGGACAAAAGCAGGAAAAACACCATCAATTTCACAGCAGTTTGTGATGCATTAAATGTTAAACAACCAAGCAATATGAATATTTCATCATTTTTATTTTACCACTGCCTCTGCCAGCCTCATCTTCTGGGGGACTAACAGTAATCCCAAGGACCCTAAAAAGAATTAAATGTTACACACGCATCATACATGTATGTGTAACACGGACGACTATATATGTTCATTCTTACTCTGAAGCTGCAGTATCTTTCTTTAGTTGCGGTGCTGTGTAAAAAGAGGATAGGATGCACTTAGTTATAGTTACAAATACTAAGCAGCCTTTACTTGATGTACTGAAAGTCTGCTTGTCATTTTAGTGTTGTCAAGAATTTAAGATAAAGTAAAAAATATAAAGTTTTCCTTACCATCATCCACCTGGAGCTGACAGTTACAGAGAGACTGCCCTGCTCTATTTGTTGCAATACACGTGTAGGTGCCGGAATGCTCCTGGTGTACATCCATCAATATAAGGCTGTGCTGGCGACCAGAGCTTGCTATTTTGTATCCTTTAGTATCAGGTTTAATCCACAAAACATCCTCTGATGATTTCTCCCTCAGCCAGGAGACTGTGGGAGTAGGAGATCCTGAAAGAGTACAGTCAACAAACACATCAGAGAACACCTGGGGGTTGGGGTTGGGGGTTTAAGACATTTAAAAAAGAATGTGAACTGACCTTCTACCTTGACAGAGAGAGTGATGCTTGCACCTTGTTTCACCTTTCTGTTGCTGAACCTCTCAAGGAAGCGGGGTGGCACCAGTGGCTCCTTGGCGTCTTTTCAAAATGATTATAAGAGATGTTTAAAGACTTTTAAATGTTTACAGTTTGTCGCAATTAACAGGATGAAGAGTAATTTACCTTTTTTATCAGGTGGTAAAATCTCCCCTGGACCTGGTACAGAATCCAAACATTATTATTGTTGTTATCAGCTTTACCTGAATGCTGAACTACAGTGGTGCCTGTGTTGTTTTTGCATGATCTGAATTGTTATCTACTTAGGTATTTGTGTACATACTCAGTACTATCAAACGGGCAGAGGAGTACGCAGAGCCAGCTGCATTGCTGATGTAAGCAGAATACTCCCCCATGTCTTCTCTCTTCACTTCAAAGATCTCCACTGCATGAACATCTCTCCTTGCTGACAGCTGAATCCTTTTTGATGGTCGGAGAGGCTGGCTGTCTTTGAACCAGTATACTTTAGGTGTAGGGAACCCTGTCATACAGAAAGATGATCAATTCCCACTATCTTTTCACCCATATTTGTATAATCTATTAAATACATATTTCAAAAAGTTAAATCACACAAAATTCAGTTTTAAGTGTTTTTATATGTGAAAAAATACTTACAAAAACGATAAATGATATAATGAAATACAGCTCAAAAAGATCAAACAAAAGCTAAGCAGTACAAAATTGCAAATACAAAGAAATTTAAATATGAGTTATTTTCAGAGGTATAAATTAACGAAGTACAAATACTTCGTTACTGTACTTAAGTACACTTTTTAGGTATCTATACTTTACTCCATTACTTATTTTCTCATTACACTCATTACATTTTCACACAAGTAGCTGTACTTTCTATTCCTTACATTTTTAAAACAAACGTTGCTTGTACTCTTGGCTTCGGTTTAATGTTTATAAATATTTATTTCACGTCATGTGCGTCATCCAATGCAGATCATTGGCTCCATCCACATCTAGTGAAAACTACTGTAATTGGATGAGTCATATAACGCAAACACTCATTGGTTAGCTAAAGGAAATCATCAGAAGCAAACAGGTATTCTTTTAACTGTAAACATGAACTGTCTATGCCATGCTACAATGTCGGATTCAGAAAAAAATGCTGAAATGTGTGAAAGGTCGGAGACAGGCGAGAGCGTATCGGGAGATGGAGAGGAGACCTCCATCATCCTTGGCCCTATTACAAAGAAATATTAAAAATAGTCGAGAATTTTAGATTTTAATTTATATAGTGGCATATGGCTGAAAGTAAAGAGGTCAAGTTGATACTTCAACTTTTACCAGAGTTTTTTTAAACTGCAGTATCTATACTCCTACTCAAGTAACAAATGTGTGTACTTTTGACACCACTGGTTATTTTAAATGATTCCTTAGGCCTATATACAGTGCTTGACATTATCGATGCTACAAGCGGGCCTCCCTTCTTGAAATAAGGGAGAGGCCGGGAGAAGACGGACCGTCATTGGTCAGGTCTTGTGACCTTGAAGAACGTATGGCTTTATGGCCACAGGCTCTTACATTGTCATGGGGCTAAGGCTTTTGCTCTATACTATTTTTCTGCCTGCTCGACTACTGGTCATGCCTGAGGCAAGGAAAAAGTTTAAACCTTCTAAGGGGACTAAAAAGAGAAAATGTGAAAGGGATCTTGCTCGTGGAAAAACAAGAGACGATCATGGAAAGGGTTTGTTCGTTGGTGCATCTGAAATATGTAGCCAGATGTAAAACCAATTCTCTGTTCTCTGTTTTGAAATCTTTTCAAGAAGACGATATACAATCAGCGAACATATATGGTGGCCTTACCTTTAACTTTGAGTTGCAATTTAGCAATAGGTGAACCTGGACTGACGTGAACATCGTGAAGTTCATCTACAACCTGTGGCAGCTGATCGTCTTCACTTACAGATTCGAAGGTTTCAGTTTCTCTACTGCATACAAAATACAAATACAATATATATAAACATATAAGATATTACGAACAATTCAATATAAGAAAAGCTGTATTTACCTTGACACATAGCCTTTGGCACTGACATAAGAGGAGGTCTCAGTGGCATCTGCAGCAGTGTCATAATCTGAGCTGCACGACACTTATAGAGATAATACACTTTATTTAATAATGCTGACTTAAAAGACGTTGTATTTTGTTTATGTTCATTCATTTCTACTTACTGTCAACTCTGAGTTCAGCTTTAGTGGCAGCAATCCCACTGCTGTTTTCGGCTGTGCAACGATAAACTCCCATGTCAGTTGGCAACACAGATGTGATGATGAGCTGGTGGCAACCCTCTTGGTCCTCGTTGATCATGTAATGATCATTTTCCTCCAGTAGCTTGCCATCCTTATACCATCGAACAGTGGGAGGGGGCTTGCCAATTACAACGCAATCAAAGCTGACCGGATAGCCATCAGGAACATCCTGACTTTGCAGCTCAGTCAGAAACACTGGGGCAGCTGGGAAACAAGAAGGAATGGATTGATAGACAAGTAAACACTGACTCCTTGGTGGAATGTAATATATACACAGCATAACTCTCACTCTGGGCTGGAATATTAATGATTTAGACTTTTTTTTACAGCACAAGGTCCCAAATTGTCTTCCCTGATATGGAAGACAAATTGTCTATGTTTACTGTTCCCTTGGTAAAAATGTGAAAAATAAGAAGAATATGTATTAAGCCCCCTCTGAATCAATACTACATATCTTTTGCAATAAGTTGTAGGTCTTTTGTGGAAGTGCTTTACTAGCTTTACATATTTAGAGGCTAACAAATTGATTATTGTTTGAAATAGACCTCAAATCCAGTCATATTGGAGGAATGCCATTTGTGACTGGTGGTATACATTGATAAAACATAGTTTAGGTGTATGAAAATGTTTAGAAGACACTGTAGGCAATACTATGAAGAAAATGTATTAATTAATTCTATCTTCAATCCTACCTGGAGCTCCAGTCAGTAAAGCAGGAGGTTGCCTATCTTGTGTCGGGGTCTGTGTACCATCCTGGATGTAGCCCATCTTTTTAATTCGCAGCTCCACTTTGTGAAGACCAGCTGTTATGATGGCAGTCTCTACAGGCACCCCATGGACAGTGAACATCTCCTGGAATCTCTTAGAGGCTACCTCAGCATCTGCTCGGGTTTCAAAGCGAATGTAGATGAAATTTTCATCCTCACGGTAAGAGTGAGGGTCTGGGGGACGCATGTCCCCTTCATCTGCGCTGATAAAGGGTTCTTCCTCAACGTCAGGTGGGAGGCGAGTGCGGAGAAGGCGCCTCAGGCGTTTACTTGCCTGTCGCAGTGACTCATCCATCTCGCTACCGGAGGAACTCTCAGGCTCACTGTCGGCACTGTAACCTATGGTGAGGGGTCGGCGGCCCGATGATTCCCTTACTGTTCCTACAGTCACCTTAGCACTGTGAGATGCTACTCCAAACTTGTTGGTGACCTCACAGGTGTAAACACCAGTATCTTTTGTGGTGATGGCAGTAATGACTAGAGAGCAGGTGCCATCATTGTAGATATCTATATGATGATGTTTTCCATCCAGCAGTAATTCTCCGTCCTTCATCCAGCTTACCTTATCTGGTTTACCTTCTGTCACGCATTCAAGATGTATGGTGTCATTCGGTTCTTTAGTTTGGTCCTTAAAGACCTCTTTGAAGATGGGCCGCATGTCCTTGCGAGCCTTGTAACCCTTGAAGGCGGCTTGTATCTTGATGGCAGCATCGGTAAGCCCGGGCTCCTCCTCTTTTGTGATCTCCATGATGCCGGCCTCATGAGAAGAAAGCTGTATTTCTTCTGCTTTCTGAATTATTGTGGCTTTTGTTTCAGTCTGCTGCACCGTTTTTTGCTCTACCATTTGGAAATGTGCGAAGAACTTCTCGGCTGTAAGACTCTCTGCCTCTTTGGTTTCTGTTGATTCAGTCTTGCTGCTCTTTTGGAGGTAAGACACAAGTGAGGAGCCTCCAGTAACAATCTCTTCTTCAGAACTGATGGATTTGACAGTTTCTGTCTGTTTCTTGGACACAGCATCGTGTTCCCTCTCAGTTGCCCTGATTTCAACCTTTTCTCCAGACACAGACTCTTTCTGTTGTTTTTTGCCCCCTCTACCATTCTCCTCAGGTTGTTCTGAGATGGAGTCTAATGTGGGCTCTCTGCTCATGCGCCGTTTCTTTGCCGAGGCGTCCCACAGGTCATGAAGCTCCCCTTCCTCAGCAGCCTCAGGAGGCAGACTGGGCTGTTCCATTACTGCTGCCTGTTTTGCATCTGCATATATGACCAAAATACAGTTGAAATTGTTATCCATGGGGTTCAATAACACCAGTAATTCAACATTACCTAAAACTAACTTGCCAAGATGAGCCAGAATATGTAAAATATAAATACTGAATAAATTTACATATAGTGAAATATTTCATGTCTTTTCTTTGTTAATTTAAATAGTAGCGGCTTACAGCAAATGAAAACATTAAACCCAGCGTTTAAGAAGATCCTAATATTTTAGAAAATCCCAACAGACTGTGTACGTACAATGGATTTGATAAAAGATTTGACCAACCTCAGTCTATAACACGGTTCCCTAAATGATCACTAGTTGTAGAAACTTCAAACTGGATGTCAAACAATTTGCCCCTCTCTGCTTTTCCTACAGACTATAGAATCATGGTTTTCAAATGAAATGTTAACTTTATATTTTTATCAGGATAGAGAACGTTGGACCATTGTCTAATAATCCATGTGAAACGTAGCTAAAGTTGTCTCTGGTACAGTAGCAGCTTTGTAAAAGGATAACTTTGCTTGTCTATTATTGTCATCAAGGTATTTCTGGATGTTCAAGTGTTTTGTTCAGTGTGTAGTTTGGAAAAAACTCTCATGTCTCATACTTAGCTGGTTCCCTCTGTGTTTAACACTGTGTTTATTTGTCACCTTTCATTATTTCTTCAACTCTCTCCTATTTGCCTGAATTAGCTTTGCTACACAGGTCTTCCAAAGCTACAATTATCTCTGCTATGTCTGCTCTTTATTTCTCCCAAACAACTCCCTGCACTGAATTTCTACTAATGTACAAGAATGCATGTCATATTCTAATTTCCTAAATTTAAAATTTTCATTAGCATAGCTTTCAAATCACCTGAAATATATCACATACGTAAAATGAGGGAAGAATGGAGCGGGAGATCGATAGACGGATCGGTGCGGCTGCTGCAATAATGCGGACGCTGCACCGGTCTGTCGTGGGGAAGAGAGAGCTGAGCGAAAAGGCAAAGCTCTCAATTTACCGGTCGGTCTACGTTCCTACCCTCACCTATGGTCATGAAATCTGGATCATGACCGAAAGAACGAGATCCCGGATACAAGCGGCTGAAATGAGCTTTCTCCGCAGGGTGGCTGGGCTCTCCCTTAGAGATAGGGTGAGGAGCTCGGTCATTCGGGAGAGGCTCAGTGTAGAGCCGGTTCTCCTCCACATCGAGAGGAGTCAGTTGAGGTGGCTCGGACATCTTCTTCGGATGCCCCCTGGACGCCTCCCTCGGCAGGTGTTCCAGGCACGTCCCACCGGGAGGAGGCCCAGGGGACGACCCAGGACACGTTGGAGAGACTACGTCTCTCGGCTGGCCTGGGAGCGCCTAGGGCTTCCCCCAGCAGAGCTGGAGGAGTTCTCTGCGGAGAGGGAAGTCTGGGAGTCTCTGCTTAGTCTGCTGCCCCCGCGACCCGGTTCCGGATAAAGCGGGAGACGACGAGTACGAGTACGAGTACCTAAAATGTATAATATCTATATATGTATATTACCTTCTATGTATAATCAGTCTACAAAACACAATCATCATCTTTATATAGTATTACTGTACACCTGAACAGTATCTGCATGCAGATAATACCCCTTCATTTCAAAGCTATGTTTTAAAAAATGACATAATTATCAAGTCTTCAATATTACCCCACAACCTCCCTATCAAAACTTAACTGTAGATAGAGTGCATTCTACAAGTTTTTGATTTATATGTTATAACACAAAGGAAATATCATTAATACAGCTTATTGGTACACAAACGATTTGATTTAAGGCTCCAATATGAAAACCGCGTTCAAAATCAATACCTGATATTGTTGCCTTTTTGGCTGATAGCCAATATTAACCAATACTATATACTTTTCTACTTTTTGGACACTGTGAAAAAAACTACCAACAGTGCTGACAATGCTTCTCTGCTTCAGATGAACACCCACAATCATGTAACTTTGCCTGCAAGCTGAATTTTCTTGTTACATTTGCATTCTCAAGCCCACAGAAATCCATTTTTTTTTCAGCTTTTACTGCAACCTTTCAGGACAGACACAAAACAATAGGGCAATGACGTTGCAGTATTATGGTTTATAGGTAGCTGTGATAAAAGCAATAGCTGCTTAGCCCACAGTCAAACCAAAATAAACCTGGCAGTGCAGGGGTACATAGTAGTAGCTGCTAATATTACATCTGTTTTGTCAGAATTCCCAAAGGAAAAGCAAGAGTGTTGTTTCTCATGCCGTCTTCTGACATGTTCATGTTAGCATGACTGGATAAATCCAAATGTTGGTAGGAGGGCACTAGGTGTCGCGTCAACCAATCAGCTCGCAGCTGAATTCTTCTGAATGTCTTTCCTTTCCCAGATTCGAGGGAAGGAGTCCTAAAATGATAATATGTGGAACTGAACCTGAGTTCCACATATTACCAATCTGGCTCATCAGGTTCTCTGTTACACATCCTGTGCTGCATCACTTTCACTGTCACATGACCCCACCCTCGCCCATGAAACAAAAAACAACAGCTAGATGGAAATAAACATTTGTTGTTACTATTCGCCCAGGTTTAGTTTTTATACTGATACATTAAAATGATCAACATTGGTCGATACTGTTGATATTTTGTGCATCCCTTAATTCAATAATTTAGGATATAGTATTATTCCGCATTTATCATTCTCATGTTAGATGAAAGTACAAATGTGTAGACTACAGCACTCATCTTCATGATAATGCAAAACAGTTATTAAAAAATAATCAGAGCTTGCCCACTCACCAAGCTGCACTGTCAGAGGAAGCTCAACGGGCTCTCCAGTTCCAGCTTTGTTAATTGCTGCCACTCTGAACCTGTAGCCACTCCCAGGCACCAGATTTTCCACTACAAATTCAGTGTTGCAAACAGGCTCAGAATGACATGGAAGCCAAAGGGCACTGTCCACCAGTCGCATTTCCACCCTGTAACCTATGATAGGACTCCCTCCATCGTGAAGAGGAGTAAACCAGGAGAGAGTCACAGACTCTGTAGTTTTAGAGAGGACTTCTGGATCCTCTGGAGGATCAGGCACAGCTGTTGTTGTAAATAAAAGGAAAAACAAAAGTTTTACACACAAAAATAAAACAATAGCTACAGAAATCAATGCATCTTGCTCATGAAAGTCTTACTGATGATGGTGAGTTTGGCCAAAGAGAGAGCATCCCTGGCTGCGAATGTAATTTCCTGCTGGGGCATGAGCGGAGCCTGTCTCAGGAGAAGGTGATAAGAACTGCCGTCCACCCTCATAGTCCAGAGATCGCTGGGTTTGAGTTCAACTCCGTTAGCATACCAGGCCACGTCTGTTGCAGGAACAGGCTCAGTAACCTTTACACAGAACTCAACTTTCTCTCCGACAGCTACCACTTTGTCCTCCAAACCCTGCACAATGTCCAGCTTCCAGCCTTAAAACAGGGGGGGAAAAATCACAATGTGATACTGAAAATCTTTCTGATTAAAATGTGTTATAAAGACAGGTTCATTCACATATTGAAGTTTATATTCAAGACTTTTCATAGTTCTTAGTTCTTTATTATTTTTTTTAACAATGTGAAATATAACAGTACTTATAACAGTATACTATTGGGAATAATATTCTATCCAGCAATTTGTAAGAAAAACAAAAGAAGGAAAGAAGGGATGGTTTTAAAGGAAGGAAAGACACTGATGGGCAAAGCGAAAAATTAGTGGTTCAAGAAAGAAAGAAAGAAAGAAAGAAAGGAAGGAGTGGGGAAAGATGGAAGGTAAGGACAAAAGGAAGGGTGCAGGAGTAAAATAAAGCAAAAAAAAGGGGACATAATGAGGGTGAGAAATAAGGTCAAAGAGGAAGGAAGACAGGAAGGACACAAGAAGAAACAATGACAGGAATGGCACAACATTTTGACAAAAAATTAAGGAATGAAGTATGGAATAATGAATATTCTCCCATACTTATCCAATTATATAAAATAATAAAATAAATCTTAAGAATCTCTCAACCTTTTCCAGCCTGTAAAGGAACCGATATAGAGAGTTACAGTCTAAGCAAGCTAGTTTGCTTTGTCTTTCAGTTTGGAAGACCTACCTTTGACTGTAAGCTGTGCAGAGGTGGAAGCTGTACCAGCTTTAAATGTCACTGTGCAACTGTCTTTCTCATGCAGATCTTTCAAGAGCAACAGATGGCGACGACCACTTTCAAAGGACACAATCTCTGCTTTAGGTGACTCCTTCACTGGTTTTCCATCTAGAAGCCAGTTGCAGTCTTTGCTCTCAGGGCGAGAGAGGGCACACTCAAACAGCGCTTCTCCCCCATCAAACGTTTCTGCATTTTCTAGGCCCTGGACGATGTTAATTGGTTTGGCTGGGGAAATAGAAAGACAATAACATCTTATCAACAAAAGAAGACTGAAGATATTTTCACCCTACCACACAAGTCTGATATTTAAAGGTTTTGTGGATAGGTGTATATTTCATAAAAATCCACATGAGATTAGTTGAAGGGTATCACCAAGAAGAGGTGATTCTTTAAAGTCTGGTGATCTTTCTATCTAGAGGGAAGCTCACCTTCCACATGAAGTGAAGCGACCCCACACGTACCCTCTGCCTCACAGGAATACGTCCCAATGTCATCACGGGAAACACGGTTAATGAACAAGCGAGCGACACTCCAGTCCTGCTCCACTACCACCCTTCGGCCATCAGGCTGCAAAAGCTGCCCATCTTTTCTCCACTGAGCTTTGACTGGCCTGGAAAACTGGCAGATGAACTCAGCTTGTTGGTTTTCAACCACCCAAAGGTCCTCCATGTCGTTCACCACCTCAACTGTGGGATCTGTGACCAGGGTTGGGGCAAGAGGTTTGTAATCGGTTGAAGAAGGGTCATATTGTCAGGACTTAGCCAGGAATATGACTTGAACATGCCAAATAATATATGGGCTTTGTAACCCCCTTCAAAGACATTTATTATGCGTATATTTTTCTTTGATACTTTTTTTGTCTCAAATTCTACTTAACTAATACAATACACTTAAAACAAACATAAGTAATGATGGGGATTAAAAAGTCCAACAATGCTGGCAGCTGACTGGATAGAAGGGCTGACAAATAGACAGTGCCAATGCTGCCCATTTGCCAACTCAAGGCAGATGTAGGACAGTTAGGGGCTTTGGTGTTCGAATGTTAGGGTAATGATAGGATGGGGTAGGTGAATGAGAGCATCTAGCCAGTCTGGATGGGTGGAGCAGCACTTTTTTGTGATGTTCTTAACTCAGTTTACAAAACAAAATGAAATTCAGTATATGTATCATGTTTTTGTTTTTTTGATGGAACCAAATGCTAAACAGAAATGAGCTACTGTTTAGGGATGCATACAGTTAAGGCTGCACTGCTAATAATAATCACGATCATGCCTTAAAAAAATAAAAAATTATATTAATATATATATATTACCTCTTACCATCATCTAGTCACTGTTTTACCTTTTTTGTATCTGTTATCCACACAATAATAATAACATTATCACCCTATAGTATTTTCATCTATTTCACAACAGAGCCGTTGGTAAAGAGATTCTTTTGAAGGATACATTGACCTTGGAACTACTGGCAGGTTAAATACGATGATAATTAGATTATTGCAATTTTAATCCAAATTTAAATACTTATAGATTGTTTAAGACAATTTGTCGGCTGATAAGAAAGCTTTCCAAATGGTTTACCAAAATTAAAGGGGCATAAAGAAGTCAGCTGTTCACAGGTGTCAACCTATATTAGTCTTGATCTGTCCTTACTGGTGACTATCCAGAAACTCAAAAATTACATTTGTTATGGAAGGGGCCGAAATGTATATTTTCCAATGCAAAGAGATGTAAGGAAATATTTATAAGGGGACAGAAACACATCTGTGATTCAATCAGGCTTCTTGTGTGCAAGAGAGAGAGAGAGAGAGAGAGCAAGACCTAAAAGAAAACAGGAAGGCTCAATGCAGTACAACAAAACTGTTCTGTGTTTTCCTTCTGGATATCAAACTTCTATCTGTTATTAAAATGAAAATTGTTTAGCAAATCTCAGTTGGAATCAGCACATGGAGACTGATGGTTTTGTAAAACTAACCATCCTAGTCTTGCTAATCTAATTTTTGTGCTAACCATGCCTATTGATAATCTAAGATAAAAAAATTTAAAATATTTACTTAAAGTTCTTAGGTTTTAGAAAAGAAACCAGAATCAGCTTAAGTCATCAACAGGTTATCAACAGGTTTCGGTTTTTCAAAAACTGGATAATGCAAATAAGCCTTAATATATATGGTGACACATTAAGCTTTTTTTCCATTTACCTAAATGTGTTGTAAATGTACTGCTGACTAATAAGAGAAGACATTTTAACTTAGAAGGCAGTACTAACTGCCAATTACATACATGACAATTACATAAATACAAACATATGCAGTTTTTTTGTATTGTTTCTTCTTAAATATTTTTGTTCTTCATTCTTTAAATGCATAATTTTATTTCAGATAATCTTACTTTATCTTTAAAATATCTTTTCTGTTTTGGGCCAATGTACAAATTAGAGGCACAACATCATTCAGAAACAGTCTCTTTCTAAAAGATCTTGTTCACAATCGTGATTATCAGTTTTCCATTTCGGCAGCCCAAAATACACAAATTATTACAAAAACAGAATACGGATAGAAATCAGTAATCAATAATGAGTTTTTTAATGGACTTTGGGGATTCAAATTCCCATGGAACTACTCTGAACAGTTCTGACTATATATTAGTTGTGATGCTGCACCCAGTTGTGTTTTGATGATAACAAAGCATACAGCACAAAACTCTCAGCAATATCATTGACAATATTAAAAACAATCTTGACCATGCACAGTGATGTACAGAATTCTAAAAGTATCTGATATTAAAGTTTTTTTTTTTTTTATTGAACCCTATAAAAATATGTCACAAAGAATAACAATATTCACATAATATTTGCTATTTTTGTAATCCACTAATATTAATTTAACTATCTCAAATGAATAATGGTTGTTGTTTTGTAAACCTATGACAACAACTGAAAATGAGGAGTCACAAACGTGCCACAAAAATAATGAATTAAAGGAAAAGTCTGGTCACATTCAGAATACAAACTTCAGAAAGTACTTTAAGTATGAAATGATTTCATACTTTTCAATAAATACGGTAAGTGTTTTTAATTAAGAGTAACTTCATTTGAATTTACTTTACCAGAGACATCCATGTTTTTCAAAGAATGCTACTGCCACGTACTGGTTTGTGACATCACAGTGCGGTATCGGCTGTTAAGCAGGTCCCAGTGCTGTATCTGGTGTTTGTCACAACGCACTATCATCCATGATGGTGATGTACAGTGCACTATGTGGAGCGAAGATTAACGGATTTAAAACTTTGCCCAGAAGTTTGATGGCAAGTCCTCCCTCTTCAAGTTGGCAATCCAATGACAAACCCGTGGTGGATCATGAATTGGAAACGAGAAATGACATTTTTTTTTCACTTCTACCCGATGTATTACAACATTCAACTGCCATGCACATGGGCAATGTCAGTTTAACTATAGCTCTCGCGAATTTCAGTTGTAAAGTTCTCTCAAAATCTTGAATACTTTTTGTTGATTGCAGGTGTGTCTAGTAGTTCCCATTGGCTTTGCTTCTAAAGCCGCAAGAATGACGCTCTGCATACCACACCGTGACGTCACTGCAGGAAGATGTCAGGAGTTAGGTGTTACTATATTTGGCCAAAAATGGCCAGTCCCGGACTCAGTGATCACAACGAAAAATATTGTATTTATTTGTCTGCTGATTAACGCTAAATTCATTAAATCAACACGAACGTGTTATTTTTAGGGTATAAAAAATGACCCATTGGTTATTCCTTGCTGACCACACTTTTCCTTTAAAGCATTTAAAAATATCTTAATATGAACATTAAAAACTACATCTAAAATACAGTAAATTAATTTTATGTGCAAATACTGTATAGTCCCTGATTGGCTCGTGCATGCTCTTGCATGTGTTTAATAAGCGTTCCCTCTTGGGAGTGAGTATAGGGTTGTGCATGTGTTTTTTTTTGTTTTTTTTTTTAAGTGGAGAGGGAGGGTCTTTTCATAAAGTCATGAAAATCCTCCATTATACCATTAAGGTTTGCATGTATAAAAACAGATGCAAATTTGATAGCAGGCACAGAGCTAATCTACCAACAAAATGCAGCCAGAATTGTGTCTGTGATAAAAGCAAAATAGCAGGCATTGTCCATTTAGATTATGTATCTTCAATAATATGTAGAAAAAATAGTAAGCAGACCCTGCAAAAACTGGAAGAATATGCATACTGTATATAAATACCATCCACAATGACATCTATCAAGGCTGAATTAGATTGAGAGTGCAGTTCATATGTCTATATTTAGGACATTGAAATTCAAAAACGAACTCACACACAAATTGTCTGAAGGTCATGGTGGAAAGATGAACGCATATGTCCCTTTGCTCTCTCAAGGTTCCATGGTGACAATCAGTACATGCAAAATCTTTTAAATAGGGTTGTCCACACAACTTTTGCATTTATAATTTGTTGCATATGAAATCTTAATAGATCGCTTACAACATGCCCACTAAGTGCAAGTGCAAGTTTTTGTTTGGACAAAGTGCCTCATATTTGGGATCTTAGCAGATCAGGGCCATAAAGTTCAAAGTGTTTAACATTGTTTGACAAGTAATTAAATAATTTCATGAGAAATTACTCATAAAATGTCAACAATGCAATACACACAACACTTATGTCTTAAATAAAAAATAAAAAATAATCTAAAGAGAAGTAAATGCATCTACAATTATTTAAATGTGTCAATGATTTTTCAGATACAATAAAATGATTAAATGTAGAATTCAATTGTATGGCGTTCACACGTCTGTTGATTTGTCTGAGGGCAGCAGTGTTGGCTATATAGATGACTAACTACTGTTAGAAAGGGAATTTGTGTATCAGTGACTGATTATAGTTTGAAGAGCTTTGGTGTCCTCAGACTAGAAAAAGCTCTGTATAAATATAAACTATTTAACATATTTTAAAACAAGTTTTGATGACTTTGTTACTTTTGTGCCCCATGCAATAATTTAAACCAGCAGTCCCTAATAGTCTCAGTCACATGCATTTCTTGGAAAAAATATTACAGAATTCATGGAAGAGACCAGGCTTAGACAGGGAAATAAAAGGCTATATTTTTTCTCTGCCAACAGGTTCTAAAAGACCTAAGAACCGCTAAAGGTTCTTAATCCTTAGGGATCACAAATTTACAAAATTAAAAATGAAACAGACCCCAGCATGTACGTAGTTTAGGTTCACACATTTGTTTGAAAATGTTAGCTCAATGTACAGGTGCTGGTCATAAAATTAGAATATCATGAAAAAGTAGATTGATTTCAGTAATTCCATTTAAAAAGTGAAACTTGTATATTATATTCATACATTACATACAAACTCATATATTTCAGATGTTTATTTTGTTTAATTTTGATGATTACAAATGACAACAAATGAAAATCTCAAATTCATCATATCAGAAAATTAGAATATTACTGAAGACCAATAAAAACAAAGGATTTATAGAAATGTTGGCCAACTGAAAAGTATGAACATGAAAAGTATGAGCATGTACAGCACTCAGTATTTAGTTGGGCCTCCTTTGGCCTGTATTACTGCAGCAATGCGGCGTGGCATGGAGTCGATCAGTCTGTGGCACTGCTCAGGTGTTATGATAGCCCAGGTTGCTCTAATAGTGGCTTTTAGCTCTTCTGAATTGTTGGGTCTGGTGTATTGCATCTTCTTCTTCACAATACCCCATAGATTTTCTATGGGGTTAAGGTCAGGAGAGTTTGCTGGCCAATTAAGAACAGGGATACCATGGTCCTTCAACCAGGTACTGGTAGCTTTGGCACTGTGTGCAGGTGCCAAGTCCTGTTGGAAAATGAAATCTGCATCTCCAAAAAGTTGGTCAGCTGCAGGAAGCATGAAGTGCTCTAAAACTTCCTGGTATGTGGCTGCGTTGACCCTGGACCTCAGAAAACACAATGGACCAACACCAGCAGATGACATGGCACCCCAAACCATCACTGACTGTGGAAACTTTACACTGGACTTCAAGCAACGTGGATGAAGTGCCTCTCTTCTTTTCCTCCAGACTCTGGGACCTTGATTTCCAAAGGAAATGCAAAATTTACTTTCATCAGAGAACATGACTTTGGACCACTCACCAGCAGTCCAGTCCTGTTTCTCTTTAGCCCAGGCAAGACGCTTCTGACGCTGTCTGTGGTTCAAGAGTGGCTTGACACAAGGAATGCGACAGCAGAAACCCATGTCTTTCATACGTCTGTGTGTGGTGGTTCTTGAAGCACTCACTCCAGCTGCAGTCCACTCTTTGTGAATCTCCCCCACATTTTTGAATGGGTTTTGTTTCACAATCCTCTCCAGGGTGCGGTTATCTCTCTTGCTTGTACACTTTTTTCGACCACATCTTTTCCTTCCCTTCGCCTCTCTATTAATGTGCTTGGACACTGAGCTCTGTGAACAGCCAGCCTCTTTAGCGATGACCTTTTGTGTCTTGCCCTCCTTGTGCAAGGTGTCGATGGTCGTCTTTTGGACAACTGTCAAGTCAGCAGTCTTCCCCATGATTGTGTAGCCTATAGAACTAGACTAAAAGACCATTTAAAGGCTTTTGCAGGTGGTTTGAGTTAATTAGCTGATTAGAGTGTGGCACCAGGGGCCATCAATTTTGAACCTTTTCACAATATTCTAATTTTCTGATATGATGAATTTGAGATTTTCATTTGTTGTCATTTGTAATCATCAAAATTAAACAAAATAAACATCTGAAATATATGAGTTTGTATGTAATGTATGAATATAATATACAAGTTTCACTTTTTAAATGGAATTACTGAAATCAATCCACTTTTTCATGATATTCTAATTTTATGACCAGCACCTGTAAGTAGTTTTGAACCCAAAAACAAAAATTGTGCATGGCATCATCAAATACATCCTAAAACAACAACTTTATTAACAAACAGAATCATTTGTATATTTAAGAGATGTTTGGATTTGCTTTCTGTTCTAGTTATTGAATGACACATTTAAATAATAGTTCATTATTTATTTTTCTTGAAATTTGGCACTTTTGGAGCTCTGCATTTAATGGAGGGTATTAAATGTCTTAGTTTAATTTCTGCAAGACTAAGATCCTTAAACAGAATACCTTTGACTAAGAGCTTGGCAGATGAGGTTAAGTTGCCCACTTTGAATGTGACAGTGCCCGAGTCGTCCGTAGCCAGGTTCATAAAGGTGAGTGTATGGATAAAGCCTTGTTCCACCCCTATTTTAATACAGGGGCTGTTCTCCAACAAGGTGCCATCCAGCCACCACTGCACCTTACCAGGCGCCCTTCCAGACAGCTGGCAGGAGAATGTTGCCAATTCCCCAACAAAGACATCAGTGGTTTTAAGACCAGTAACAATGAAGACTTCTTTCACTGTTGAGTGAAAAATACACACATGCACACACTAAGCTTTAAACATACTCATTATCAGCACTGTATTGGTTTGAAAAGCCAAACAAGATGACATTATACCAGACAGACATTACACAATCAAGACAGACATAGAAAGAACAACAATGGACACTACCTTTTACTGCCAAAGAAGCTGTAGTGAGCTGTTCTCCTGCATCACAAGTGTAGTAACCACTGTCTTCGGATTCCAGGTTATGAATACAGAGCTCTTGAATGCACCCCTCCTGCTTTATCTCATACTTCTTACTAGGCCGGAGGACAATGCCTCCTTTCCGCCACTCAACTCGAACACCTGGCTTAGACACCTCACAGTGCAGGGTGATATCATCACCCTCGATGGTTTCCTGGTTCTTGAGCTCTTTTTGGAAGAACACTGGGGCACCTGGCAGGTTGGTAAAGTATGACATTACTTGGAGGTGCTGACAGAAACTTACATAAAGATTTGAAACAACATGTCTTTGTCTGTGTAACCAGACTGGGTATTTCTTGGTTCCTATCAAGGCCCAGTTTTCAATATAAATTGCAATGATTTTTGGTGTACCTTGCACAGTTAAAGTGACCTCACATTGTGCATCCCCAGTGTCACACAGGTATTTTCCTGAGTCCTCGGGCAACAAGTTGTGGATTCGAAGCTGATGTACTGCACCATTCTTCCTCAGATCATACTTGATTCCTGCTTGGATTGGCACATTGTTCCTCATCCAAGTGACAGAGGCATTGGAGTTGGAGATGCAGCAGCTAAATGTGACTGTTTCACCCTCCACTGCTGTGGTGTTTTGAGGTTTCTCTAATATTACGACTGTAAATATGGGAAAAACAGGGATTATTAGTCTCACAGCTGTACTTTAATTTTGACTTATATTACATGACATTAATTAAATTCCATGGCGGTTCCAAGTCTTTTTTTCTGTCATAAGCAAGACCGGGTTCTTTCACCTGTCAAGTTCAAAGCCAAGGCAAGCAAATCTTGAGTGGAGTCAAAGTATTTAAAATTGAATTTAATTAATTAATTAATTAACAATTGAATAGAGTAATAATACTCTTACACTTTTTTAAAATTATTTCAAAAAGGTTTTGTTTGGCAGAGCTACAAGCAAGAGAAAGTAAACTTCAAAGTTATTTATAAATCAGTGCCCATGGTACTTTTAGCAGGAACTGTGTACTTAAACTCACAAAACATCTGATGAATTAAGAAAATTACAATATTTCTAGTAGAAAAAAACTATTCCTAGCACAAAAATCAATCTATAAATAAGTACAGACTTTTTAAAATAGGGGAATTTAGTAATTAGGTCCCTAAAGTAGGATACTTATACTGTACTTGAAATAAGGTAGTAGATGAGTGTATTTATTCCATTGGTAGATCAACTTAAATTATATTTTATTCTATGTTGGGTTATATGTGAGGATTATCAGAATTTTTAAAAAACTGATAGGAAAGTAATGAATCCAATTCAAAAAGGGGGGTTTACATGGCATTCATCTTTCCCATATCAGGGAAATCCAACATATTGGATTGGATCTTACAAATTGTAATTGCATATTGAAAATTAAATCAGTAAATAAAATATTTAACCTAACTATCATTGAAATGTTGCCAACATTGCATTTGAAAACAGATGTTCTGTCTGTGACCCACCGGCTTGACATGAAGGGTAGAAGTGGATAGTAAAACATATATATATATATATATATATATATATATATATATATATATATATATATATATATGTATTTTTTTTAGCTTTATTTAAAAAAAACAACTTCCATTACCATTTGAGGGGAACATCACGGTTGCTGTCTGGCTGTTTTGAGTCCACCCTCACCCAACCCAATAGCCAAACATTTGAGGTTTTGATACAGTTGCTGGCAGTCCTTATCAATATATCCCTATAGTCACTTAGTCACTGTATCCAGGGCTAATATTAAGTCAGTCTGAAAAAATGCTTCTTTCTGGATTTAAAATGTCCCTTAAAAGGCCTGAATATTATCGTTTTTATGTAATGTGTATATTGTACCAAAAATAATATGTTTATCTTTGTAAAACCAACTCTGTATCATATGAGTTTTACTTTTTGAAGTGGCGTTTAAGTTTACATTGAGTTAATGTCCTAAGTATTTTTTTCTGCAAATACTTTACGTGAGTTATTATAGTAATAATAATGAAGATGATTTATATCAAAATCAATTTGCTGTTGATTAAGTTGGATCTGGGAAATGAAACACTGAAGGTGCAGTGTCATCTATTTTACCTTTGGGTTTCTCCTCCACCAGAAGGCAAGCCACACTCTTCTCCTCACCAATGACAAAGGCAACATCCCCTGATTCATCTGTGGTTACCATCTTCAAAGTCAGTCGCTGAGTTCTACCCTGAACACTCATTTGATTGAGATCGTTATTTTGAAGGAGGTTGTCTCCAAGCCACCATTCCCCGTTAGTCACACCTGAGTGTGACAGCTCGACTTCAAAGATGGCGTCCTGGCCAGTGGTCACCGTGACATCGAGGAGCTCACGGACAATGCGGACATTCTCTGAGTGAATGTGAAGTAAAAAGTAAGATGAAAGTTTTTTTTTCATTCTCAACAACCAAATTTAATTAAATCATCTTTCCCAAGTTAAGACTAAGGAGAATGAATGAATGAATGAATGAATGAATGAATGAATGAATGAATGAATGAATGAATGAATGAATACGTCTGTCCGTCTGTCTGTCTGTCTGTCAAAGGTACAGGCATTCATCATCATAGCCACGTGTTTGGTTGTAAATACAACTCAGACAGACATAAGTCTTTGTAGTAAGTCATCATGTCCTCCGTCACCTCAGCAGCGCCGCCTTCTGGCATCACTAAGTCAATGCCTTGAAGCAAGCATAAACTAACTTAAAGGGGAAAATTGTTTTTATTTTTTTTTTACATTGGCCCCTTGATTTTACGTTATTCATGTTTACATGTTATAAATGCTGGCGTACCATAAAGAATATATTATGAACAGTTTAGTTTTTGCCTTCAACTCTTTGCCTATAGGAAGATGTTACTTGGATATAACCTTACGGAATATCTTCAGAACAGCTCCAAATGACACACAACTCATATGGGTGAGTAGAACATGATGTAATAACGTAAAATCAAGGGCCAAATGTAAAAAAAAAACGGTCTTCCCCTTTAAGCTTAGAATAACTAGGCTTGACCCGCTGGGCTTTCCTTACAAAGCTTTCTTCAACTTCTGATCACTAGGGGCGTGAAAAATCTAACAACTCAAAATATCTTTGTGCCCTAACTACCAGAGTTATTCTGCTCACTTTCCATGCTTTGATATGCACCACATATTTAATGTGTAATGGCTTCTATGTACATACTAATATGAAACTGTGTAAAATACCAGAGCATAGCATTAAAAAATCTGATTGTGTCATAGACTGTTGAAACTCATAGACTGTGTATATAGCTGTGATGTGGCAAGTATTAATGTCTTGCCACAGTATAATAATACATTTATTTTAAACCCAATGGAAATTGTCCTATCGGCTCCAAAGTTGACAAGTTTTATATCACTCAGGTTATTACTAAATTACTATATAAAAGTAGATCAGCATAAATTAAAAACACCCCTAAAGCATGTAAGCCTATTGGTGAGCCTAGGCCATGCTTAGAAAATGTTTAGATTTACTTTTCTTTATCATAAATACCGGTAAAGCAGAAACTGTGTGGCCTTTACACAGGAAACAAAGGTTTGCATTAACACCTAATAACTGTGAAAGTGATTTAATTTTGTTAATGTTTAGACAGAAATTAATCTAAAAACTTAAACCTTCTGATGTTAAAACCTTCATCAGCATCCCTAAACCAGCTGTAACTCCCAGGGTTAGATGTTTGTTTTTTTTCTGATAAAAAGAACATGGTAGGTCGATAAAGAAGCAGTTACCTTTTACAGTAAGTGTGGCGCTGCTTTTCGTTTCTCCTGTATCACAGGTATATTCACCACTATCTTCCTTGACCAGCTTGTGTATCACCAGGCTGTGAATGGTAGCTCTCTGCTGAATGGTGTACTTCTCCCCCTGAGAGAGGACAGTTGAGCCTTTCCGCCATGTCACCTTACAGTCAGGACTGGATGTCTCACATGACAGAGTGGTCTCTTCTCCCTCTTTGGTCTCTCGGTTTTCCAGTTTCTTTTTAAAGGATATTGGTGCCGCTGACAGAAGGAAAAGCCAAAGAAGAAGAGTATAATAAGGATTGGGGTTTATAGGTTAGAAGGCAAACATGGCTTCCATCACACATCGTAAACACATAAGACATTATAGCACAAAACACCATACAACATTCATAACCAACAGCATGATAGACTTTACATCATAAACTGAAGAAAAAAAACATAAAAAAAGATTAAGTGATTTCCTTATCAGGAAAAAAATACCTAGTTTATTAGCAAGGTGTGATAATGAACACAAATATCATATAGTTTTTTTATTAAAGCATTCCAAAATTATGTCATGATATCGAAACTAATTTTTGAAAGCTATATTTCACAGGAAAAAGAAAAAATAATAGAAAATTGACATATAGTCAGATTAATTTCTACAAGTGTTCCTCAATAATTTGCTGAGGGATCAGAGAATGCATCAAACATGCTGACAACAACAAGCTTCAGTTTGGAAATCACTGTAAGAATAAATGATAAAATAGTGAATCAGAAGTATCCGTCATGCAACAATGTTGATTTGGAAAAGTTGCGCTAAGACCTGACACTATCTGTTATGATTGCTAACCTTGATAATAACGCTAAATGCTAATAGGAGATACTAAAAAAGTTTAAATATTCAACCCTTTAATCATCTTATCTCCTTTTAGCTGTGTAACACTGATTAGTGTTACATGTTTTTCAAGATTTGCTAAAAATAAAGAAATTAGTTGTGTTTCTTTGCGCAGATTCCTCTCTTCTACATCCTAAAACTTTAGTGTATTTATAGATTTTCAGTGATTAGGTAAGATAGAGGGGGCTTGGGTCATTTTTGAGAGTTCATTGGTTTATTTCACAAAAATTAAATATTGTCTGTTTCATATTTCAACTGTCCAAACTTAATTTCGCCACAAAAGTTTCAGTTGGTACATCTCTGCTAATAAACTCTGTGTAAAACATGCTGATGGCAGAAGGTACAACAAAAACGTAAATGGCTTTCCAAAAAAAAAAAGGATTTCAATAAGAAAAGTAAAAAAACTGACTATAATCGAGAAAAAGAAAAATGTACTGATTAAATGCAGGTAAAATAAAATTTAATGATATACCTTGCAAAAAATATGGTTTGTTTTGTTGCAGTTTTAAAGGAGAGTGGTTCAAACTTGTTATATGCTTTGTAAATACCAGAAGGATCTACGTTAAAGTATGGCAATTTCACTAATGTGAAAAAGAATAGGTTATTTAAGAAAAAAGATGACAATAAGATTTAAGAAGTTTAATTTTAATATATCTACAATATCCCCAAAAGAGTAAAGCTGAAGGAAAAGGGAGAAAAGTCCATATGAGAATGTTGCTTTAAATGGTTTAAAACTACCTCCGCCTCTCTTACCTCTGACTGTGAGAGAAGCAGTGGAGGTGTGGTTTCCCACAGTGAAAGTGACTGTTCCAGAGTCGACCGCTGTGACGCCTCTGAGTTTGAGGCTGTGCACTCGGCCCTCAGACTTTATCAGATTCATTTCGTTATTTTGCAGCGGGACTCTGTTGAGTTTCCACTGGATCTGTGGAGTTTCCGCGTGAGAAAGCTGACACTGGAAGTGGACATCTTCCCCCTCATTAACAACGCAGCTGTCCAAGAACTTCACGATGAGAATGTCAATGGCTGCAGAGACATGGCAGCAGCACAGATATTGAAAAGCTGAAGCTCTGCAGATTGTAATGAAAAAGTCTAAAGTTTTCTGCTGGGATGTTAGTGTGACCACCAAGTGTAAAAAACAAGAAGGTTTGTGTGGTTAATGCTTAGGAAAGATAGGAAACAAGAAAAGGTGATGAGATATGCTAAGTGCTCAAGCTCAATATCATATTGTGTAGATAGCTGTAGGAGTAAGGAAATGTGAAAAAAAATATAAATTTTTAAAAGAAAAAGGTTGAAAGAGGGTATTTCAGTTGGATGTCTTAAGATAGTTTATAATCTCTTCATGCTCAAGTGTTTTTCACTGAGAAAATGGCAAACAAGAAAAGGTGAGACGGGATGTAAGAGATGATGTCCATATGATGCAGGAAAAGAAATCCTACCATTCACACAAAGGATCGCCGAAGTCTTCTGGAAGCCTGTATCACAGGAGTACTCTCCTGCATCGCTTCCCTGAAGTTTATAGATAACAAGTTCTACCATAGTCCCATCCTGCTTTAGCTGATATTTGCGACTTGCTGTCAGCATCGTGTCACCACACCTCCATATCACACTAGCTCCTGGTTTGGTGATCTCACAACAAAAGCTAACAGACTCTCCTTCCTGCCTTTCAAGGTTTTGAAGCTTAGTTTTGAAAAGGACAGGTTTGGCTGTGGGAAATGGAAAACATTAATCTAAGTTTAGGAGAATTCTTTAACTCTCTTTGAACATATTTTTCATTTGTTTATATATGAGACAAATGAACAAAGTAGTTTTTTATTGTGATCTGGAAAGAAACAAATGGGTATTTTCCTCAGGTCAAAAATAACTCATTGCTCTGGGAAAATTTGCCAAAGATAATGAAAAACTAACACTAATGATCACATTTAAGATAACAATCACATATTTAAACATGGTAGTGGCAATATTATGCTCTGGGGAGTCAATATCACTGAGCAGGGTATATTTTGCAAAGACAAATTAACAAAATTTCAGTCTCTGAATGTGCAAAAGCTGGTGGATACATAACTTAAAAATATTTTCAGACGTTGCTGTAGCAAAAGCGATGCTGTATGCCACACATGTCAGGTGCTCATTTGTAAAGAACTTAAAATAAGAATGAATCGCTTTAGAAACAGTACTCCTTCGTTTTTGTCTCCCACAGTGGTATGCAGCCTGGTGCTCCTAGTGACTTAAATTGTAGAAAACTGGATAGTATATATGTTTTTCATTCTAAATATAATTAAAAATGAAAGTGTAATAAATGGGCGTTTTTCTATTAGTTTAACTGCAATATCTGCATGGTTTTCACTTTTTTGGCATCAGGCAACACACTTTTTGTGTTTTTCCTTTACCTTTACATGTTTAGTTTTTAAGATCTGTCAAATTTGAAAAATTGTGATTCTGTATCATAAATCTGGTAATTTCAATAGAATACTGTACAAGGACCATGTGGTTTTACAGCTGAAGGACAAAAACAACAGCAATAATGGTTGTTTTGACTGTTAGCACTAAAGAACTTGAAAGACCATATGACACAAAAAGTCCCAATTTTGATTTAAATCTTTTTTGATTCTATCATGAAAAGACAACAGCAGATTCCACTAAAATATTTTAGCCACAAAGAGAAGGTTATAGTAAGCGTACCCTTCACATCTAGCTTTGCAGTGCTTTGACTTTCACCAGTGTCACAAGTGTAACTTCCAGAGTCCTCTGGTTCAACATTATGGATTATTAGCATAGCCATGTTCTCCATTTGTTTAATTTCATATTTGCCACAAGGACAAAGGCCAAGTTCTCCTTTTTTCCACTCCAAAGAAACTCCCAATTTGGAAAGCTCACAGTAAAAGGTGACACTCTGACCCTCTTCCACAATTTGGCTTTCCAGATGCCTTGTGAAAATAACTGGGGAAGCTAAAAAACAACAAGACATTAATTATTTGGAAAGTAAAGAACAAATGATGAGGTATAGTGATGGAAAGATGAATAAATATGAATGTGAAATGAAAGACTTGAAGGGCAAGCAAAAATAGGTTCCTGTGTCTCGAAAAAGTCAAATTAAAGATTTGTAGTTTGTAACTTAATCCAGTTTGCCTGATCTGGTACTTTTCTCCACAACTCAGTATTTTAGTTCCTTTCTTCCAGATTTAGAAAGCCCACACTGCAGAATGACACTCGCTTCCTGCTCTGACGCTTTGCTTTCCAGGCACACGATAGGAATAACTGTGTATCAATAATTAAAAGAAAGGACTGAGTTTCACTTTCTAATAAAATTTTGCATATCTTATATAATTACCAAGACAAAGAGGTCTGTAATGCTAGCTGCTCCATCAAGATCTCAATTTGCCTTCTTGAAAACAAGACAATAAAGAAACTAACACAAAGATATATGCAAATTCAACACAATGATGAGAAAGAAACAATGGACATACGTAGGCCTTAAATCAGGAAGACAATACCCATTTAGACCACTAAATGTCAGCAATGCACATTTTATGATGCAAATGTTCCCACTTAAATAACGGTAAAATTAGCTACAGAGAGAAAAATCATACCTGAGGAGAACTTTTAGTATAATCTGAGCATGAATCTAGTTGTTCTTTGAAGGTGTTCTAGATTTGTGAGATGAAATTTGTGAAAAAGTTTCATGAATAAAGCCATGCGATACAAGAGAAAGGTTTGGATACAGCTGAGGTGAGGTATAAAACATGGATCTTTGGATCTCTAACAGAGCACTGTTACATTTATTATCTAACCATAAACGAGAGTATGGCACTAATTCCACAAATAAAAAGAGTAAAAAATGTAGGCAGAAAGGTGTTTGCTTAAGTGCAATCAGTGACTCTGGGTTTTATTGGGGGTCATCAAAGTGAGGAGGATGAATCCAAATATGCCACAGCTTTAAAGTTTTCACTTGTTGAAAACTATTAATCCTGAATCATCTTTTCCATTTTACCCTACTTTGTGTTTTTCCCTTAACATAACATGATTTACTCAATTGATGCAGCTGTGGCAAAGATTAAAAGCTTTTTCTATTTTTCCAGCTTTGGATGAATTTATTGAAAATTTTAAAGAGAAATTAAAGACAATGCCTTTAACGCAAAAGGAATTTTAAATATATTTAACTTAAAAGGCCAAAAAATAAGGTATTTTTCAACAATAATTGTAACTTTAGATGCATTACTAAATAAATACACAATTTGAAAAAGAATATCAACTATAGTCAGCATAATACTAAGAGAACTCTAAGTGGAGTTAGTTGCTACATTATTTTTTTGGTATATACACATTTTTTTTTTTTTTTTGTTGAAGCTTCCTTGAAGCTACAAGAATCAAACTAAAGCCAAAGCCAAACCTGTATTATATATATATATGGATAAAACAAAAAGGGGGGCTGCAGCATAAAAATTTGAACAGCCTTTATGTGAAAAAACACAGACATAAATGCGGCGGCAAAGTATGGTGTCCAGACATTAGTGAGGAGGCAGGAGCTATCTTGTGTTTGGATTTTGGTCCCCTCAATCTGACCTGTTTGTTTACCAGGGGTTCAAGAAACAGTCTTTAAGCCACAAATATTCATCCTCTCATTGCTCCAAATACAATTTCAGGATAAAGCAAGGCAACGTCATGCAGTCAAGAAAAATAGAAAGTTCAGCACCAACAGTTTAAAACTCTACCTTTCTGATATTTCTAATTAACCTAATCTCCTCTTAAAACTACTTTCAATTCACACCATTCTGTTAGGATTAACCCGCATTATTCATGAAGAGTTTTGTTTTATCCTAAAACTACCTAAGTTTTTCAATATATCAGATATGTATATTTCTCCATAAGTTATATATTTTTCTACCTAAAGTTTAATACAAGGAACTAGGGCTGCAAATAATGAGTATTTTGCTATTTGATTGATCAATCGATATTTTTTTCCGATTAATCCATTAATAATCGGATAGGAAAAAATTCCTTAAAGAGTATTTTTTTACAGAATGAAACCTATTTCTGTACAAAGGTACATATAATTCACAAAAAAATAGTAGCTACATGAAGCATTCAAGGCTTCATGTCATGGGTGCGAATGCTTCATATCAATGATCAGCCTCCCATGCAAAAAGGAGAAGAACCTAGAGAGCTTGGAAACCTTCCAAATAAGAAGTTCATGCCAGGCATTTGAAAGTGAACTATTCAAAAAGCACAATTAGCCTGGGAACAAGGCACCCTGTCAAACAGCCAGGTAGATGTTTAAATACTTGGAGCATTTCTAAAAAGACTCAACAAAAATGAGATGGGAAACAATCTTCAGAAATGCACCTTCTACAGTTTTATTTGTCTCCTGTTTCTTCTGCTTAATGCTTTTAACTTCATCCATCTTATCTAGAATACATGTACATGAGCCAAACTATAAAAGTCCCTTAAAAAAGCTGTTTTCAGACAGACACTTATGACAAAAGTAAAGTCACTGTGTGACACAGCAGAAACGGCCATAATGTGAGAATGAAAGAAACCTTAAGATGATATCTGCGCTGCTGGTTTAAACAAAATAACCTGAATTCAGCTTTTATCATCTGACTGCATGTGCAGCATGTAATGTCACAGCACGAGGACTTCAAATTGAAGATAAATTATATCAACACTAAGGACATATATTCATCTTACTCCATACCTGCATCTATCATAAAAGCACAGACAAGACTATGGCATAGTGGAAGACTCAACATAGCAACAGAGACAGAATTGCCCAACTGGGAGGAGCATAAAGAACCGTATTGCTCTATCTACCTCTCCTTCCTACCTTTGGTTTTGTCTGTGGTCCCCTGCTTCTTGAGTTCTGTGTTAGTAGCTGAAGGACGTGAAGACAGCTTTACAGCTGAGAGAGAATAAAGGCAAGCTCAGTGTGCCATATCACATCAGTTATATGACTACTTGAACTATAAAAAAAACCTGGTTAAAAGAAAATGCAATTTGTTTGCTACTCAATGCAGAGCAATGTGACTGAGCAATCAGGGGAATCTTGTTGATTGAGCAAAGCTTAGAAAGGAGCGACAAAAAATAAGCTTTGCAACAACACCAAACAGCAAATAGCAAGAAAACAAGCAAGAAAGATGCATTCATAGTTTCTGAAATATATGAATAAAAAAAGGAATGCCACAAAAAAGATGCACGTTTCAGACAAGTAAGACCTTGCATAAAGTCACAATGTGGAAGACACCAGACATGAATTAAAACAAAGATATTTACATGCATAAATCAAGCGGAACACTATGGTGAAAGCCGTACTGCTCCACTTGTGAAAGTAAAATCTTTTGGGCTTTTTTTGGCATTAAGACAATTGCTCTTATTGCCACATTTGCCAGACAGACACAGAGAAAAAAAAATACATAAAACACTATAATAAAGCTCTGCGCACAAAGACCCTTGAACAAGCTGTCAAATACTGATGAAATAACCCAAAATAAACATGAACATAAGAGCAGATTACAAAAAGAAGCAAGACTACCGAATAAACAGCCAGCAATTGTGCAAATCAAAAAATATTTTTACGGAAAATAATAAATACATTTTCTGTGTGATCAATACAGGTACTGAGAGAAACAAAAGCAATACATTGTGTGGTTTTAAATATATAAATTTCCTACCCTTGATCTTCAGGCTGGCTGTGGTCTTCTGGTCTCCACACACACAGCTGTACTCTCCACTGTCTTCTGGCACTGCTTTGGTGATAATGAGTTCATTCACAGAGGCCTTCTGCTTCATCTGGTACTTCTCTCCAGACTTCAGGACCTGTGTTCCCTTCTTCCACTCCACAGGGACTCCAGGTTTGGAGAGCTCACAATGCAGAGAAACACTGGCTCCTTCTTCAGCCTCCTGGCTCTCCAACTTCTGCTTGAACGTCACTGGTTGTGCTGTATTGTTATTAGTTGGTACACAATCAGTTGTATTCCATAGTAAAAAGTCCATGTACAAACAAAAGTACAATGAAAATAAAAAAAAATTTGGTGCATGGTTATTGGTTGACATTATATGTAGTTTTGCTACACAAAATTGCACTTATACAAGCATAAAGTACAACTATGCAGAATTACCACGCCTTAGTGGGCAGTCTGCACACTGATGGCAGGCAAGATTTGTTTAAAATAGAATTCAATTCACAAATAAACAAGTTATATTCAAAAATAAAAAGGTTTAAATTAATTCTGGAGGGACATTGTAAATAAATACAGTTCAACTTAACACAAAAGACATGACAGGTATAACATACAAGCTCAAATGAAGACATAGTGGAATAAAGGTTAGCCGATAATTATTCCTCCTCCTACCCTTGATCTTCAGGCTGGCTGTGGTCTTCTGGTCTCCACACACACAGCTGTATTCTCCACTGTCTTCTGGCACTACTTTGGTGATAATGAGTTCATTCACAGAGGCCTTCTGTTTCATCTGGTACTTCTCTCCAGACTTCAGGACCTGTGTTCCCTTCTTCCACTCCACAGGGACTCCAGGTTTGGAGAGCTCACAATGCAGAGAAACACTGGCTCCTTCTTCAGCCTCCTGGCTCTCCAACTTCTGCTTGAACGTCACTGGTTGTGCTGGATGGTTAATAAATGGTACTTAGTCAAATGTTTCCAAAAGCAAATAGTACAAATGCAAGCATAAAACACATCTAAACTGAATTACAAAACATAACATTAAAGGGATAGTTCGGGATTTTTGACATGAATCTGTATGGCATCCCCATCACCAGTGTCATGCAATCACACTGACTTACCCCTGGCAGCGTCTTGTGAGCAGAGTTCTCGTCCAGCTTTGGTCAAGCCGAAAGTAGTCCGGCAGGTTTGCTAGACCCAGCGAAATAAAACGTTTCTCTTCCCAAAACATTATGTGTTCAAAAGAGTGATATTTTTGTATCCCAAAAACATTGTAGTGGAAAAAGTCACACGTCGTTATTACTTGGCCCTATTTTCTCTCTGTTCGTATCAGTGCGCGCCGTCATTCTGACAGCGAGCTCAACTTTGAGGAGGGCAGGGAAGTCGCTGTTGTTTGTGATGCAGACAGCAGCTGCTGCAACTCCGACATCCTCATCAATGGAAAGGTTCTGTATCTCGGGCATTACTAAATCCCACTCGTGGCAACAGTAGCATCCACCTCTGTCTGCATTAATTCGCACTTGAAACAAGTGCACCATGATTTGTCGGCCACCATGGATATCGCAGCTCCAGCTGAGGCTCCTGCGGCTCCGGCTTCAGCTTCCATCACTTCTCTGTCCACCCTCTCTCTTTCTGCCCGATCTAACTCCATTTGTCGAAGTTCATCGTCAGTGTACTCGGGTTCATAAAGATATCCCTTTGGCTCTAAGTGGAAGTCGATGTTTTCCTCGTCGCTCTCGTAGTCAGACATCTTCCCCAGTAGTAAACAATCGCGAATCAAACAGGTAGGCCCTAGCTGTCAGGTCATGGTGTCGCACGCACTGATACGAACAGAGAGAAAATAGGACCAAGTGATAACGACGTGTGACTTTTTCCACTACAATGTTTTTGGGATGCAAAAATATCACTCTTTTGAACACATAATGTTTTGGGAAGAGAAACGTTTTAATTCGCTGGGTCTAGCAAACCTGCCGGACTACTTTCGGCTTGACCAAAGCTGGACGAGAACTCTGCTCACAGGATGCTGCCAGGGGTAAGTCAGTGTGATTGCATGACACTGGTGATGGGGATGCAATACAGATTCATGTCAAAAATCACGAACTATCCCTTTAAGTATTTAAACACTGATGAAAGACAGAATCACTATAAAGACGCTGTAATTAATATATCAACAATAAAAAAAACAAAAAAACAATATAAACACCATATGGAGGACATTTTAAATAAACTCAGTACACAACAGCACAACAAACAAGGGCCCACATCATGCAAAATTCACTTTATATACATTTTATAGCAGTTGTGGTTGCTGAAGTCCATTTTATGAAATTCACAAATGAAAAAAAAAATTTATTTCACCTCCACCATTGCTTAACTACACCTCTTAGCCAATGTCTGCATGAAACGCTCTGTCCTCTCTGAAAATTATTGACCTTTTGATGTCCAGTGTTGTATAGCAATGAAGTAAAAATACTTCACTACTGTACGTAAGTATATTTTAAAGTACTTTATACTTTCCTCAAGCATAACATTTTTGATAAATTTCACTTTTACTTCACTTTATATTGGAACTTAATTGCATACTTTTACTCCAATACATTTTTAATGTTTGGTTTAGTTACTTGTTACAAAAAAAGCAAGAGACAGAGAAATGCATGTGTTTTGACCCCACCTACTGACTGACTGCAACAAAGTCAGGACTTGCCTTGTCTTGTTCATCACCACCAATAGGATACACCTGTTTTGCTTCTCCCATTAAATACAAAGCCAGTCTTGCAATCAGCAGCAGTCACATGGAAGAGGAGACAGACACAACGACAGCGACTGCAACAACTTCGGACTCGGATACAGGGGAACCACCAGTTGGTGATGAGAATCCGTGGCCTTATTTAAACACAATGTACTCTTTCGGGGGTGTTAAAAATTCATCATGCCCAAAGACGTGGAAATTCTATCTTACAAAAACTCCCCATCATACTTGAAGAAACACATCGAGGTAACTTCTTATGAAATGGTTATACTCCTCCTGTTTCAGTAACTATAACTTGGTCACTAGGTCCTATTGTGAAGTCTGGAGCATAACGTTACCTGTATAAATGAACTTTGTTTGGCATTGTTTCTGTTCCACACGTGGTGTATTTAGCTTGGGCTAGATGATGACTGTAGCAGGGTACCTAGCCTCTTCTGTCCAATGAGGACGGAAGCCATAGCAATAGCGATTAAGACTAAAATGAAGGAATATAGGAAAGGTATGCAAGTACAAAACGACAAACCATAGCACTGACCTTACTTGAAGAAGGAAAACTCAAGGCTTACAAAAAGGTTGTATTTTCTGTCTAAACTTGCTCTAAATTTCTCCTGCAATTGGTTGTGTATATTATTTTAAAGGAATTTGACCTTCAAAGTTGACCAAAATCTAAAAAATGTCATTCAAACTGAATTTGCCTTGTTTTATTTTTTACTTATACTTTTTATTACATCACTTAAGTAAATCTATTTTTACAGTAATTCTCATACTTAAGTACAGGACATTTCAGATACTTTAAGACTTAAACTCAAATAACATTTCGGTCAGTGACTTGGACTTTTACTAGAGTCATATTTTGGAGCGGTACCTATACTTTTACTTTCCTCTGAGAATTCAGTACGTTATACAACACTGATGATGTCATTAGGGGAAATAAACTGTGCACAGCGGTCTCTAGCAGCCCATTGGTCAAGTTGCGGCATTCATCTAATTTATAATTCTATGTTCTTAGGCTATCTTTACAAACTCCAACTGGTTGTCGCGGTTCAAAGTTGTGGGGGCATGGCCTTCAGGAGGACAGGGGTGTTAAAAGCCAAAGCTCCTTTCCTAGAAGAAGGCTGAATAAAGAGATTTTTGGTAAAGACCATCTGCCTTATCTGAAAGAAATTGTCTCGCACGAATGGCAAAAACATGCTCTGGGGCCCTTATTGTTAATTTCTTTTAAAGTAGCAGAATATGGGACCCTTTAAATAAGACTAGAATAAATGTTGACTGATCATTAATCCTCCTCCTACCCTTGATCTTCAGGCTGGCTGTGGTCTTCTGGTCTCCACACACACAGCTGTACTCTCCACTGTCTTCTGGCTCTGCTTTGGTGATAATGAGTTCATTCACAGAGGCCTTCTGCTTCATCTGGTACTTCTCTCCAGACTTCAGGACCTGTGTTCCCTTCTTCCACTCCACAGGGACTCCAGGTTTGGAGAGCTCACAATGCAGAGAAACACTGGCTCCTTCTTCAGCCTCCTGGCTCTCCAACTTCTGCTTGAACGTCACTGGTTGTGCTGCATTGTTATTAGTTGGTACACAATCAGTTGTATTCCATAGTAAAACATCCATGTACAAATAAAAAGTACAATGCAAATTTAATAAAAAAATTGATGCATGGTTATGGGTTGACATTAAATAAAAGTTACGCTACAGAAAATCACACTTATACAAACATAAAGTACATCTATGCTGAATTACCAGGCCTAACATAGGCAGTTTGCACACTGATGGCAGGCAAGATTTGTTTAAAATAGATTTCAATTCTCATAAAACAAATTATATTCAAAAATAAAAAGATTTAAATTAATCCTGGTGGGCAAATTTAAATAAACACAGTTCAACTTAAAACAAAAGACATGACAGGTATAACATACAAGCTCAAACGAAGACATAATGGAATAAAGGTTAAAGGATAATTAATCCTCCTCCTACCCTTGATCTTCAGGCTGGCTGTGGTCTTCTGGTCTCCACACACACAGCTGTACTCTCCACTGTCTTCTGGCACTGCTTTGGTGATAATGAGTTCATTCACAGAGGCCTTCTGCTTCATCTGGTACTTCTCTCCAGACTTCAGGACCTGTGTTCCCTTCTTCCACTCCACAGGGACTCCAGATTTGGAGAGCTCACAATGCAGAGAAGCACTGGCTCCTTCTTCAGCCTCCTGGCTCTCCAACTTCTGCTTGAACGTCACTGGTTGTGCTGCATTGTTATTAATTGGTACACAAGCAATTGTATTACATAGTAAAAAGTCCATGTACAAACAAAAAGTACAATGAAAGTTAAATAAAAATTTGGTGCATGGTTATTGGTTGACATTAAATTCAAATCTGCACACTGATGGCAGGCAAGATTGCAAGATTTGTTTAAGATGGACTATAATTCACACATGAACAAAGGATATTCAAAAATAAAAACAGTGAAGTTAACTCTGGTGGAACATTGTAAATAAACAAAGTAAAATTTGACACAAAAAAACAAGACAGGTATAATATACAGGTTAAAATGAAGACATAGTGGATTAAAGGTTAGCGGATAATTAATCCTCCTCCTACCCTTGATCTTCAGGCTGGCTGTGGTCTTCTGGTCTCCACACACACAGCTGTACTCTCCACTGTCTTCTGGCACTGCTTTGGTGATAATGAGTTCATTCACAGAGGCCTTCTGCTTCATCTGGTACTTCTCTCCAGACTTCAGGACCTGTGTTTCCTTCTTCCACTCCACAGGGACTCCAGGTTTGGAGAGCTCACAATGAAGAGAAACACTGGCTCCTTCTTCAGCCTCCTGGCTCTCCAACTTCTGCTTGAACGTCACTGGTTGTGCTGCATTGTTATTAAATTATGCTTAATCCAAGTATTCAAAAGCAAATAGCACAAGTACAAGCATAAATTACATCTAAACGGATTAACAAAGTAAAATATTAAAAGTTTTCACACTGATGAAAACAGGATCTAAAAATAATAGGATTAAACTCATAAATGAACAAATATATGAGATATTTTGTTAGTTTTACTAAAAAATGTCATTTAAATACCCTTTTGTAACCCTTTTCGACTAAAACATTGTTTGATGAGCAAACTGACATCTCAGTTGTTCAGCGCTGATTCATCTGTAAGCCTGTAGCCTTTTTCCCTGAATGTACTTCGAGTCAGAATTTCTTGCACAGTTTAGCAGATGTAAAGTCAAGCTAGTCCACGTTAAATGTGTCTAATCTAGCAAACAATCAAAACGTTATATTCAAGATCGTTATTATGGATATTCAGAAGCAATCAGCATCCAGCTCAGCTAAGACACCAATGGCAACTCTATGTAAGGTGAAAAAAGAAAGAAGAAATCCTTGTCAAGTACGATTGCAAGCTATGAGAAGCAGCGGAACAGTGCTGTATTTCATTTCTTTGGCAAAGCAGTATTGTTAGAAAGCTCTGCAATGACTCTTAAAAATTTAAACAGTTTAAAGCTTTTCTGAGGATACTTTACATAAACACAGTACAGCTTCACACAAAAGGAAAACACCTTTGGAAGACCCACAGGTATTAAAGCAGAGAGACTTCAATTCAGAAAGAAAATAAATACTATAAACTGATCATTAATCCTTCTCCTACCCTTAATCTTCAGGCTGGCTGTGGTCTTCTGGTCTCCGCACACACAGCTGTACTCTCCACTGTCTTCTGGCTCTACTTTGGTGATAATGAGTTCATTCACAGAGGCCTTCTGCTTCATCTGGTACTTCTCTCCAGACTTCAGGACCTGTGTTCCCTTCTTCCACTCCACAGGGACTCCAGGTTTGGAGAGCTCACAATGCAGAGAAACACTGGCTCCTTCTTCAGCCTCCTGGCTCTCCAACTTCTGCTTGAACGTCACTGGTTGTGCTGCATTGTTATTAGTTGGTACACAATCAGTTGTATTCCATTGTAAAAAGTAAATGTACAAACAAAAAGTACAATGAAAATTGAATAAAAATTTGGTGCATGGTTATTGTTTGACATTAAATAAAAGTTATGCTACAGAAAATCGCACTTATACAAGCATAATGTACAACTATGTTGAATTACCAGGCCTAATATGGGCAGTCTGCACACTGATGGCAGGCAAGATTTGTTTAAAATAGACTCCAATTCACAAATAAACAAATTATATTCAAAATTAAAAAGATTAAAAGAAATTCTGGAGGAACATTGTAAACAAACACGGTTCAACTTAACACAAAAGACAAGACAGGTACTGTATAACATACAAGCTCAAATGAAGACATAGTGGAATAAAGGTTAGCTGATAATTATTCCTCCTCCTACCCTTGATCTTCAGGCTGGCTGTGGTCTTCTGGTCTCCACACACACAGCTGTACTCTCCACTATCTTCTGGCACTGCTTTGGTGATAATGAGTTCATTCACAGAGGCCTTCTGCTTCATCTGGTACTTCTCTCCAGACTTCAGGACCTGTGTTTCCTTCTTCCACTCCACAGGGACTCCAGGTTTGGAGAGCTCACAATGCAGAGAAACACTGGCTCCTTCTTCAGCCTCCTGGCTCTCCAACTTCTGCTTGAACGTCACTGGTTGTGCTGGATGGTTAATAAATGGTACTTAATCAAATGAATCTAAAAGCAAATGGCATTATACAAGCATAGAATACATCTAAACGGATTAACAAAGTAAAATATGAAAAGTTTTCACACTGATGAAAGACAGGATCTAAAAATAATAGGATTAAATTCATAAATGAACAAATATATGAGATATTTTGTTAGTTTTACTAAAAAATGTCATTTAAATACCCTTTTATAACCCTTTTCGACTAAAACATTGTTTGATGAGCAAACTGACATCTCAGTAGTTCAGCGCTGATTCATCTGTAAGCCTGTAGCCTATTTCCCTGAATGTACTTCAAGTCAGAAGTTCTTGCACAGTTTGCCCGATGTAAAGTCAAGCGTGTCCATGTTAAATGGGTCTAATCTAGCAAACAATCAAAGCATTATATTCAAGATGGATTTTGTGGATATTCACAAGTAACTGGCATCCAGCTCAGCCAAGACACCAATGGCAACTCTAGGTAAGGTGAAAAAAGAAAGAAGAAATCCTTGTCAAGTATGATTAAAAGGTATAAGAAGCAGCGGAACAGTGCTGTATTTCATTTCTTTGGCAAAAGGTGGCAGTATTGTTAGAAAGGTCTGCAATGCCTCTTAAAAATCTAAACAGTTTAAAGCTTTTCTGAGGATACTTTACATAAACACAATACAGCTTCACACAAAAGGAAAACACCTTTGGAAGACCCACAGGTATTAAAGTAGAGAGACTTCAATTTACAAAGTAAATAGATACTATAAACTGATCATTAATCCTTCTCCTACCCTTGATCTTCAGGCTGGCTGTGGTCTTCTGGTCTCCACACACACAGCTGTACTCTCCACTGTCTTCTGGCTCTACTTTGGTGATAATGAGTTCATTCACAGAGGCCTTCTGCTTCATCTGGTACTTCTCTCCAGACTTCAGGACCTGTGTTCCCTTCTTCCACTCCATAGGGACTCCAGGTTTGGAGAGCTCACAATGCAGAGAAACACTGGCTCCTTCTTCAGCCTCATGGCTCTCCAACTTCTGCTTGAACGTCACTGGTTGTGCTGAATTTTTATTAGTTGGTACACAATCAGTTGTATTCCATTGTAAAAATTAAATGTACAAACAAAAGTACAATGAAAATTAAAATAAAATTTGCCGCATGGTTATTCGTTGACATTAAATTCAAATTATGCCACAGAAAATTGCACTTATACAAACATAAAGTAAAACTATGCTGAATTACCACGCCTAATATGGGCAGTCTGCACACTGATGGCAGGCAAGATTTGTTTAAAATAGAATTCAACTCACAAATAAACAAATTATATTCAAAAATAGAAAGAGTGAAATCAATTCTGGCGGGACATTGTAAATAAACACAGTTCAACCACAAAAGACAAGACAGGTATAACATACAAGCTCAAACGAAGACATAGTGGAATAAAGGTTAGCTGATAATTAATCCTCCTCCTACCCTTGATCTTCAGGCTGGCGGTGGTCCTCTGGTCTCCACACACACAGCTGTACTCTCCACTGTCTTCTGGCACTACTTTGGTGATAATGAGTTCATTCACAGAGGCCTTCTGCTTCATCTGGTACTTCTCTCCAGACTTCAGGACCTGTGTTCCCTTCTTCCACTCCACAGGGACTCCAGGTTTGGAGAGCTCACAATGCAGAGAGACACTGGCTCCTTCTTCAGCCTCCTGGCTCTCCAAATGTTTCACAATTGTTGTTGGCAATGCTGCATGAGTAAGTTTTGAACGTAATCAAGATAAGAGACACAAACAAAAAATGTATATATTATTTAATGCCTCCATTTAAGAAAATGCTTTTCAAAGTTTTGGAGTTATAAAACACATAACTCTATGCTAATAACTTTTCAGTTACGGATTATATTTTCTATGGATATAATCACATTTTCTGGTAACCAAAAACCTTAGAATATTCCAAGATATTTTTAGCTTTAAATACTTAGGATTTAATCTGTAGTTTACAGAAGGTCTGTTTAAGTCATCATTTTCACCTGGTTTAGACACTTCTGTTCCTTCTTCTACTGAACTTTGGCTTAAGCCTTAAGGTTTTTATGTCTTACAACAGTGCATCACTGTATACACATCAAACATGCTTCAAATCTCCTTGTCTCCTTTGATTACCCAAAGCACATCCATTTCTTATTTTTTATTAAGAACATTTGTATTAAGAATTAAATTTTAATTTCTTTAGTTAAAGTTATAGGGCTTTGTTTTAATTAATAAATAATGTTTAAATTATAATTTTATTTTAACAACAAAAATATATTTGAATGAGCTATTGTAATACCATTAATTGGAACTGCAAAAAATGAATGAACTGAGCAACAAAACCAATATAGTTTAATGAAAATATTAGGTTAGGTTTGTTTGGGTCAGAAGTATTTTAAAGGTATAGTGGAGGAGGTTCTTTTTTCCGGGTGGATCATCAAAATAAGTGGATCTCCTAATTGTCAATTATTTTGGTGGTATCTTTACGTAAGTAAACGTGCTCGTCCCCATTTTCATTTATCGGTGGTGAGTCTGACATAGTGGAAAAATTGCAAATCTTCTTTTGGAACGTAAGCTTATATGAGTGATACAAAAAGCAACTTTTAAGCAGAGCGTGCACGAGCAGAAATGGCCACATATTTCCTCTTAGGAGCAGGTACAGGGTTGTGGGTGGGTCTTTTCAAAATTGTGTTATAATCCTCCACTGTACCTTTTGAGTTTTAGTTATCAGGTTCTTACCTTTCACAGTCAACTTTGCCATGCTCTTAGCAGTGCCCACGTCACATGTATAGATGTCAGTATCTGCCTCGCCCAGCTGTTTAATAATGAGAGTCAGGACTCTCTCCTTCTGGGACATCTCATATTGACCTCCAGCTCTCAGTTCTGTGTGGCCTTTCAGCCATGTCACCATGGATGGCGATTGGGCTGTTTCACAGCGCAAGGTCACAGAGCTCTTTTCATCTGCTTCGATGTCCTCAAGCACTTTAGTGAACTTATGGACCGGTTCTGGTAAAAAGCAAAATTGTTAGTTTAAAAACATTAGGAACATCTTGGATCTCCACTGTATTCACTATATTATGGTGAGCCTCATGGTTTATTTGGCCAGAAACATGAAAAATCAGTCTGATTGAATGTAAGACAAATGTTCAGAGCTGTGTTATAGTAAATGTACAAATCAATCTTAACAATTAAATCAAAGAATGTAAATCATTTATAAATGCATGACAGAAAGTAATGTTAAGACTAGGACTGGGCACTTATTGCATTTTCAATGTATTCAGAATTTAACAAACAGAAATTTGTAAATTGCAGGACCACTCTGTGTTGGTCACATTACATTTAATTACCGGTAAGTCCTTTTAAAAATAAGACATTTACATTTTTACTCCAGCCCTTTAGTTAGCATTAATAAGCTTGAAGTGGGTTTGCCGCCATCAAGCTTTCACAGTTATGAAAAGAAATGAAACCCTGGAGTGAGTTAGTGCAACGCAAAATTGAAATAAGATGAGCCCTAGTTAAGAAACTTAAATCTATAACATCCACAAATGTCAAACTTTATGTTCTCTAGATGTTGGAGTTTGGGGGTTTCCCTTATGCTTGTGTTTTCTTCTTTTCACTGCTGTTTATGATGCCATTTTAGAAGGTCCTATTCTGCAGCAGTTTATTAGTTCTTTCTGGTGCACTTTGCACTTTTATTTCATTTCTGCTGGATTTTCCCCTGGGTTTCCTTATATCTCAGTTCAGATCAATTCTTGTTAAGTACACCCCTTCCAACAGCTCAGATGCCCCCTTGACCACCCTTTGTTCTTCCACCAATCTGTCTGTTTTCTGCCAGCGCTTTATATCCTTTTGTGCCACACCACCTGTAAGTTTTCTACTTTCTTCATTTCAGTTTCACCTTACCATCAAGCATGACAAAAAACCCTAAACATTGATTGTTAAATTATCTTTGATTTCAGTTCAAGCGGTTATTGACAGTGGTTTACTCTAAACATTTCTTCATCATATAGATAGATAGATAGATAGATAGATAGATAGATAGATAGATAGATAGATAGATAGATAGATAGATAGATAGATAGATAGATAGATAGATAGATAGATAGATAGATAGATAGATAGATAGATAGATAGATAGATAGATAGATAGATAGATAGATAGATAGATAGATAGATAGATAGATAGATAGATAGATAGATAGATTGATAGATAGATTGATAAATGGATACAAAGTATACCTGTCAGTTGTACAGTAGCTATGCAGAAAAAATTCACGGAGATTGCTCATTCCATTCTTACCCTTAATTTCCAGTTTAGCTCGTGTGGTTGCACCTCCAACAACTTCACAGCTGTACTCTCCAGAATCTCCAGCAGACACATTGTGTATGGTCAGCTTCATGACCTTTTCCTGTTGACTGATCTCATACTTCTTACTTGTTCTGATGGATTTACCGTCCTTGGCCCACTTTACATTAGAATTAGCATGGGTCACCTCACAGGTAAAAACTGCATCTTCACCACAAACAGCAGATACATTTTGAAGTCCGTTTGAAAGGGATGACGCTTTTCCTGTCCAATGAAAACATACATTTTTAGTTAAAGCCATTCATTCTAATGGCGGACTATGCCGTTAGAGTGAACTTAATATAAATCTGTGAACACGGATGAAGCAGGGTTCCATTCGCTTCCTTGTTTTAAATCTCAGAAAACCTGTAGTTTTGTTCAGGTCATCATTACAACACATGACAGCAAATCAGTACACCAAATCTAATTTTATATTTTAAACTGATGGATTCTAAGTGTAGGTCTTTGAGCACAGATTACTTAAACTTACATTAATAGATTGCACACCTTTAAAAACACAAGAGAAACAATTACATTGAAGCCTATGATGTGGCATACCTTCCACTTTTAGTGTTGCTTTGGAGCTCAGGTCTTTAATGGTAAAGACCACCTCTCCCGCATCAGCAGGGGTGACATCCTTCACAGTCAGCATGTACTTGCGTCCCTGACTTGTGATCTTAAAGCGACCTCCTTTTGTAACCGGTTTACCATTGACTAACCACAAGCAGTCGTCAATGCTCTCACGTGACAGAATGCATTCAAAGCTGCATGCGTCTCCTTCATTCACCTCAACGGATTTCAGTTTCTTGGTGATACCAATACCAATTTCTAGGGTAAAGAAAAAAATATCTTTATAAGCAAAGTTTTATTTACCTAAAAGATTGTAGATTGCTAAACCACAAGAGTACTCACCTCTTACAGTGACCTTTGACTTAGTGACCTCTGTGCCAAGATCACAACTGTACTCTCCAGCATCTTCTTTGGTGACATCTTTAATGATCAGTCCCAAAGACTTTCCTGTGTGAAGGAGCTCATATTTTGGTCCAGCTTTTAAGACTTTACCTTCTTTTCTCCATACTGGGGAAACCCTTGGTTTGTTTGCTTCACATGCCAAAGTTATCATGCCTTTCTCCTCTCCCGTGACATCATCTAGCGACTTAAGGAAAACGGCTTGTTTCTCTGCAGGGAATTTAGAGAAATGGAGGAGAAAAGAACAGACAAAGTATATCTCAGTCTTCACTGTGTTAAGTCTAGAAATAAGCTTTTTTATATTTACACAAAACTCGTACAGGGGCTGTGAAAATCATCTAAACCCTTTAAATCTTTCACATTTTGTGATATTACAACCACAACCTGTGATATTTTCTACTGGTGTAATGATCTTGGCACTGATGCCGGCTTAATTGTTCATTTTATTCACCTGTCTAAGTCTGCCCTCTTTCTCATCACTGCTTATCTGATTCACCTGCTTCTGCTTCTATTTAAACTGCTTAGTCCTAGCCATCAGTGCCAGATTATTCTTGAGGCTTTGGTGTTGAGAGTTTTTAAGGTTACTAATAGCATTCTGATTGCCTGATCCTGACCAATTTTTGTATTTGGACGTTTGAGCTTGCCTGTCCCTGTTCTGATCTGTTTGCCTGACCTGTCTTCATATTTTTTGGATCCTATTGTGGACTGAACCTGATCTGTGTCTTGACTTTGCCATTTGGATTATCCAGCCTTCCTTCGTCTGTTCAGATCTCATTTTTAGTCAGTTGTGTGTCCCTCCAGGCTCGGCTTCTGGAACTCTCTGTGCGGCAACCGGTGCGAACTGTCAGCTGACCAGCTGGTATCTATCTCGTTCTCTAGGCATGGACTGAACTATATAACCAGGTTAGTGACTCACGCATTTAGATTTTCCTTCGTCAGGCTTTCATGATCACTAATCTGTCTTTCCTCCCTTTAGAGTTAGCTGCCTTAGACCCCCTAGTCGCTCCTGCTGCAGATCCTCTAACCGTTAGTGTTTTAATAAACGCCTTTTGAAGTTATTTCACTGTCTGTCTGGCCGGATAGGGGTCCACTGTTCTGAGTCATTACAAATGGGATTTTATTTTGTAGCCTAACAAAGAGGAAGTAAATGTAAAATTATTTGAACATTTCATGAAAAGAATAATCTAAAACTGTAGCATTCATTTTTATTCAGACAGATGTGGAGCTATACCTGTTTATGTAGTTACACTCATTCGAAGTCTATCAACAGTATTAGCTTTGCAGATCTAGGAACTGAATTGTTTTATCGCTTTTTCTTTACAAAGCAATTTAACCTTATGTAGGTTGCAAAAAGGACATCTGTATACATTCAGTTTCTCTAGCAACAAACTCTGAATTTAAAAGAGTTTTAAATCTTAAGTAGATACTTTTAACACATAATATTCTATGATCTAAAATCATTCCATCATAGCTCTGACTGTAAGTTTGAGGGACACATCTGGCCCTCTATTATCTTTGAAAGAAACTTTTTTATAGCTTTCTGTTAACACTGGTTTTCTTCCTACTACTCGACTACAAACATTACATGTTTGGCATGTACAGTACAATTAGTATCCACCTAACAGATTATCCCACCTGAGGTTTTAGATCTTTCCAGCTACTCCAAAGTTAACATGGACAACTTGACTTCTTCCTCGATAAATCCTCATCTTTTGTAATTGGTCAGTTAAGATGGCCGCCTATGACTAACTAAGTACTGTATTTTTTTCATTTTCTACTTGGATTAAACAGAGTTAAATGATCAATTCAATGTTTAAAATATTGTTTTTCTTCCCATACATATTGATTTTGTATTCTGTTTTTCCCATTTAAGATGTCTTACTATTGTTTGAGGGCCTCAAAGACCAGCTATATTTACACTAAAATTGAACAACACATCGGCAGACGTATTACTTTTTCTTCTTTTTTGTTTTGTTTTGTTGGTTTTTTTTTACCAATCGGGTGATCTCTCATGGTAATTGATTCAGTTGGAAATGTTTTAGAGATATTGGAGTAAAACAGGAAAAAATATATTTTAGATTTTAAGAAAAAGGGAAAAATATGTAGACATCATCTTTAGTATTAATCATGTTCTTACACTCCAGAATCATGCATTATTGTGTGTGATAGACAGAAAAAAATGTTTTTTTCTATATTAGGTCATCTTACACCCTGACCTAATATGGTAAAGCTCAAAGAATATGAACATATTACGAAGGCACTGTAGTTTAATCTGTTTTTTTTCACACCTAAATAAGTTAAGAAACTGGCAGCCCTTACCTTTAACCTTCAGCTCTGCAGATTCTTTCACTTTACGCACTTGAAAGGTGATAGTGCCCCCATCCTGAGGTGCCAGGTTTTTCAGGGTGAGCTTGTGGACCATACCCTCATGTGTGATGGTGTTCACTTCATTGGTGAATAGCACCTTCTCATTCAGGAGCCACTGTGCGTCTTCATCAGCATAGTTAATTTCACATGTGAATGTTGCGTCGCTGTCTTCGTCAACCTCTGTATTAGCCAGGTGTTTGGTGATCTTTATGTCCCGGACTGAGAAATTGAAAGAAAAAAGCAGATTGAGTAGGATAATGAGCTCTGTGGGTCTATATATTTCTATAAGGTATTAATCACACCTTCAACAGTTAGAGTCCCTTTGGTTTCAGCAGGGCCTGATTGACAGCGATACTCCCCACTGTCTTCTTCTGTCAACTTTTGAATAGTAAGTTGAGCCCTCGTAGCATCCTGCTTTAGGGTGTATTTATCTGATGCTGCCAGAGGAACCTGTCCCTTGAACCACCTCACCTCTTTAGGTGCAGCGGAAAATTTGCAAGAGAGCAATGCACAGCTTTTTTCCTTTGCTTTTACATCTTTAATATGCTCTATAATCTCAAGTGGACGCTCTAAAAATACAGAAGAATAGATGATAAGAGTATTGTTACAGAAAATGACCAAATGTACAAATTCATGTTCTAGCCTTAAAAAAATGGTCACCTTTGACTGTGAGCTGAGCAACAGATTTGCTCTTTCCTGCAGTGAACTGCACAGGCCCGGTCATTGATGCTTTGGTCTTTTTAAAAGTGAGACGGTGCATGGTACCTTCTTTCTCCATCTCAACGTCAGCACCCTCCTGCACAGGAACTCCATTCAAAGTCCAAATGGGAGGCTTCACTAATTCCACACTGACTTCAATTTCAAAAACAGCTGCAAAGGGCTCTGTTACTTCAACAGCGGCGAGTTCCCGCACAATACTGATGGACTGCTCTGTAGGGATCGTACAAAGATCATGAGTGGTTGGTTGTAAGCCAAAACTGACAAAAAAAAAAGCAAATGAAGGTAACTGCTATTCATTGAATAGTTAATTAGATATATAACCAAAGATAAAACACGTTTTTTTCCCTAATGTGAAAATGAAAATCAAAGCATCATTTGTTGATATGTTAAATAACTAACCGATTTAAAACAGCATCACTGAAATATCCAAGTATCCAAAATAAAAATAAAAATCCATACTGTACAAGTCCTAAATAGGCCTCTCTTTTACATATTCGGTTATTTTATAAACTGCATGGGTGTTATATAGCCAATATCACTTTTTCATCTGATTCTCCTGCTACATTACATAATCAAGCCATACAGTTGAATATTTGTGGATGGGGGGTTTGTTGGGAAGCAAACCTTTTTTTTTCATGATATTCTCAAGATAGAAATTCCCTCCTGCAAGTTCTTAAAATGGCATCTGTAGTATGATTCCTCAACATATTCCATTTCCCTGACCTCTCTCTGATAATGAGTTAATCTTAACTGGAGCAGTAAATTAAAATGCCTCTGCCGGACATTTCCAGTTTATACTCATCACTCATTTAAATTTCCCAGGTTTATCCAGGAACCTGCATCACCACAAGATCTGATTCACTGGTTATCACCATAGTAACCTTTCTCCTCTTATCTTGATGTCCATATATATATCACAAAAAAAAAATAAAAAATTGACCATCAATGTTTGCCCTGTTTCCAGATCCTTTTATTGATCACTTTGTGCTGAAAATGGTGTTAATTTAATGCAGTGGGAATCTGATGAAATACAACTTTGATTCAGAAAGGGAAGGCTGTTTCTTCCAACTTATTACCTAAAGATGACTCATCATTGCCCAAAAAAGTATCCAAGTCCCCAAAGGAGTTTAGCAAAATAACCAGGTGGCACCTGGGAACCTAAACCTGCATAATTTTTTTTACCACAGTAGTTCAAAACTTGTTATTTGAGTTATAGGACAAAGAAATGCTGGATCTCAGTCAATTAGTTGATAAGCTTTGTTATAAAAATAAACAAAATTACAGACTGGTAAATGTTTGAGTATTACATTAGTAGATTATGTCACACTGGCAAATAGATCTATGCCTCATTGACTTGCAGTCTGATGGCTTGTTTTTGTGGTATATTTATTTACAACAGTACAACTACAAGTGACTTTTACTGTTTTTTTTAGGTTTACCTTCCACGAGAAGTTTACAGGATGTCTTGTCATCTTCAGCGTCACAGGTATACATGTCTTCGTCATGAGAGTCCACGTCGTTGATGGTGAGCTTACGGTACACATCTTCACTTTTGATATCATACTTCTTGCTGGGTTTGATCTCCATCTTGTTTTTGAACCACTTCACCTTTGCACTGACACGTGAAACTTGGCACTCAAGATGTACGCGGTGCTTATACATGGCAATCTTATCTCTGAGTTTCTTCACAAACTTCACAGGAAGCTCTATGGTAACATGAATATGGTGTGATTGATGACTAATAGTTGTGACACAGAAAAGGCAGATTCGTGCAAAGTACAGTATCAAAGCTTATGATAGTGCGGCTGCTTACAAATATTTAATGATGCCACTGCCAGAGAAAGCAGAGCTAACACATGATAACAATGAAACAAGAGGCAAATTTCTAGGATAAAAAATGACTTCATGTCACTAGAACAGATTTGTTTTGCATAATAGAAAGTAATCATTGACGGCAATAAGTGAAAATTACTAGATAATCCCACAAAGAGGTGCCCACAGTAAATCAGCAAACTAGTTGACTTCTTGCAAAGATTCATGAATGTTGATGTATAAAACCTGTAGCTTGGATCTGTTCATTTGTATTTGGGTTGCCATCAGGCCTCAATGAGGAAAGAAAACCTTAATGCATGTTGCAACTGGACAGTCAAACCGATCAGAAAAAAACTGTCGGAATGATGCAATGTTTTTTATTCTTTCAAAATACATACTAAGCCAAGTAATGTGAGGATATAATATTATAATCATACATTATGTTATTATACAAAATAAGAACTAGAATATAAGATTGCTGTCATTAGCATATTTAGATCAATTGGATGAGTAATGTTTAACATATACTGGTAGGTGTAAGCTATCACTAAAGACTTTTGTGAATGCGGTTAATGAGTTGCAATGCTACAACACAGTCGTTAATACTTCATGCCATTCTCCATACAGTTTCTAATGTTTTTGAAAATATCTGTAACCAATATGCAGGAATCATGTGCCTACCTTTGACTTTAAGTTTTGCAGTTGAACAAGCTTTTTCAGCTGAAAATCTAATTTCACCCACGTCTTCAGGCGTCACAGACTTAAAGAGCAGTACATAAGTCCTACCTGTAAGACGATAAAAACATTTTCTATAAAAGAAAAAACTTACTTAAAAGTCACAATAGCATTACGTTATTAAAATGTACCCTCTTGTCTCATCTTGATGTTGTCGTTGGCTTTTATTTTGGTATTTCCTCTGAACCAATTGCACTCCACATCATCATGAGATATTTCACAGGTAAAAGAAGCGCTCTCCTTTTCAACAGCCTCTACATCCTCTAGTTTCTTAATAATCTTGATATCTCTGGCTGTGGGAGGCATATTGAGAACCCATTTTAGAGACAACCAAATAAGTGCATTCTCACAGTTTTAAGTTTGTAGTTCAATAATTACCATGAACAGTGAGCTTAGCAGAGGTGTTATCATCGGTAGTCCGACAGATATAAGTTCCTCCATCTTCAGGTGTACATTTGTTGATGACTAATGTTCGCTTTCGGCCCAAGGAATGAAGAGCAAAGTTCTTTCCTGGCTTCAGTTCAACATCATCCTTTATAAATATTGTTTTTTAAAATATTAAAACAATGCTTTACTTTTTGAATTAAATTATTTTCATTTGCAAACACTGCACATGTAATATTTTACCTTGAACCATTTAACTTCTGCATTGTTTCTAGACACTTCACATTCAAAAGTTGCCTTCTCCTTCTCAGGAACATTGATGTCCATGATAGGTTTGGAGATCAGAGCAGGAGGTTCTTTAGGACAGGGACATTTAGTCAAAATGTGGCAGTGACTAAATGATCAGTAATTTCTTGAGGAGTGTTAACAGGCAGCATAATTTACCTGTGACCATCAGTTTGCTTGAAGTATGGACTCCTTCTGCCTGAAAGGAAATCATCCCAGCATCCTCCCGTTTCAGATTGGAAAGTGTCAGGGTGTGCTTCTTCCCTAGAGTTGTGATGCGGCAGTTTGCTCCTGACTTTAACTTGGCCCCATCTCTGGTCCACGAGCCTTCAACATCAGCCTGACTCAGCTCCACTTCAAGTGTTACTGTCTCCGTTTCATGAGCTTTAGTTTCTGTCAGTGGTTTTATTAGCTGAATCTTCTTCACTGAAGAGGAACACAACATTTTGGGATCAAAACACAATGACAAACTGAAAAAGTATGGAAAATGACAATAACAGTTTTCCATAAATTTTACTGCATTTGTGTTGTTAGGTATTTATATTTCACCTCTAGAATAAAATTAAGTTAATAACACTTGAATATGAAACAAACGCAAGCTGTAACTATTTATAGCACTATTTATAGCAACCTTCTCCCTACCCGCTCTCTCTTGTCATGCCCGTGCAATTGAAGTAGTTCTAAACTGCATATGGTGCACCAATTATTGTACTGCCTGCACGCTCTCACTCGCATTAACAAAACACCACCTCACATAGTCTAAAATCCAGGATAATTTATCTGACTCGAGAGCATCCTTGAACAACTATCTATATCAGGGAGACTCCTGGAACTTCCAGGAGACTTGGGATGTCTGCAATTCAAATTATACCCTTTAAATTGTTGATGATTCAATAAATGCTGGGTTTAAACATTGTCTTACTAACTGCAACATGCCTGCAAAGCTTTTCTGTTTAAAAGCAATTAAGACAGCAGATGTTTTTTAGGAGGTAATTATGGTTGACAACAATTTTAAGCCTCACTCTTTTTAGAGTCAACTATCTGCTCTGTAATTATCAGCATGGCAAAACTATATTGATGCCATTTTCTAACTCTTCCCCCTGAATAATCATAAAATGTTTTGTTGTGACAATCCAGTTTAATCTGATCATTCCTCAGAACAACCTTAAAGGGGTCATAGAATGATTATATAGGGTATTTGGTGCTGGTCCTTAAGGTCTCTGAATAGGGTGTGTAACATTGGTTGGGCTGAAAATGGCAAATTTGCTGTTCTATGAGCCCTAATGCAAGCCTGGTTATAAGGCCTAGAATGAAACGACAGGTTTTTTTCCTTTTATGGTATGCTCATGAATATTTAGATGAGCGCTGATTGGTTGGTGTACAACGAGCAAAGCTGCTGAGCAAAGACGCATCGTCTGGGATTTTGGTCGACTACAGTGCAGCAGAACCGAGCCGTCAGCTCCGGGGCTGGTCCGGTAAGCCCGGCGGACAGCGGGAAGGAGTGACCGAACCCGACCTGTTGACGGTAGCCAAAACCCCGTGCTCCTACCACTGCCTTACTGGGCAGGCGGGGGGAAGCACGGTAAGGCAGGCGGGGGGCTCCAGAGGCGGACCAGCCCCAGAGCTGATGGCTCGGTCAGCGGCATAGTAGCTTGAACAGCTTAGCATCAAACTTTGACAAGATCTTCTGATGCACAAAAATAATCCATGCCTGTCGAGTCTTCGGATCCTTGGGAAGACTGTGAAAATTTTCCCTTTTTTCTGTGCAGCCTGGAACACTGCATTTACACCCGTGGTTCTGGCACATTTTCAATAGAGAAACTGCCTGCTTTGTAATTCTTCTAGAAGTAAACCCAACTGTAGGCTAAACAGCTAAACTGGTGTCTTACATCTACATCTGTTCATGTTCTTGGGCCAGTGAACCAGTGGGCTGGTCTGTATGTCCATTTCGAGGCATGCCAAAAATACAGGCCAGAACCAAATAAGGCAACATCCTCGAGTTTAGGTCAACCCGGGGGTTCGTTTGTATTCGCCCGTTTTATGGTGGAAGTTTGGAATTGTGAGATTTGCAGAGAAAGGAGGTGTCGATGGGGTTTGAACTTCTCTGTACGTCCATATCACCCACTGAACTATCGTTATTCATCTATGACAATGGAAACTCGGTTTTGCATCCTATGACCCCTTTAACTGAATGGAGATTCCTAACATAAAATCTGAAGCTCTAGTTAGTGAAAAACAAGATTTCTGTCAATCAACAAACATCTGATGTTATAATTAAGCATAAATAAATAAAACCCTGTGACTTGTAAATGCAAAACAGTACTCAAGTTACACATTTTGAGAAGATAGCCTTAAGTACATTCGTTAGTACAGTTGTGGTCAAAAGTGTACATACACTTGTAAAAAATCATAATGTTATGGCTGTCTTGAGTCTTCAATAAGTTCTACAACTCTTATTTTTCTGTGATAGAGTGATCGGAACACATACACGTTTGTCACAAAAAACAGTCATAAAATTTGGTTCTTTCATAAATTTATTATGGGTCTGCTGAAAATGTCACCAAATCTGCTGGGTCAAAAATATACATACAGCAACAAAATTTGTCAACTTTGGTGATGTAGCGAGTTGTGTCAATCAAATTAGCTTCATGTCATGGCCTCTTCACTTCTTCTAAGTGATTCTGATTGACTACAGCTGTTGACTTCTCATGAGCCCATTTAAATAGGGCTCATTTGACCCAGTGATTAGACTCAGCTACAAAAGCTACAATGGGAAAGTCAAAGGAACTCAGTGTGGATCTGAAAAAACGAATTAATGACTTGAACAAGTCAGGGAAGTCACTTGGAGCCATTTCAAAGCAGCTACAGTTCCCAAGAGCAACTGTGCAGACAATTATACGCAAGTATAAAGTGCATGGAACAGTTGTGTCACTGCCACGATCAGGAAGAAAACGCAAGCTATCACATGCTGCCGAGAGGAGATTGGTCAGGATGGTCAAGAGTCAACCAAGAATCACCAAGAAGCAGGTCTGCAAGGATTTGGAAGCTGATGGAACACAGGTGTCAGTCTCCACAGTCAAGCGTGTTTTACATCGGCATGGACTGAGAGGCTGCCGTGCAAGAAAGAAGCCCTTGCTCCAGAAAAGGCACCTTAAGACTCGGCTGAAGTTTGCTGCTGATCACATGGACAAAGATAAAACCTTCTGGAGGAAAGTTCTCTGGTCAGACGAAACAAAAATTGAGCTGTTTGGCCACAACACCCAGCAATATGTTTGGAGGAGAAAAGGTGAGGCCTTTAATCCCAGGAACACCATGCCTACTGTCAAGCATGGTGGTGGTAGTATTATGCTCTGGGGATGTTTTGCTGCCAGTGGAACTGGTTCTTTGCAGAAAGTAAATGGGATAATGAAGAAGGAGGATTACCTCCAAATTCTGCAGGAAAACTTAAAACCATCAGCCCGAAGGTTGGGTCTTGGGCGCAGTTGGGTGTTCCAACAAGACAATGACCCAAAACACACATCAAAAGTGGTAAAGGAATGGCTAAACCAGGCTAGAATTAAGGTTTTAGAATGGCCTTCCCAAAGTCCTGACTTAAACCCCATTGAGAACATGTGGACAGTGCTAAAGAAACAGGTTCATGCAAGAAAACCATCACATTTAGCTGAACTGCACCAATTCTGTCAAGAAGAGTGGTCAAACATTCGACCTGAAGCTTGCCAGGACCTTGTGGATGGCTACCAAAAGCGCCTAGTTGCCGTGAAAATGGCCAAGGGACATGTAACCAAATACTAATGTTGCTGTATGTATATTTTTGACCCAGCAGATTTGGTGACATTTTCAGCAGACCCATAATAAATTCATGAAAGAACCAAATTTTATGACTGTTTTTTGTGACAAACATGTATGTGTTCCGATCACTCTATCATAGAAAAATAAGAGTTGTAGAACTTATTGAAGACTCAAGACAGCCATAACATTATGATTTTTTACAAGTGTATGTACACTTTTGACCACAACTGTATATCACATGGTATATTGAGTATATTCTCCTCACAAGTCGTATTAGGGAATAGTCTTACTCTCAACAGTGAGCTTTGCCTGGGTCTTGTCATCCAGAGTCTCACAAGAGTATATGCCGCGATCAGAATACGTCACTTTCTTGAAAAGCAGGGTCTGCTTCATGCCTTCAACTCTAATCTCTATGTTTCCTTCAGGCTGCAGTACGACGCTGTTCTTCATCCACTTGACTTCATCTGAAGGCTTACTGAGCACCACTTCCAGTTTTACTTCTCTTTCTTCCTCCACTGTCAGGTTTTCCAGCTTTTTCTTAAACACGACAGGCTCACCTGAAAGAGGTGGATGTAATCATTTACTTTATTTAGATTTCTTGGAAACTGAAAATTACTGCAGATATTTTAGCAAACATATCCAGTCTTACGCTGCACTTGAAGAGTTGCTTTGCAGCTTTTGCCTTCTGCATCCACACTTATTTCTCCTGCATCTTTCTGTGTGACCGATGTAATGTTAAGTGAGCAGCTCCCTCCTCCATGCTCAGGTTTGTACTTGGGCCCAGCGGTGATGGGCATGTTGTTGTGGAACCACTTGACTTTCACGTCAGCCGGGGTGACGGCACATTTGAAAATGGCATCCTTTCCCTCCATTGCGGCAACATTGTTCAGTTTAGTGGTTAACCTCACAAGTCTTGGAGCTGAAAAAAATAAAGAAGGTTTTTAAGATGCTATCTAATGATGTGTTTTTTTCATTGGCAATGGAACAATGGTGGCAAAATTGAATAATAGGAAAACAAATATGAATTGCACTGTGGCATTTTCAAATATCGTTCTTCAAAATTCGCACAAAAAAGAAAAAAATGCTTTTTCACTTGTGGTTTTAGTAAACACTATGGTGGAAGATTTCATTTTTCCAAGAAGACTTCATTTTTCTTCCCTGACACTCTTCACAAAAACAAGCAAGCAAAAAACACCTAAACACATATCATAACATTTCATGTGTTTAATAGTTGACAGTGTTCCTAAAATACGTATGACGTTAAAAATATGTTACCGTTTGGAGTGCACGGTTTTCCCAGCAGCAAATATCTATCGGTTATATTTTCATTGTTTGTTCTTAAAGTAACAGATTAACAAGCATGTTTGAAAGCTGAAATTTCATTGTCCTTTAAATTACAGCATCTCCAAAGACAGTAGATGATTGAAATTAAAGCTAGTCTATGAAATTAATGAATATCATGTCATATTTTTTTTTTCTAAAACTTAATAGAGTCATATTTGGTAGAGGAGAAACATTGAGAGATTAGACTTTTATTCCATATCGCTTGGCCCCAAAATTTGATTTAAAAAAAGAAACACGAATAATAAAAGAAATAACAAGAAATATAAAAAGGTATAAATGTACTGAAGAGAGCTCTGACAACTTGCCTTAAACATTGTGTAATCTACCAGAGGGCTACGAATCTAAAAGTTTCATTTTATTAAATAAATTAAATAGCCCTTTAAAACATTATTGTAAAAAAAAAAAAAACAGAACTGACTATGATATGTCCTTTAAATAACAATCCAAACATAAAGTGAGTTTGACTGTTAGATAATTCTGGTGTGCACCTTTACATACAGTCATATCCTCTTTTCAGTCTTGAAAAGTGAAGGTCATTACCTTTAGACAATACTTTAGCAGATGTCTTGTCAGTCTTACACACACAGCTGTATTCTCCTTCATCTTCTTTAGTCACCGCCGTCACAGTGAGGACCCTTTTTGCTCCATCTGTTCTGACACAGTGCCTGTTTCCAGGTTTAATTTCATGCCCCTCATGCTGCCAGACAACATCCCCTGAGACCTGATTTAGCTCACAAATTAGGCTAAGAGTTCCTCCTAACTCCACCGTAGCAGGTTTCAAAGGAACAACAAACTTCAAAGCTGAATCTGAAAGGAAAACAGAGGGTAGCAGGTGAAAAGAATTTTAAATATGTCCAAGGACAGACGCAGAAACACTTTAATCTGACCCACCTTTAACCTGAACTTTGAATTCCACTTTGTCATTGGAAGTTTCACAGGAATATGTTCCACAGTCTTTGGTCTCTGCTGATTTCACTATCAAAGTGCGTGAAAGCCCATCTTTTCGTATTTCATACTTGCTGCTCTCCTTTAGCTCTACACCATCTCTTAACCACTTCACACTTCCAGCCTCTGTGGTCAGTTCAGTTCTTAAAACTATATTTTCATTTGCTTCAATGATAACTGTATCCTTGGCAGGCTTGGTCTTGAACTTGACAGCCACATCTACAAAAAATACCTGTTTTAGATCTTTTGTTGCAGGAAATGATCACTTCAATATATGTTTTTAATAAACTGGTACCTGTCAAGTGGAGCTTAAATACCAGCTTCTCATTTCCAGCTTCACAGCTGTATTCCCCTGCATCCTTCTTTTCCATTTTTTCTATTACCAGCTCACGAGTTGTTCCCCTCGACTCCATGAGGATCCCCTTACTGGAGGTCAGAAGCTTCCCATCCTTGAACCACTTCACCTCCATCTTAGAGTCTGAAACGGAACAACTCAGAGTGGCTTTCTGAGAGAGAGCAGCTTTTACTTCTCTCTGGACTGAGTCCTTGTTGGAGAAAACAGCTGGAGGCTCTAGAAAGCAAATGATAAAAGTGTTTCAAATTAAAGTGTGCTTCAGTTCATCTAAAAACGCTTTACCAGAGTATCGTTTAGCTAAAAACACACTAAGAAACCATTTTATGACAAGTATTGGACAGTTCAGCTGGTTGGAAGTTTAAAATGTAGGTCATTTGTGAACATACCATTGCTACAGTGGTTGTAGCTACACTGTAAAAAAATCTAAAATTTAAATTGACGAGATAAAACAGACATTTTGCCAATGGAACAAGACAATTTAGATTTAAAATAAGAAAACACAATTTCATTGTCTTATTTTAAGTGCATGTTATCTAATTATCTTATTTTTAGAGTAGAAATACTGATTGTATTGGCAAATTATCTCATTTACCTATTTAAATTAAGGGTATATACACTTAATTTAAGAAATGTTAACTTATTTTTAGATTGTTTTTCCAGTGTACTCAGAGTAACTCTTCAGCGTAGATATTATGTCTAAGCATAGTTAAATATTTTTTTGAATTAGTGACTCAGAAGAAGTAAACAATCTGTTTTTCTTTAACATGTCTGCAGATCTTTCACACTGTGAGAAAGTCTGAATTTTCTTCTGAATGAGCTATAACCATTACTCCTCTGTATCCATCTAAGCTTTCAACCTATGTCCCATTTGGGACATGTAACATTTAGAAACGATGGCAACTTTTTGAAAATCTCAGCTTTAATGTAAGAATGTAAATTTTTTACCATTTTATTCAACCCTTTGAAAAAGCCAAATCTTTACTGATTCAGTCCGAAAGTTTCCTCTGTCTTTTTTGTTGTTCCCTTCATAGCAAATGAATATTTATTTATTTAAGCTATAAAAGATAGTTGACATAATATTACATTCCAACAATAGTAACAAGTACTGTATTGTTTCCTCCTACCTGCCACATGAACCCTAAAGACCAACTTTTCAGTCCCAGCCTGACAGATGTATTCTCCAGCATCCGTTCTCTCTACGCTGTCAATCACCAGCTGGCGAACTCTGCTCTTTGCATCTACATGTATGGTCTTGCTGGATGTGACCAGCTTACCATCCTTGTACCATTTCACCTCAGTCTTTGCATCAGCAACTTCGCAGCTCAGTGTGGTTTTCTGCGACAGAGAGGCTTTCACCTCTTTTTGGACCGACTCTTTGTTGGAGAAGGCTGATTTATGTTGGATTTCTGTAAAAGTAGTAAAAGAAAAGTACTGAGGGTTTATTCATCTAATATCAATATATTCAGTATTGAAAATCCTTACCTTCAACATGTATCTTAAAGGCCATTTTTTCTGTTCCAGCCTCACAGATGTATTCTCCAGCATCCTTTCTCTCCATGCTGTCTATCACCAGCTGACGGCTCTTGCCTTTGGATTCCGTGTGGATTGTTTTGCTGGATGTCAGCTGCTTGCCATCCTTGAACCATTTCACCTCTGTCTTGCTGTCAGCAACCTCACAGCTCAGAGTGGCTTTCTGGGACAAAGTGGTCTTCACTTCTTTCTGCACAGACTCCTTGTTCACAAAGGCAGAGCTTTTTTGGATTTCTGCAGCAAATAAAGAAAATCCTCATATGATTTTTAAATTGATCTTAAAATAGTGTTTTTTTTACAAATTTTGTTCTGGTGTATGACAGTTTGAGGCTGAGGTGTCATGTTTTACAGTTACATCAAAGACCAAGCAAATAGAAATTCAACAAGGTGCTTATGTAAATAGGAAGGGAGCTCTCAAAAAAATCATATAAATAAATAAAATATATTTATAAAGCCCCTACTAAGGCTTTTTTAAAAATCTTTGCTAAGCAACACATAAAATAAAAAAAATACAATTAAATTAAAAACATGCATTAGTGTACAACTCTATTTTTACTGTAAAAATTTTTTGATAATAAACATTTCTAACTTTAAAGAAAAAAACTCATACTGAAAACAAACAATGTCAAATCCAGCAAAAAGTTGGGGTGATGGAGCAGAGATTAGAGTGATGCAAAGGACAAAGGTGAACTTTAAACCAAAGACAAGTTATCAAAATATCCAGGCATCTGGTCAAAATGCTATTTAGTGATAAAAAATAAAGGTGTAGTTGTTGCGTTTCCCGTTAAGATGTTTTGACTAATTATTGAAAACTATGTTTGAAAAAAAAAATAAAACATGAATTTGAAAACGAAAATATACTCCTAATCTAATCGGTTAATATTTTCTATAATCATTATGAATCACTCCTTACCTTCAACATGTAACTTGAAAGAAAGCTTTTCTGTTCCAGCCTCACAGACGTATTCTCCAGCATCCTTTCTCTCCATGCTGTCTATCACCAGCTGACGGCTCTTGCCTTTGGATTCAGTGTGGATTGTTTTGCTGGATGTCAGCTGCTTGCCATCCTTGAACCATTTCACCTCTGTCTTCATGTCAGCAACCTCGCAGCTCAGAGTGGCTTTCTGGGACAAAGTGGTCTTCACTTCTTTCTGCACATACTCCTTGTTCACAAAGGCAGAGCTTTTTTGGCTCTCTGCACCAAATAAAGAAAATCCTAATAATATATGATTTTTAAATTGATCTTAAAATATTTTTTTTTTTTTTTTTTTTTTTTTTTTTTTTTTTTTACAAATTTTGTTATGGTGTATGACAATTTGAGGCTGAGGTGTCATGTTTTACAGTTACATCAAAGACGGAGCAAATAGATATTCAATAAGGCTAGGATGGTGTTAATGTAAATAGGAAGGGAGCTCTTAAAATAATTAATATAAATAAATTAAATATATTTATAAAGCCTCTACTAAGGATTTTTTTCCCCAATATTTGCTCAGCAAAAAATAAAAAAATACAATTCAAGTAAAACATGCATTGGTGTACAATTCTATTTTTATTGTAAAAAAAAAAAAAAAAAAAAAGTTTATAATAAAGATTGCAAACTGCAGAAAAAACCCATACTAAAAACAAACAATGACAAATCCAGCAAAAAGTTGGGGTGATGGAGCAGAGATTAGAGTGATAGAAAGGAGAAAGGTGAACTTTAAACCAAAGACAAGTTATCAAAATATAAAGGTCTCTGGTCAAAATGCTGTTTAGTGATAAAAAGTAAAGGTGTAATTGTTGTGTTTCCCGTTAAGATGTTTTTACTGATTGTTAAAAACTATGTTTGAAAAAAAATCAAACATGAATTTGAAAACAAATATATACTTGTGATCTTATGGGTAGAATTTTCTATAATCATTATGAATCACTCCTTACCTTCAACATGTAACTTGAAAGAAAGCTTTTCAGTCCCAGCCTCACAGATGTATTCTCCAGCATCCTTTCTCTCCATGCTGTCTATCACCAGCTGACGGCTCTTGCCTTTGGATTCCGTGTGGATTGTTTTGCTGGATGTCAGCTGCTTGCCATCCTTGAACCATTTCACCTCTGTCTTCATGTCAGCAACCTCGCAGCTCAGAGTGGCTTTCTGGGACAAAGTGGTCTTCACTTCTTTCTGCACAGACTCCTTGTTCACAAAGGCACACTTTTTTTGGATCTCTGTAGCATATAGGGAAAATCCACATAATATGTGAGTTTTAAATATATCAGTAACATGGATTTAATTATGTTTTAAGGCAAGTAAGGGTTTCAAAATGTATGCATGGGTGAATTAGCATGGTATGCAATTTTTTCAGTTAAAAAATCTTTGACATTAAACAATTACAATTTTTCTGCAAATTATTAAAAAGCAAACCGGGACAAATCTTTAAAGAATTCTGTGGAGGGGGAAAAATTAGAGACTTCAAACTTTAAACACCAAAGTCAAATGATCAGAAAACAGAGGAACACATGCAAAAAGCTTTTTAGTTAATTAGAAAGAATAGCTTTAATGGTCGATTTCTTGTGAAGATATTTTCTCTTATTGCAAAAAACATTGTTACCTTCAACATTTATCCTAAATGCCAACTTTTCTGTTCCAGCCTCACAGATGTATTCTCCAGCATCTTTTCTCTCCATGCTGTCTATCACCAGCTGACGGCTCTTGCCTTTGGATTCTGTGTGGATTGTTTTGCTGGATGTCAGCTGCTTGCCATCCTTGAACCATTTCACCTCTGTCTTGCTGTCAGCAACCTCACAGCTAAGTATGGCTCTTTGGGAAAGGCTGGCTTTCACTTCTTTCTGAACAGACTCCTTTTTGAAGAAGGCAGACTGAACTTGCATGTCTGCAGATGGTATAAATGTATTAGTTTTCCAGCAATATTCTACTTTTCTGGATGCTTAATGGCAGTATCTTAGAAATGAACCAACCAACCACATGTCAGTTTACTGCTGGATCCTACCTTCCACTTGCAGTTTGAAGACAAGCTTTTCAGAACCAGCCTCACAGATATACTCTCCAGCGTCTTTACTCTCCAGGCTCTCTATCATCAGCTGGCGACTTTTTCCTTTTGACTCTGTATGTACCGTCCTGCTAGAAGTGAGAAGCTTTCCATCTTTGTACCATTTAACCTCTGTCTTCGTATCAGACACTTCACAACTGAGTGTGGCTTTCTGAGACACAGCGGCTTTAACATCATTCAGGACCGACTCCTTGTTTGAAAAAGCCGACTGGGCATCTAATAACACAGTTATAAGAGAAAACACATCAGACAAATCCTTGTAAAAGTATGAACAGAGTATGAACAAAACACATTTACCTGCCAAATGTATCTTAAAGGCCAGTAAATATTGTTAACTGCTTTTTTTTGTTTGTTTTTTTACCTGGAAAATATGAAACTAAAATATTTTTTGGAAAGAAATATTTGTAAGTGGAAAATATTTTTAGATGTAAAAACAAGAAAAAACAAAGACAACACTTAGTTTCGCTTAGCTTTCAAACTTTTTGTAGTTTAAAAATGTAAGTTTAGTATTTATTTCATTTTCCATTTTCAGAAATACTTTTGGTTTCTAAATGTTCTTTTTTTGGTTCGCAACAATTTTTCAGTTTGATATAATTTATTTATTTATTTTAGAATTCATTTTTCAAAAGATGAAAAGCAAAAGAAAACAAGTAGCAATGGCTTTTTTGCCTTTTGATTGGCTAAAATCAAACTTTGTAGCCAATCAGCTCAGAAAGTTCTGCTGAATGTCCCTCCTTGTTACCCAACAGATTTGATGGCAGCAGCTCCAGATTGATAGCATGTGGAACTAGAACGAGACTGCCACACATTATTAATCTGGCTCACCATACTAGCTAGTTTTGCATTTAAAGTGAATCAGAACTTTGGTTAAAGAGGATATTACAATGTTTCAAAAGTGAACATAGTTTAAAAATCGAAAATTTTTCAGTGAAAGCTTTGGGAGAAACAATTCCAGACAAAGGTAATAGTTAAGTTAATATGAAAAGCGTGAAATATGGATGGACGGATGTTGTAAAATTTATTCTGTAAAAATATGTACTAAAACCCACCATAAAGGCACAGCTGCTGACGAATCTCTAAGGTCAGAGGTTCCAATCATAACAGTACCAGTGTGTTGTAGAATCTCATACACTGTGCAGCATTTTGGACTAGCTGAATGATGCTGACAGCTGGTTTTGGACTGTAGCAGTTTTTTCTGTAGTACCACTGATGTTTTTATTCATCTTGACATTGTTTCAGGTGAGTAATTCAGTTTACTGTGGAGCAAGCTACATATCTTATGCTATTTAAATGCGTATGCCTGAACAAAGTGTTTGCTCTGTCAACCTTCCCTTTTCTACTGTTGCTATAAAAAACCTTGATGTTCCTAGATAGCATAGTTTAGTGGTACAATTGCTGATCTGATACCTGGATTGGATATTGGCTCTGATATTGATAAATTAGCTGGATCGGATTTCTGCCATTTGATATTGGATATCAGAGATCCAAACTAATGAACTTTATATATAGAGCTGTTATGTCTTTCTTTTTGCTACATATTTACTAATAATTAAAGTACATTTATATCTGTGTTGATGTGTTACCTTTTTAACAATATTTTTGTAAAGGCTTAAGCCTTCACTAACAGGGCACGATATATGGTTACAGTTGAATAGGATCGATATCGGATAGCAGCCGATATGCTCAGCCCAGGTATCGGTATCGGACTGAATCAGAAAAAATCTGGATTGATGCATATCTAGCCTAGAGTAATCTTTCCCCACATAAACACACAGCTAATGTTCAAGTAACTTTAAGCGATATTTGCTTGGTGAATAAGCATGTAACATACATGCACACTTTTCATCTAACTGAATCTCAGTCTAATTCTCGTTATGGTTGAGCTGTCTTTAAAGGATTTGAAACGACTGGAGTCCAGGACTAATCTAACGTCTTGAAACCTGTTGGTTTTGTACTGTTGCTACTATGCAGTCTAAATTTGCCTTTTCTTGTGCACAGCTTGCAAAACTTTATCATAGACTGTGCACTCTATCTTGTTGACCAGCAAATGCTTTTCACATGCTGCAGTGATGTTTGCAGAGAATGAAAGGCTGTAGTTGCTGCTTCAGTCTCTTGTTGTCATGTGTGCTGTGCACTGCTCAGACAATGCAGAGGGTGGCTGACAAACTGTTATATAATAATATAAAGTAAAATTCAAGTCTGGATTTACCAAGCAGATGAACAGATACTTTCTATTGTTATTAACCATATTCACAAGCTTAGGGATCAAGCACTCCTACCAGATACAAATATCTTGAAGACCAGCTTTTCCCCTCCAGCTTCACATGTGTACTCTCCAGCATCACTCTTCTCTATATTTTCAATCACCAGCTGACGAGTGGTGCCTTTTGCCTCCCAGTATATTCTCCTACTCGACTCCAGTAGCTTTCCATCTTTGTACCATTTCACCTCCGTCTTGGTATCTGACACATTGCAGCTCAGCGTTGCTCTCTGGGTAAGGATGGCTTTGATCTCTGTCTGAACTAATTCCTTATTGGAGAACACAGCTGCTGCTTGGGACTCTGGGAATAAAAACAAAGTTTGCCTCATTTTATAGCATCAACCTTAAAAAAAATAATCAATGCTACCTGTAGAAACTAATAGGTTTACCTTTTATCTTTACATGGAATGTGACTTTGTCAGCTGCTGTCTCACATGAATAATATCCTTCATCGATTTTCTTGGCGCTCTTAATAATGAGTTTCCTTTGGGTCCCTTTGGAGATTATGGTTGTTCTTTGGTCCTCACTAATCTCCACTTTATCCTTTTTCCAAATAACAGCAGCACTCGCAGAAGATACCTCACAACTCAGCTCAAGGTCTCCTCTAAGGGAGGATGACATTCCCATGGGGCCCCTGGCTTTATTGAGAAATTTGGCAGGCTCATCTAGGCAGAGGTGGATTATACGGGAATTATTTGTTGTATAGTTCAATAGTTTTCCAAACAAGGCTTATAACCAATGATCTGTGTGCATTAATGAACTTTAAAACTATTTTAAAGTTCAAAAGTACTTACCTTTCAATGTGAGCTGAAAGGACATCCGGTCATCAGCTAAGACACACTCATAAAGGCCCACATCTTCTTCTGTAACATTGTGAACTATCAGTATCCTCCTGCATTCTTGTATAACTGATTCATACTTCTTCCCCATTTTCACCTCTCGCCCATTCCTCATCCAAGCCACCTAAAGAACCAAACATTACTTAAATCAAGATTTCTAACAGCACAGAACTAGCAGCATACTATTCATCTTATCTTCTCAATAGCCCTGACCAGGTTCTAATCCCTGCTATAGAAATTTCTTCCCACAAGATAAAGTTGCCGCAACAACGCTGTAGGGTTTTCCCCCTCAAATGTTTATGTCTTCACCAAACAGTTCAAAGTTGTATCTTTAAAAAAAGAGAAATTCCATCTGAACAGTGGATCTCTGCATAATGTGCAGATTTACCATTAGCCTCTTGGCTGCATTTCTGCTCAATGTTCTCCTTAGCTGGCCTGTGTATAGAAGGTCATGCCTTGATAGTTTTATAGCTTCTCCGAATCTTTACCCTTGACATGTCTAGTGTGTTCATTAGTCTACTTACTGCTGTCTGAACCCTTCCTTAGGATAATTCCAAAGGATATTGCTGGCACTAGATCATATTTTAGGGAATTAGAGTAAAGGAGGGTGAAAACATCTGCACAGTAAATCAGATTTCTAGTTCTCCCAGAATTTAGGAAACAATCAAATCCCAGTAAAAGGCTGTAAGGTGACTTAAACAGTTCAAGATAATTAACTATGAGAAAGCATATCCTCAAAATGGTCAAGGTGGTAAAGAAACATGTTTGTCCTACAAACCTGAGTCTCATAGTCTGACACCTCAGCACTCAGCTGAGCTGTCTCTTGGACGCTGCAGGTCACAACCTCTGGATGGTCAGACTTGTTGGTGAACTTGATAGAGGGTGCTAAAACACATTTATGCACTTAATAGGCATGACTGAAAAATATCACTCAGATAAAGTCCAATGCAGAAAATATCTATTCCATTTTAAACTGCATACCCTTCACAGAAAGGATGCAACTGCTCTGGGAACCTCCACCCACAAACTTGATTTCGACTCCATTCATTTCCATCGTCACAACACGAATGAGTAATGTGTGTATATTCTTGGACCTGGTAATAAGGTACTCTGATCCACTCCGCAGAAGACGTCCATTTAGGGACCAGAAGCCTGAGCAAGCAGCTGACAGCTCGACAGAGATGGAGAACTCCTCTCCAAAGACTGCAGTACTGTTCATCAGACCTTTCCTGATTTCAGCAGTGGGCTCTGAAGAACAATAGACAAGGACAAAATTATAAAGTAGAAAAAAATAACAATAATAAAAAAAAACATTAAACATATAAAATAAGGATAATAAAACAGAGACTTACCAAGGTAAAAACTACCAGGTACTTCCAAATAGGGACTCTGACCAAAAGCATTTGTGGCAGAAATTCGGAACTGGTAGCTAGCTTCTTCTGCAAAACTGCGTATGGTGACCTCTGTTGTTGTGAGGATTTCTCCAGCATTGCACCTCTGCCAGGTGGAAGCACCAACCTTTCTCTTCTCCACGATGTACCCATTAATGGGTACAGGGCGGTCACTGTCAGGGGGAGACCACTGAATGGTGATGGATGAGTCAGTCTTGTTCTGCACCACAGCATCGACTGGGGGATCAGGGGGATGTTTCCTGGGAGCTACAATAAGATGAAAGTGTTATAGATGTATCTTCTCCTTGTTTCACACTCCCGTTTAGTGTGGTGGCTCCTGTTAGAGTCTAAGGATGTAGAGGGACCATTTGTCATAATTTACCACAGCTCAACTTGTGGTTCCTCGTCTACAGTTGTGGTTATGTTCTAGAACACTCCACAATAGCGTAAAGGCCTATATCTTGCCTACAGCTATTAACATATACAGCAAATTGTTGAAAAATACCCTATGAATTACAACAGCATTTCATTACAGTGCATTGGATGCAGGAGTTTGCCCTGCAACCAGTGGGTTATCAGTTCATGCCTTTAGGTGTCGTTGTGTCCTTGGGCAATACACCCTCATTGCCTACTGATGGTGGTCAGAGGGCCCAATGCTGCCTGTGTACGTAAACCTTATTTCTTTCAGTGAGCCCTAGGGAAGCTATGGCTACAGAGTAGCTTGCAACCATGAGTATGATGAGTGAATGGGTTAATAACTAAATATAATGTAAAGCACTTTGGTCAAAATCCCTATAGTCAGGTAATTTACCCATTGAGATCGATAAAGTCTTTTAAAATGTAATGGAATTATCATCCAAAAGCAACCCTTTTTGTTATAATGGTGTTCCTTCATCAAAAATAGTCACTAACTGGTATAATTCATGTTATCTGAATAATCCTCATGAATTTTGCCCTTTGAGCAGCAGTTTGTCTCTTTCAAGAAAAGAATGTCTGGCCAAGACATTTCTACATATAGCTGTCATTACCTGCTCCCTCCGGGAAGTGTACAAAGTAGTGACTTTCTATTTATTTTACATTTATATATATGTAAAAGCTTTTAAATCTATCCCCAGACCCCAAACATCATTCCCATTTGTGGATTATGCAACAAACATTATGGATAATTGTGGTAATGTGGCCTTTTTGTTAAGTTGTTGCATGTTTTCTAATTTTGGATTTTCTTTATTTTTGAACTTGTTTGCTTGTTTTCAATTTTGTGTGTTGCATGTTTTTTCGGATTTTGTTGGAGGCCACATTGCCACACACACCTGGACACGCCCACAACGGCACAGGTGTTCCCAATCAACTAAGCAGCGTGCCGACTGGGACGCTGATTTAAAAAAGGCAGCTGCTTGGTTGGAGAGACAGACACCGGACATGGGAAGGTTTGGTTGGGGAAGGCCGATCTTGGAGGGAGCCGGACGGAGCGAGTGAGAGGGAAGCAGCGGGAGAGCCTTGGGGACTGACGGCAGGAGGCCCGCCGGAGCGAGGTGGAGAGACGCGCACCGGAGAGAGAGACGCGCACCGGAGAGAGAGACGCGCACCGGAGAGAGAGACGCGCACCGGAGAGAGAGACGCGCACCGGAGAGGGAGACGCGCGCCGAAGAGGAGCGCGCCGGAGAGAGAGACGCGCACCGGAGAGACGCGCACCGGACAGAGAGACGCGCACCGGAGAGGAGCGCACCGGAGCGAGCGAGGTGCAGGGACGCGCACCGGAGCAAGGTGCAAGGACGCACGCCGGAGAGACGCTCACCGGAGCGGGGTGCAGAGAGGCCCGTCATGGAGCGAGGCGCAGAGGCACGCTGGCGAGAGGCGCGTGTTGGAGGAGACCTCGAAGGCCAGCTACGCTGGAGAGGCCCACACGCGCAGCGTGCCGGAACGAGGACCCAGCGCTGGGGTGGACGGTGCCCTCCATTATACCCGCCAAGTGCGCGTCTTTTAACAGACTTCCCCATTGACTCTGCTGCTCTCCACCATCTGGATTTTTATCTTTCTTTTTAATCTTTTCTCTTTTATCTATCTTTTTTTATCTTTTTCCTTTTAACGTATTTTATTGAACACTTTTAGCGAGCTCGTCTTTTTACGTAAATTATTGAACTTTTAATCTATTAAACTTTTTAAGGCCCTGCTCACAATCGCCGCAGTCTGTTTGGTTTTTATGTTTTTTTTAAAGATGATCGCACCTCTCGGGTGCCACAGATTCTGGCGTTGCTGGTAGGACTGCGGGGTTGTGAGCAGTGTTTTTAACGGGTTTTATTTTATTTATTTATTTTTTTAAATCAGATGGGAAGGTGCTCTCCCATAGGACTATGGATCGGCCGGGACGGGCCTTATTAAAGTGTGGGGGGATGTGGTAATGTGGCCTTTTTGTTAAGTTGTTGCATGTTTTCTAATTTTGGATTTTCTTTATTCTTGAACTTGTTTGCTTGTTTTCAATTTTGTGTGTTGCATGTTTTTTCGGATTTTGTTTGGAGGCCACATTGCCACACACACCTGGACACGCCCACAACGGCACAGGTGTTCCCAATCAACTAAGCAGCGTGCCGACTGGGACGCTGATTTAAAAAAGGCAGCTGCTTGGTTGGAGAGACAGACACCGGACATGGGAAGGTTTGGTTGGGGAAGGCCGATCTTGGAGGGAGCCGGACGGAGCGAGTGAGAGGGAAGCAGCGGGAGAGCCTTGGGGACTGACGGCAGGAGGCCCGCCGGAGCGAGGTGGAGAGACGCGCACCGGAGAGAGAGACGCGCACCGGAGAGAGAGACGCGCACCGGAGAGACGCGCACCGGAGAGAGAGACGCGCACCGGAGAGGGAGACGCGCGCCGGAGAGGAGCGCGCCGGAGAGAGAGACGCGCACCAGAGAGACGCGCACCGGACAGAGAGACGCGCACCGGAGAGGAGCGCGCCGGAGAGACGCGCACCGGAGCGAGCGAGGTGCAGGGACGCGCACCGGAGCAAGGTGCAAGGACGCACGCCGGAGAGACGCTCACCGGAGCGGGGTGCAGAGAGGCCCGTCATGGAGCGAGGCGCAGAGGCACGCTGGCGAGAGGCGCGTGTTGGAGGAGACCTCGCAGGCCAGCTACGCTGGAGAGGCCCACACGCGCAGCGTGCCGAAACGAGGACCCAGCGCTGGGGTGGACGGTGCCCTCCATTATACCCGCCAAGTGCGCGTCTTTTAACAGACTTCCCCATTGACTCTGCTGCTCTCCACCATCTGGATTTTTATCTTTCTTTTTAATCTTTTCTCTTTTATCTATCTTTTTTTATCTTTTTCCTTTTAACGTATTTTATTGAACACTTTTAGCGAGCTCGTCTTTTTACGTAAATTATTGAACTTTTAATCTATTAAACTTTTTAAGGCCCTGCTCACAATCGCCGCAGTCTGTTTGGTTTTTATGTTTTTTTTAAAGATGATCGCACCTCTCGGGTGCCACATAATGTTGCATAGAACATGAAATCAATCCCATAAGTATAGTCTCATTTTTTGATGAAGAGTCACAGTTTTTAGTTTGTGCAATAAATGGGTATGTTACAAGTTACTGTACCTACGAAGATTGCAACTCAAATGTTTAGATGTGCAAACCGATTTGGTTTCACACATTGTAATGAGCACATTACCTTTTTTACAGACAGTTTGAGAGTGGCTGTAAAGAAAGATGAGGTTCAAAGCCATGGAGATTAGGATAATAATGATAATTAGTATAGGGATGCTAATAATAATAATAATAAAACAAATCAATTTTATAGTGCAGCTAATTATCTCTCTCAAAGTGTTGGGATAAAAGAAAAAATAAAACTGAAACATTACTGTACTTTGTATTGAGGGAGAAAAACCTTCACTGTTGCAAACTATGAACAATGACCATAATATAAAGTAGATTATAGGCATTGCAAAGTATTTTTAGACCAGTCACCTTGTCTACATGGTGGATAAGATAAATGGGCTGGATGCAAAACAAGGGGCTTTACCATGTCTCACCAAATATAGAACAAAATTGAGCAATTATGAGAGAAATTTGTAAAGATGACTTGACTTACCAGTGACAGAGAATCGTGTTGAAGTCTTACAATCTCCAGCTATGAAGGCCACTTCTCCAGAATCATCAGCCTGGCAGTCTTTAATTGTTAATGTGTACTGTCTAAGTACACAGGCAATCGAAGTACGTGAATCTTCCTTCAGTTTCTCGCCATTGCGAGTCCAATAGGCATCTGGACAAGGATGCTCCAGCTCAACGCAGAAGATGACCGTGTCACTGACAGGAACGATTGTTCTCCGAGGAAGCTTCTTTGTGATATTACCTAGTACAATAGAGGGAGATTTCTAATAGAAATATTTGTAGCAGATAAACAGAATATAAACTGTTTAAAAAGAATTATTTTGTAAACCAATGGAACAACTTTAACAGCTGCATTATTGCAATTAAATATCCTTTTGAAATTACAGCTAAGTTGCCCTTACAGTCTTGAAAAAAAGGTTTACCCTACCCAGGACAGTGAGCTCAGCCACAGTGCGGCTGCCTTCTTTCATCTCACAGATATAAACTCCATCATCATTCGTGGTGACATTATGTATGGTGAGGCGACGCAGCGTCCCTTGCTCGTCCATGCGATATTTGATGTTTTGCTCCAGCATGGTTTCCTCCATGAACCAACTGGTTTGGGTGGCATTAAGGGGCACCTCACACAGGAGTGTGGCTGAGGCCTTCTCTTGTACCTCCACATCCTGTAGCTTCCTCTTAAATGGAACTTTTGGCTCTGAGTAAAAACAAAAAGAAGAAAATCTGTTGATTGTTACAATGAAAAAAGACTAAATAGTGTAAAGTGCAACACCTGCTTGTAAAGTAAAATAAAGTAAAATATTTATTAACAAATTAAATTATATTTAATCATCCTTACCATTGGTAAATCTGAATAAGATGCATTAAAATGGATTTCTAATTTCCTAATTTGAAATTTTTATTTTTTATTTTTGGAAAATACAGCATTTGATTGTAATGCATTATGGGGAAAAACCAATATTTCCTTTTATGTTTTATTAGGGTTATCAGATTGTCTAGAGAGTCTCACATCTTTTATTTTTGGTTTTCTTCTTGTTTTAACTTGTTTAATGTACATTTCACCATGTTAGTACTTACTGTTAACATTATGATAATATCTTCCGTCTGTTTTTAATTGAAAGCCACTTTGGTCAATGAGGTTGCTGACAAACATACTACAGAAATAAAATGGATGTTTGAGGCAAATTTCTCGTAGCCATTTTTCAAAACTGGAAAGACAATGGAACATTTCAAGAGAGGCAGATGTGTGAAAAGGCAGCCCTCCCTTTTCACAAATGCCACAGAACAGCACGCTACAATGTAGCTGGCTAACGTCACACACACCTGCACACACCTCCATACACAAGCGCGCACACACGAATCTGAGACTTTCACTCGCGGAGCCGGCAACCGCATATGAGAGCTCTTTGTCACGCCAACACTCCAAAAACTTTCAGTACTTACCTGAGTGACCAGCCATCGCAGCGTTCGGTGAGGTACCCGCCGATATCGCTCCATAATCCCATACCGCTCCAGTTTCCACACATTGCACACACAAACACAAACGCGCACACACACTTCCTGGTCCGACAACTTCTCCTCCCCTGGGAAACACGAACTGTGGGTAGGGGAATAATTTATGTCTCATTCAGCCAATCAGAGGCTTTGATTACCTGACGGGGTGAAACTGAGTGTTTGATGCATTTAAAATGCTATTTTTAGGTGTAATGTTGATGTAATGAGAAATGTGTTTTATTGAATGTATGCATACAGTAATGTGGTTAATGTAGATTGCTTAGGCATGTAATTTAACAGTGAAAATGAAGTAGTGCATTGTTTCAGCTGTACCTTTTTTTTCTTGCATAGTGGTCTCATCCAATCAGTCAGTGATTTAGTCCAGTAGGCATGCAATTTGCCAATTATGTCTGTTTGTATAAAAACCCTACTTTTTCCTCAGTTTGTGGGTTGGATGCTAGGAGAAAGGTTGGTGCCTGAGACTGTCGTGTTCAAAAGAGGTATTGCTCTCTGTGCTTAGATTTATTATTAGTTATTATTTTGAACAACCATCGTGTTGATTTTGTTTATGTTTTGGAAAGTCTTTTTGTTACTGCACTTTTTGGTTAGAGCACTGTAAATAAATATACACCACGTCATTTGCACTGGACCTCCTTGTTGAGTGCTTTCATTCCATTTGGGTGGCCATCCTGCAGTGAAACCTGAGCCAGAGGGCTCACCAGTTTCACATTTGGTGTCAGAAGTGGGATCGTGGCGCCGACACGAAAGTCAACAAGAAAGAAGTGCAAGCAGAGTGAGATGGCTTACAGGAAGTTGAAGAAGACCAACCCCCTGGGTCCAGGTGAGGAAGAGGTCGAAGGAGCCATAGGAGGAGAGCAACAGACACAACCTGATGACGACGACAGGCCGCAAGAAGCACTCAACCTTTCAGACCTGTACAGCCTACTGCAACGGTCCATGCGGACGCAGGAGAAAGAGAGGGAGAAACAAGAGCAGCGGTGGCGCAACATTCAAGTTCAACTGGGTAACGTCCGTGATGAGCTGGAGGACCATCGCAGGAGTTCCAGGGGAGGGCAGCAGCAGCAGCAGCCAGATGGAGCAAAGCCAGCAACCCTCCCAGCGGCAGCGACCCTCCCAGCAGCAGCGGCGCATCCAGCGGCAGCGACCCTCCCAGCAGCAGCGGCGCATCCAGCGGCAGCGACCCTCCCAGCAGCAGCGGCGCATCCAGCGGCAGCGACCCTCCCAGCAGCACCGGCACATCCAGTGGCAGCAACCCTCCAAGCAGCACCGGCAGCAGGGTATCCAGCACCACCACCAGCCCCATGGATGCCAGCGGCAGGCCCATCGATCCTGTTTCCTGATCCAGTAGCACCAGCGCCAGCAACATGGACCAGAGCAGCAGTGCCGAAGCTAGAGGACAGCGATGATGTGGAGCAATACATGACCACCTTTGAACGTCTAGCCACAGCCTACAGGTGGCCCTTAGCCCAGTGGGCTACATTCCTTGTACCGTACCTGTCTGGCAAAGCTCGGGCTGCATACGTCGCCATGGATCCTTATGAAGCCGTGGACTACTTCAAGGTGAAGAATGCCATCTTAGCCAAATATGAGATAAACGCCGAAAGCTACCGAACACGGTTCAGGGAGCCGAACATTCAATCTGGTGAGACGCCGAAAGAATTCTACAACCGGCTGAAGGACTTGTACCAAAAATGGATTCGCCCAGCGGAGCACACTGTGGAAGAAATCGGTGAAGTGCTCATTCTGGAACAATTCTTGCGCTCACTCTCCCCGGAGGTAAGAGTGTGGGTCAAAGAGCACAACCCCAGCACAGGCCTGAAGGCCGCAGAGCTCGTGGATGGTTACCTGTCAGCCCGCCGCGGACCGAAGGACTTCAGATTCCAAGGCCCCAACAGAGCACCTCAACCGCCGAAGGGAAAGTCTGTGGGATATGGGAGTGGAGTTGGTCCTGGTCCGGGGAGTGGTACACAGAGTAGGGGCCCAAGCACTAGACATTACATGCCTCAACACCCCTCTCAGCCTAGACCTACTGACACATCCACAACACACAATACACCTGCTAACACACAGGCTGTATGTCATTATTGTGGTAAGCCAGGTCACTGGGCTAGAGTTTGTCCTCTGAAGAAGGTTAGGGGTGCTACTTGCAGTATGGTTTCTGTGCCTAGACCTATGACTGATGCTGTGTATGCTGACAGTGTGCCAGTAATGGGTGTGATTGTGAATGATAAACCGGCAAGGGCTCTCCTGGACACAGGCAGCACCCACACTTTGGTGCAACCTCACCTGGTTCAGCAGCCTGAAGCTTTGACTGGCGAGAAACTGCGAGTAGTGTGTGTGAATGGTGATGTCCATGAATACCCCATAGCACTTGTGTCTGTTAAAGTGCAAGATCAGATGTTCAGGTTAGAAGCCGGGGTTGTTAAAGGCTTGAATTATCCTGTGGTCTTAGGTCAGGATGTGGGGATTCTGCCAGACCTGGTGCAGGCTTCTCTCCCAATGAGTTGCGTTGCAACCAGGGCACAGGCTAAAAAGGCGCAGGAGTTGTTACGTGAAATGCCATACAGTGGAGAAGATTTTGGTTCCCCTGTAAAAATGAGAGACAGGAAGACACGCCGACAGCGTAGGCATGACAAACTAGTTGGCACAGTCAAAGTCATGTCTGGTGAAGAGCTAGCGGCAGTTCCTGATGCAGGGAAGGAGATGTGGCAAGTTCCTGATGATCTGAAAGAATTGCAAAACCAAGATGTTTCACTGAAGGAGCTATTTGACCAAGTTGTTGAAGTGGATGGTGTGGGCACAGGCCAGGAAAAGACATTGCTGGGTGAATTTTACTTTGTGCGTGATGGCTTGCTGTATCATCAGCCTGAAGGTGGCAGTGCAGAGCAGCTAGTAATACCGACCTGTCTAAGACAGAAGATTTTGTGTTTGGGTCATGACATTCCTTGGTCGGCACATTTGGGAAGTGTGAAAACTTTGCAGAGGATTTCAGACAGATTCTTCTGGCCCGGGTTGTATACTGATGTGCAAAAACACTGCAAAACATGCCCCACATGCCAGCTTTACAGCAAACACAAAGTCAGGCCATATCCACTTCAGCCGTTGCCAGTGATAGATGTCCCATTCACCCGAATAGGTATGGACATTGTAGGACCTTTAGAGCGCACACAATCAGGCCACCAGTACATTTTGGTAATCTGTGATTACGCCACACGTTATCCTGAAGTGTTTCCCTTACGCAAGGTTACGGCTAGAGCCATTGCCCCTGCACTATTACAGTTATTCTCAAGGGTGGGAATTCCCCGGGAAATACTGACGGATCAGGGAACAGCTTTCCTTTCAAACACCTTAAAGCAGGTTTATGGGTTGTTGGGTATTAGTGCGATCAGGACCACTCCCTACCATCCCCAGACAGATGGACTTGTTGAGAGGTACAATCACACACTGAAAGGTATGCTGAGGAAATTTGTGTCTGCCAACGGCAAAGATTGGGACCGATGGCTGCCGTACCTGATGTTTGCCTACCGTGAGGTACCTCAAGCATCCACGGGGTTCTCGCCGTTCGAACTCCTGTACGGCAGACATGTGCGCGGACCCCTTGACCTGCTGAAGGATGCCTGGGAGTCGCCCAAGGCCACCACCTCCAACGTGATCTCCTACGTCATTGCCATGAGGGACAGGATGGAGGAGATGGCCAGCCTCGTTCGAGACAACCTCCAGAGTGCCCAGGTGACCCAGACCACCTGGTACGACCGGAGTGCACGACAGAGAACCTTCCAGCCTGGCCAGAAAGTCCTCCTTCTCCTGCCCACTGAAGAGAATAAGTTGCTGGCGAGGTGGCAGGGTCCTTACAGCATCAGCAGACAGTTGGGGCCTACCACCTATGAGCTGGAGATGCCAGAGAGGAGGAAGAAGCGGCAAGCGTTCCACGTCAACCTCCTGAAAGAGTGGAATGAAAGGGAGGCACCACCTAGTCCACAGCTGTTGGTGCAGGCCGTGAAGGAAGAGGAGGACACCCCTGAGCAATTCTTCCCGACCGAACAGCCAGCTGGGACATTGGACTTGTCCCATCTAACCCGTCAGCAGCAGCAAGAGATACAGGCCATTGTTCCTGAAGGCCTGCTCAGTGACCAGCCGGGGTACACACCGGTGGCAGAGCACCCCATCCGTCTGAAAGACTCTACACCCGCCAGACAACGGATGTACAGAGTTCCAGAGCGCCTGTTACCTGCTCTCCGGGAGGAGCTTCAGGTCATGCAGAGACTGGGGGTGATTGAGCGTTCGGAGAGTGCCTGGAGCAGCCCAGTGGTCCTTGTGCCGAAGAAGGACGGCACAATGCGCTTCTGCATTGACTTCCGCCAGGTGAACGCTCAGTCACACTTCGACGCCTACCCCATGCCCCGACTTGAAGACCTCATCGAGCGTCTGGGAGGCGCCCAGTACATTACCACGCTGGACCTTAGCAAGGGGTACTGGCAGGTGCCCCTGGCAAAAGAAGCAAGACCCTACACCGCCTTCAGGACACCCCAGGGCCTCTTTCAATTCACGGTGATGCCCTTCGGCCTGCAGGGGGCGCCTGCAACATTCCAGCGCCTGATGGACCGGGTGCTGGACGGCACCGGCGCCTTCGCGGGTGCTTATCTTGATGACATCATCATCTACAGCAGCAGTTGGGCGGAGCATGTGCAGCACCTGGCCGAGGTGTTGCACCGCATTCACCAAGCGGGGTTGACCATCCAGCCCAACAAGTGTGCCTTTGTTCAGCAAGAGGTGCGCTACCTGGGGCACATTGTTGGACGCGGAGTCATCAAGCCTCAACAAGACAAGCTCCAGGCAATCCGGGACTGCCCGCGGCCAGAGACCAAGAAGGGGGTCCGCTCTTTCTTGGGGCTCGCAGGGTGGTACCGGAGGTTCGTCCCCAACTTTGCCACCAGAGCAGCCCCTCTCACCAATCTCACCAGGAAGTCTGGCTCAGTCCGAGTCAGGTGGGAGGACCAGCATGAAACGGCCTTCAACGACCTGAAGGAGGCCCTCTGCAGCGGGCCAGTACTGCAGAGTCCAGACTTCAAGCAGCCGATGACCGTCCAGACTGACGCCTCCGGTGTTGGTCTGGGGGCCGTGCTCCTTCAAGGTGAAGGAGATCAGCAGCGACCTGTGGCTTACATAAGCCGCAAACTTTTTCCAAGAGAGACAAGGTACTCTGCTGTTGAATTGGAGTGCCTTGCTGTGAAATGGGCCCTGGACTCCTTTCGTTACTATCTCTTGGGTCGACAGTTTGTTTTAGAGACTGACCACCGGGCCTTGAAGTGGCTCGGGCAGATGAAAGACACAAATACCCGCATCACCCGTTGGTTTTTGGCCTTGCAGCCATACAGTTTCCAGGTCCGCTATCGGGCGGGCACGCAGAATGCAGTGGCGGATTATCTGTCTCGCCACCCAAGTGGCGAGCCTCCAGAGGAAGGGGGAAATGTGAAAAGGCAGCCCTCCCTTTTCACAAATGCCACAGAACAGCACGCTACAATGTAGCTGGCTAACGTCACACACACCTGCACACACCTCCATACACAAGCGCGCACACACGAATCTGAGACTTTCACTCGCGGAGCCGGCAACCGCATATGAGAGCTCTTTGTCACGCCAACACTCCAAAAACTTTCAGTACTTACCTGAGTGACCAGCCATCGCAGCGTTCGGTGAGGTACCCGCCGATATCGCTCCATAATCCCATACCGCTCCAGTTTCCACACATTGCACACACAAACACAAACGCGCACACACACTTCCTGGTCCGACAACTTCTCCTCCCCTGGGAAACACGAACTGTGGGTAGGGGAATAATTTATGTCTCATTCAGCCAATCAGAGGCTTTGATTACCTGACGGGGTGAAACTGAGTGTTTGATGCATTTAAAATGCTATTTTTAGGTGTAATGTTGATGTAATGAGAAATGTGTTTTATTGAATGTATGCATACAGTAATGTGGTTAATGTAGATTGCTTAGGCATGTAATTTAACAGTGAAAATGAAGTAGTGCATTGTTTCAGCTGTACCTTTTTTTTCTTGCATAGTGGTCTCATCCAATCAGTCAGTGATTTAGTCCAGTAGGCATGCAATTTGCCAATTATGTCTGTTTGTATAAAAACCCTACTTTTTCCTCAGTTTGTGGGTTGGATGCTAGGAGAAAGGTTGGTGCCTGAGACTGTCGTGTTCAAAAGAGGTATTGCTCTCTGTGCTTAGATTTATTATTAGTTATTATTTTGAACAACCATCGTGTTGATTTTGTTTATGTTTTGGAAAGTCTTTTTGTTACTGCACTTTTTGGTTAGAGCACTGTAAATAAATATACACCACGTCATTTGCACTGGACCTCCTTGTTGAGTGCTTTCATTCCATTTGGGTGGCCATCCTGCAGTGAAACCTGAGCCAGAGGGCTCACCAGTTTCCAAAGATGTTTTTTCCGATTTCCCTTGTTATAAAATGGTTGCAAAAAAGAGTGACTCACTCTATCTTTCCTACAACTGCAGACAGAGAATTAATTGAGATATTAAAAACAGCTTCAACTCTGCGTGAATTGTTTTAGAAACATGTTAGGGGCTGCAGTTCAAGTACTGTATTTTGGTTTAAGTTTAACTCTGTTTATTAAAAATCACTTGCTACTCTACATAGATGTTCATTTGATATGTTTTCCATAGTCTATTAGATAAGGGCATAATCAGACTGAATAGCTCTCAAACGTAAGCCTTGTTTACATTTCCCTGAATCATTGAAATATAATTCCTTTCATCACCTGATACGTACATTACCTATCTAACCAACTTCAGAGATACTGTTCTCTATTTTTATTTATAGATTCCTGTTTTTATTCTTTATTTGTCAGATTATATAAATACTTTATATTATACTTTAGTCCTTACTCACAAACATAGACTTAAAGGTTGTCATAACATTTGGTAGTTTACCTATTACTGAGATAAAAGAGTGAGTAAAGGTTTTTTTTAAATTAATCAGTGTATTGGACAAACTCAAACATTAGCCTAAAACCAAAATTTACTCATTACATAATATATTTTACTCTGCTGAATACATATAATAGAGGTGCTATAAAAAACCTACTCATAAAAGAATATTTTCTTTAGACATAAAGGTAACATCATAGAACCATACTATCAAATATTGAAATCTGCAAACATTAATTGTTGTCATTACAAGTATTTTTTTGCTGTTTAAAGAGAATATTATATCACCCATTCTGACTTTGTTTCTTCGATAAATTTTGTTTTCGAATAAATTGTTTCTCTAATGAGCCCTGCATCATCCTTAGATCACTCATCATTACACTGCATGCAGGTTATGAAGCAACACAGTTCTACAACTCTACTGTTTCATTCTGTGAGCCAAGTTTCTCCCTGGAAGAAGTGTCACTTGCAGTGCGTCAGTGTGGCTCAGGAAGGCCAAGTCCATCTGAGAAACCGTGAACTAGTCATCACCAGCAGAAAATAGATGAAACACAACACCTCTCATTGGGCCATGATGAATTTACCCATGTAATCTACGGCCGTTGACATTTAGGTACATTTAGGGTGTATTACATTAATATAAAATGGTAATTACAGTCATACATAGAATATCACTTTTATTGTGACTTTAAACATCACAACTATGGCTGTCAACACAGAATCAAAACTGTTCAGTAAAATGAATAGGATGATTATAGCATTCTAAGCAAATGATCTTCCTTCGCAGCCTTCTTTTGTGTTCCACAGAAGAGCAAATGTGTGGTGATCTGGAGCTCACAGTGCAGAATTAGGGCCTACAGTTTCATCTACAATACCTAAGCTTTAAGAAAGACCCATCTTCATAATCCTTCAAATCTGGTACAAGTACCAAGGGCGGCAATTGGGTTGCCTTTTGAGGTACAGTAAAAATGATGTGTATATCAAGAGTTTTACAAGAGTTTTGTATTTAGATACCATTTTCATGGTATCTAAATACACAGAAATAGTGAACTATGAATTGGTGCCGGTGGACACAAATACGCCTTTTTAGTCAACTTTGTGGTCCAAAGCTGAATATTTGAAGCAACAGGAGGACCAGAGAACATTTGAGGTCTTTAAAAGGATTTTGTGTGACCTACTCTATGCATGTACAGCCTATACAACAAAGAAAAGTTTTTATTTGTTGGTTTTCCAATCATTTAATAGTTAATAGGAAAAATAAAGAGCTTTTCTAGGAATATCAATTCCCCACACTTGGTTAAATAAGGGAGGTTTCATTGAAGAAAGAGTGACTGAATGAACTTTCTTCTAAACCAGGGAAATAAAACGAAAACAAATAACTATAACAGTTGGAACATACTGTGTTTTTTTGTTTAAAACTCACCACTCTTATTTTTCTTTAGATAAATGGTACTACTTTTGTCTGTTCATCAAAATATTATGTTTAGTTTTGGGTCAGGATGTTTTAAAATGAATATTTTATGACAGATAGTTTTTTGGGGTTGTAATTCTTTAAAGGGACAGCCCAAAATTACAGAAGTTTAAAAGTGTTTTTTTTTTTTTTTTTTTTTTTAAGTGAGCAATTTAAAAATCTTACCTTTCACTGTAACCAGTACAGCACTATATGTCTGCCCTGCCATATTGGTTGCATTGCACGTATAGAGACCATTATCATTCTGCTTGCAGTACAGGATCTTGAGGATGAAGTTCTCGGCTTGGTCCTCATAAATGACGTGCCTGCGTCCCTCGCTGATGTTCAGCCCATCCTTTCTCCAGATGATGTGTGGTTTGGGGTGACCTGTCACAAAGCAGCTAAGTTTGGCGTGTTTGCCCTCAGTGACCGTGCAGGTGCGGGTGAATACACCTTTAGGTAGACTTGCCAGTGCTGAAGCCCTCAGCTCATGCTCCAGACTCACAGTATTCAGGGCATTGGTTATTTTGGCTGTGGAGAGGGAGCTGTTTTCCTCAGTGCGGTAGATGGAGATGTCCTTCTTCATTTCCTCTTTGCGCTTTTGCATATGAGAAAGGAGAGAGGTGCTCTTGTCTGCAGACATGTGGCGGGCATCCTGAGCATCCACCACCAGAGCAGCAGCAGCCTGTGCGCGCCCCACAGAGTTCTGGGCCCTGCAGATGTAGGTACCACTATCCAGGTTGCGCACACCTTGGATCTTTAAGGTGCTGCTGTCGCTGTCTGACATGATCTTGATGCGGTTTGTCTCACCTAGGTAACGTCCGTCCTTCTCCCACTCAAAGTTGGCCTCTGGGTGAGCCACAACTCGGCATTGGAAAACAATATCTCCTCCTAGAGCCACACGTGTGGAAGCTGGCTTCACCATGAAAACTGGGGCCCTCTGAGACATCTCTGTCGGGAGGGCCACCTTCAAGGTCACAGCAGCATAAGCTTCCCCAACGCTGTTTTTGGCTCGGCACATATATTGACCACTGTCCTCCAGTGTGAGGTCGTAGATGGTCAAACGGTAGATGTCTCCATCCTCCACAGTCTTGAAACGGCCCCCGGACGAAAGCTTAAGCTTGTCCTTTTCCCAGGTGATTATAGGAGTTGGGCTGCCAACAACAGTGCAGCTGAGTGTGGCATCCTTCCCCACACCCACTGTGAAAGCCTTTGGACGGGTGAGGAACCTGGGGGCTCCTCCAAACAGGTTTTGATCCATTTTTTTTTTCTTTTTACTCCTATGATGAATAAAGTAGATATCATAGTATTAATACTACTACAAAATACAAATAACGCAAATGAATATTCTACAGACAAATTTATATAGGTGTGACCAGTGAATCTCATTCACAAAAGAAAAAAAAAAGCATCATTCAAATAATTCCCAAAACTAATTACGTGTTTAACAATTTATCTTTAATGCAGAACTACTTTTTCTTTATTTCCTGGCTGCTGACCATTATCACCAGCAAAGCAAAGACGTGGGCTGCTTACCAGTATCAGAAAGTCAGTCAGATATGAAAATAAACTGAATCAAAGATCTGAGAAAGGACCTCATTATTTAATTGCTGTATATCAATCTCTACCCTGCTCAGCAATCACCATGTCAATGCTAAAACACAATTATATGCCGAGAATCTGTTCGATAACTTCACAGCCCTAAACCACATTTACTTCTTTGCTGTTTATTTTTTCTTGAAGTTGTTGTTTTTGGATTTTTGCTTACACTTAAGGTCAAAATGGGTCTTTCACAGACAAACTTCTGAAAGTCACAGCCTTGACAGTGAGGAATAAAATCCAAATCCATTGAAGGAACTCCAAAGACATGAGTAAACGTGTCCCAAATGAGATTGCCTTTAAATATACTATTTACAATTCAGTTAAGTATATTTACATAGCGCCAATTCATAACACATGTAATCTCAAGGCACTTTATAGAGATAATACAGTCAGATCTGTTCACATTTTTTTCTAGAAGCATCTCAGAACATAGACTAAGTAAAATGGCCAAATTTTAAATCTTACTTTCCCCATAGGATTTATTTTACTCTGTCATTAAAGATGATTGATGGCAGAAGTCACGTTAAAAGAAAAATATAAATTGGACTGAATTCTTCAGCATTGTTTGATTAATTATCCCTAGAGAGTGTCTGGTTGTTTGAAAACCGATTTTTTCAAAACTCTTTGAAAAAAATGAGCTCCTCACATATTATAGTTGCAAAAGATAAATTGAAATACACTTAACAAGAATCAACAATCAATTATCAGTCACAGCATCAGGGTTGATATATATTTTAATAACAAAACAGAAAAAGATTTGGGATCTAATTAAAAGTATGTAAATAAATGTTAATTAACAGATCTAATGTTTTTTTTGTAAGTTCTGCCTTTACTTTTATGGAGAAGATTTGTATAAAGGAAAATAATCAGAATATGTAATTGTGTTAAACAATGTATTCCTTATTATGTAAAGAAATATATATTCTAAAACTGAGTAAAACGCAAAGTAAGAATGGCCATCTATAAACCAGTGTTATCTTGCAAGGAAAACAACATTTCCATATTTTAATTCTTGCTTTAATATTTTAGGATTTTCTAAAACATAAGCAAACAAAATGTCTCAGTGAGCAGATATATGTATTGGTACCTATACTGATATGTTTAAGGTCCGCAAAATAATGAAAAACATTTCAGTTATGACAGAAAACAAACAGTAATACAAATTTTCACTTAAAAACTTTACTTTATATTTCAATATCAAATTAAGAGTAAATTAAGTTTACCAAAGCTTAATGAAACACAATTCATTTTACAGATTTTTCTGTGTACTCTACAGAACTTTTGTGCATTAAACTACAGTTAAGACTGGTATATTTATAGTTGGCAGCTCCTGTAACTTAATACAGGTTCCAGTTCCGCCTCTGCAGACATACATAAAACCAGCCTCATTAAAGCCACACAGCCTGGTCAATTGTTTAATACAAAAACAACAACTAAATTCCCATGTAACAAGGTCATGTAGAGAGGATAGGTGCCTTTCAAAGACTGCCATTTGCCAGCTTTGTCACCTTTGTCACTCGTACTGCCTGTCCCAAAAATAACCTCAGCTGTCAGGAGCTGTCTCTGTACATTTCCATTTGTAGAAACGAAGGGCTGTTTGATAAAGCTGCTACTTTGGAAACATTCTTTATTTCCAGCTCAGGCCATCTTTATCTGCCAGATAAGCACAAACCACAATGTACTTTAATAAACAATATAAAGTAGATGACACTTTATAGAGCTGATCGGAAGAAGTTCCAAAGTAAGAAGAAAAATCACATAAACAAAACCAAAACTTTAAATTTGTAACGTTTCCTGTTGTGGCCAGAGCAAACATTAATTGTATTTGTAGTTGTTAAGGGAGAACAATTATTCAACCTTATAACATCTATATGCAGTTATAAATATAAAGACAGATTGATTTATTTTTGATTTCTTATAATAAATAACTTATTTACCTTTAAGTCTTCAGCCTCTCAGATAATTTAGCAGATGAGACATCTGACCTTTGGCTTTTACTAAGATTTCCCGGTTAAGAATCCAGTCAAGTTAGAGAGTGTAATAATTCCAACCCCCAAATAATTTTCGTATCTTCTTTTTGCACAAATATCCGTGAAATGATAGGAAATCCAGAAAGATGGAAGCCCCCCAGTCTCCTGTGGTGGGAGGTCGACTAGACTCCTTTTTCTTTTCTTCTCCAGGAGCTCATGATGCCAAATAGCTGACGTGCTGGGTTTGGTGCAGCCTCCTTTCCAAAATAGACCTTGTCATTTGCAGTAGAGATACGAGAAGGCCTCTGTTGAACAGGCAGGTTTAAGGGAAACAGGGACCCCGGTCGGCCTCTGCTGGGTTGGTCACTGCTGCAAGCTACACCCAGCTGAACAAATCACACAGAACTGGAGCTGCACCTGATTGTTCTTTTTATTAATTGCTCAAATCTATTGATTTTTACAATCAATTAATTAATCTAAAAAAAAAAACCTTTCGTAAATCCTCATTCCTTAATGTACAAACACAAATTTTTGCTAATTTCAAATGAAAAAAAATTATCCAGGTCATTTAACTAAAGTAAATAATGCATGTACATATACATTTATGTATACACATAGTTATTGTTATTGGATTTATGGCTAATCCTGACATTTACTCTAACCTTAACCATTACCAGTATATTCCTAATCCAAACCATAATCTAAAGTTAATTCACAGCTACTTCTAAACTGACATTAAAAATGGTGGTCCACCACATTAGGACCAGCCTGTTGGTCCACTGAAGGTAGGTAAATATACTAAAAACAGTCACACCATTTTTTCGTAGCACCAAAACAAAAAAGGAGAAGTCGCACATGATGCTTGCTGTAGTTATGTCTGGTATACTTGAGGTCAAAGGTTAGGCTGCGAAAATTACATCTTTATTTTCAAAAAGTTGCAAACAAAAAAGCACAAAAATATGGGTGTATTATTTTTTTTTATTAACTTGTGAAAATACTTTGCCTGTAGGACAAAATGAAATGTATGACATGTATGATAGTAATTATTACTGGTACAGTAGTATATATTTTATAAGAACATGCAACACTTCATATTTCATATGCACATCTGGAGTTTCTGTTATACTAGAGATCAATACTGAATACAGAATCTCTGACAAAAAAAAACAAACATATAATCTTGATCGGATTTATTCAAACGCCAAACTTTTCAATAAGGGAAAGCAAAATCTCAACACACCTAAAGGTTAACAGTGTGCAGGGAGAGGTTCCTGCACACTGTTGATATACGGCAGGGGTCAGCAACCTTTTTAAGGCTACTTCATGGGTACTGAGTCATAGAAAGGGCTACCAATACCTTTGACCTGGAGGGGTCGGCATTCACCTAAACTTCATAAATACGTAGTAAACAGATTTTTATTGTTTCTTTTTAATTATTATTCTAATTTTCTTTTAAACATTGTAATTTTTAAATAAATGCAAATATGTTTAAAAAGAAGGGCAACAGAATAGAATAGAATAAAATTAAAACGTACCACTTGGTGCCGGCAAGCACTGCATTGGTGGCCCCAAATTTAACATTTTGCTCAGTGTGAGGGAAGCTTCAGACTTTTCCTATTTTGTCTCTAACGTGGTTGATTTATATGTGGACCTTAAATTTGTTTTGTGTAGACTGGCTTGTGCTCAAAACATGCCATTCATATCAGGCCTTTTGAGGCAATTTTACAACCCATTTTGGAAAGTTTAGGTAAGTTTTAGCTGACTCTAAATTGTCCAAAAAAGTTAAGGATCAATTTATCCAGTCTTGGTTTGACCTCTCAGCCCACTTCATACCTTTTCAGGAATAGATCTTAATGTTCTCACTGGTTAATACAAACAATGTCTTTGATGCAGTGCAGGTAAGGCAGATGGAAGACATCTATATTTTTGTCAAATTTCTCTAAATGCCCAATCCTGCTGAGTCACATGCAAATGATACGGACCATTGAAAACAACAGGAAATAATTCTAATACATATCCTTTAATCAAAAAGCGTAAAATAGAGTGAAGGCTAAATTTGCCTGTTAAAAAATGTAACTAGGTAAACATTTTCCATTATAAAGAAAAGGTCATAATTTCATTTTTTTTCATCAGCTTGCTCAAAACCTTTCATAAAGACAGACGTACAGTTCAATCATTCCACTTTTTTGCAACAAAACACAAGTAAGCTATGATGCAACCTCAACCATGTTTGAGTTTCGGGATTGTGTTTCTATGTTTAAAATCTCAAATCAATATTATTGCCTTTGTAGTCAAACTGCTCTATTCCTATTCTTTGACTCCTCTATATTCAGTCTAATTCCTCATAATAGAAAAATGTGTATATAATAAGGTTGTTGCAGGGAGGCTGTGGTATGCTATTTTCCCACAGTTGCTATTGTGACAGCTGCAATCTAAGCACCAGATCTCTAATTAAAGTATGACTTCATACTAAGCAAGTGTTTGATATTGATAAACTACAGTACATTTCTATAGTCTGTTGTATCTTTAACATGATTAAATAATTGAGAAAAATGTACAGAAATTTGAGGTTACAGGATATAAAGAACCTTACGAATAACTCCCCTCCATCCATACCCTCTACCTTGCTTGGATCATTTCTTATGTTTCATCTATCAACCATACTTCCACTGTGAGACCATATTCCCAGTGGTGGAAAGTAACAACGTACATTTACTTGATTACTGTACTTAAGTACTTTTTACAGTATCTTTACTTTACTTGAGTAATTTTTTTAAATGTAGTGTCACTCCACTACATTTCAAAGTCAAATATTGTACTTTCTACTCCACTCCATTTCTAGGAAGCTGCTAGTTACTTGCTTAACTTTTTAATCAGCTGTTGCTGATTTTCTTTCTTGAAATTAAATTTCAAAATGGCGGATAGCAGCCCTTAGGACTGAATCTGGGCTCCACTGTTTTAGAGGTGTAATGCCATTCCACAAATGTGAGAAGCTCAGGGCTGATATTGTTTGTAGTTTATACATTTTAACAAGGCGTGTTTTGTTGCCATGTGGCCAAGTTGTTTAGTAGGATGAGTCTCAAAGCACAGTTGTAGTTTGTTTGCGGTGATAAATTCAACCTAAAACCTTAATTCCATGGTAAAAGTGTGAGGAGAATCAAGACACTTCTGTTTTCTTTTTGTTTTAATTTTTTTTTTTTACAGTGTCCTGTGTGGTGATGTGGCAAAAGAGTAATTGTCTTGATGCCAAAAAAAGCCCAACAGATTTTGCTTTCACAAGTGGAGCAGTACGGCTATTGCCATAGTGTTCCGCTTGTTTTATGCATATAAATTGCTTTATTATAATTATGCAGGGAGTTTTACAGATTATTTGGACACTGCAATGTTTACAATGCTTTTTGTTTTTAATTTGAATAATAAAAAATACCAAAACAGCTTTCCTCATATTTATTTAGGCATTTTTATGCTGAAGTTCTTTACAGGTGGTGTAGAATCTGTAGCAGGTGGTTCTACGCATCAATGCACCTGTCTGTTTCTGAAATTTACACAGTGCTTTAAAATTACTCTGAAAACTATACAGAAATGTACTTATGTTAGAAAATGTAATCTGCATGTACTTTTGAATACTTAAGCATTTTTGAAAGTGAGTACTTGATTACTCTTACTTGAGTAGATTATTGACTAACTTTTACTTTTAGTTGAATAAGATCTGACAATGGGTATCATACTTTTACTCAGGTACTACTGTTGTGTACTTCGCCCACTACTGCCTATTCCTTGCTTTTGTGGTATTTCATTTCTTAGTCTTCTAGAGTGGGCTTTCCCCTCTGGGTCTCATGATTGACAGCAGCAGGCCGCCTGGACACTCATTTAACCTCTTCGAAACTCTAGCAGACGCTAATCCACCGTTGTTGCTGGTCTCTGCCTCATCCTGTTCTGGCTGCAGCCTCTGGTTTGCATACCCCAGAAAGAACATACAGAGGCGGCCACAACTGATCACTGACTCTTTGGTTGTTGAAAGCTTTTTGGGTTATTTTTGTCATCATGTAAAGAGCTAGAATACAAAATGATCTATGAAAACTTAAATTATCCTATCCCAATTTTGTGATTAGATTTTTTTTTTACCTTCAATTTTCAGACGATCTGCTTACTATAAGGTATATTTATGTATATCATAGACATTAGAAGACTTTAAAGCTCAACAGTTAACAGCAGTGAAAACGAAATGCACCAGGCCTACTCTTGCATTAAAGCATATCTTCTTAATGCGTTTGGAGGTAGAAATCGCCTTACCCTGTGAACTACATAGCTCTCAATCTGACCTTTCAGACATTTCAAAGACAAAGGTCATGGGTGTCTCATGTTAACAGACCCAAACATTCATGTTACCTCTAAAACATTTTCATGCCTCTTGAAGGAGGACGGTGTCATTGCATGAACAGCAGATGGCGCACATGTTCTCCCCAAGTTAAAAGTGAAGGTTCAATTTAACAGACAAATAAAAATCAAAAACAGTACAGACATATAACCAAGGAGAATAGGCTTGAGATGAAAAACTATTCATTTATTATGCCTTACAATATAATCTCTACCTAATTCTCAAGATTTACAAATGTGCTATTCAAGAAAAAAAATGAAAATTTCTCATGAAAATCCTGAACATTTAGTTTTCTTCACAGGTGGAATCTACTTTGGAGCAAAACCAGGATGTGCTGGTGGGTCTTCATTACAAAAGCTTTTACTGAACTACATTTATTTTTATATAATGTCAAATAAGAAACAGATAAGAGAGACTTGTTTACATACATAGAAAAAAGTTTCAATGACTTTGGAGTAGGCCCACTGCAGTTTAAAAACCCACCTTAAATTGCTCAATACTTAAGAAGTAAAGAAAAATATTATCCATTAGAGAAGTTTTTAATGAAATAGCCTGTGATATGGTTATAAGTATTCCCAACAGTACTTTTAAAGTTAATCCCTCTAAATCTTTATAAGAATCTATAATTATTTTAAATTTAAAAAGAGTTTCGGCGACTTCCTTTTTTTCTTGACAGATGAATATTACAGAGCACAGCCTTTCTCTTAAGACCCCCCCATTAAAGACTGGCATGTTAGACTCAACAAATAATCATGAGTGGACATTTTTGTATTGCAATTATGTATTTTAAAGAACTTGTATGTCTCTATTACAGGATGTAGAGCCCTACTTAATTTTTTTGATGTCTGATATATATATATATATATATATATATATATATATATATATATATATATATATATATATATATATATTTCTTTTTCACAAAAGAGGACGGGTGTAATGGGAAGAAACTGCAGAATCTGAGTGCTCAGGTTACATAAACAACCTAAATGAATGCTTTAGTGTGAAACCAATTGAATGAATGAAAAAGTAACATATGCACACTTCCAAAGGTGATGGTACCTCATTAGCATGGTAACATTAACTCTTTGAAATAGCATGGAAAACACAGATTTGTCCATCTCTGTAGATTAAAAGTAGTTTGAAATTAGGTACTTCAGCAAAACACATAGAAAAATAAACTCAGCAATGATTACAAAAAAAGAGACTCGCTGCTAGCAGTTTAGTAAAGTGCAAAGTCCTGATGGCAGCAGCATCAGTAATTGATAAGCAATATGTAAAAACAGTGAATATATTTCCTACAAAAGAAAAAAATAATCTGTTTTCTATGATGTTCAGTGTGAAATTATTCAATAAAAATATACATTACTTGATAGCTTTTAAATATCTTTACTGGTGGTGCCAAATACTTTGTTCCTCTGTAAAACATACATTACTTATATTTATTATGTGGGATTTGTTATACCTGCTGTAATAAGGACTATTCCAACAAGCTTGAATTATAGCAGAGTCAAGGATTTTTCATTGTGCTTATTGAATTAAACTTAAAATCCTTCATGAGAGAGCATTATTGAGAAAGTCTATGGAAAATATCAAGCTCTAAACAAAAACCGTTTAAACTTAAAAGTATAGTGGAGGATTTTAGTAAATTTTTGAGGAGTCCCACACTCGCCACATAAAAACAAAAATGCATATGCACAACCCTGTACCCGCTTCAGAGAGGGAACCCCTATTAAACATGTGAGAGCATGGAGGAGCCCACTTCTCCTTGAGCAAGCTCTGTTTAAAAGTTGCTGTTTGCATCGATCATACAAGCTTACTTTCCAAAAGATTTGCTATTTTTCCATTATGTCAGACTCAAAATGGGGACCAGCACGTAGGATGGCCTTACGTAAACATATCCCCAGAAACTTTGACAATTAGGAGGAGTACTTATTTAGATGATCCACCTGGAAAAAGAACATTCTCAACTACACCTTTAACTTTGTAATTACTGACAAACAAAAATCGAAACAGAGAAAATTGAAAGCTTTCCTTTATTTCAAGAACACATTTCAACATCACACACACACACACACACACATCAAATGATTAAATACACTCAAAATAAGATTTATTAGTCTCTATCACAAGAAAACATGAATAATAAAGCTGTGCAGAAAACAAGTTCTTTTTGGCATGTTTCCTTTGTTCGAGAATGCCAAATTTACAGAATAAAACCAACCTTTGTAAGAAACAAGCAAAAAACAAAACAAAAAGAAAAACACAAAAATTCACCAACTGGATAAAACCTTAGCACCTTGTTCCAGTCTCTGCAATATTTGGACTGGTGTGTAGTGGATAAGAAAGGATGGTATGAGGTTTGCCCATTAAAAAATGATCAAACTTCTGCATTTGTAGGTTATTAAACCCAAACACCATTAAATAAGCAGCATGCTGCTAGATAGAAACTGAATGACACAAGGGCTATTCGTACGAGCAGAATCCACACTTACTTCAGACTATATCCACATATGAGCTTGCTGTGCATACAGTACATCCTATGTGCTGCTAAGTCTATAAAAGTAGAACGGACTGTTTAGATCCAATGAGTCTCTAAAAAAGCAAATACTAATCTGGATCACTAAGGCACTGCTTATGATATAAATGGCTAACAATAAATTGAGGTTGTATTACCTCTATAGAAACAGCTCAGCTCCAGTGTCTTCAAAATTCAAATTCACTTTGAATGTAAAACACATGCAGGTGGATATTACTAGTGACCTAATGTGATTGAGGCAGAGTATTTTCCGTGCGTGGGGGATGAATATACGTCACATGCTAATTTTTTATTGGAAACCATCATTGATGTGACATCATGCAGGTCGCTGTGTTGGTTAAAGAGAGTAATATAATCCAAACAATGTTCTCCATTATGGGGATTCAAGTTTTTTGAACATTTTTTGTCCAAAAATTTTTTATTTTCTAATTATACATGTACGCTTTCATCATTTAAATATTTGGGGAAGGAAAAATAATAAATATTCTTAAAGCTAATAAAAGATGTAGACTCTAGAGATAAATCTTTTACTTTTAAACAATCAAGTTTAAGAGGAACTTTAACACAATTGGGCCTGATCTTCAGAGGGTGTTTTAATAAAGGTGCCAACTTGTTTGTATGTGCAGAGCAGATCTTCAAAGGAGAAACCTTTTTTTTTTTTTTTGCAAGTGTGCTTTCATTCATATGCAGATGATATTCTATGGGATAGGCCAATGTAAGTATTTACCAAATGCAATGCAATTTTCCAAACTGAAAAGTCAACTGCGGTTGCAGTTTTTGCATCTTTTTTTAGTAATATAAAACCTCAGTTACAAACTATAGGAGGTAAAAATATCTGCAGTCATTTTGGCCACAAAAGAGGGATTCTTACAAAGCCAGATTCTGTGAATAACATCTTTAGACCATCATAAATAATACACATAGTATAAGATTATTAAAGAAAAGCTGTCTACACAGGCCGGCACATATTAATGCAGAGGCAGACAATCTTCTTACAATTAACCAGAAGGAATCGTGACATATTCATAAAAAAATGAAAAATAAAATAAAAATAAAATAAAAAGAGACTTCAAAGAGACATGGGTAGAGGGAGGTGAAAGTTTTAATCTTTTACTTGTTGTAACAGAGCTTTCTTTTCCCCCCCTCAGTTTCATAAAATATATAACTGTGTCAACCAGCAGACAAGGTTTTTATTTAATATCATTTTATTTTTTCACTTTTGTTCATAGCATTTTTGGATAGGCTTCCTATGGGAGGTGCGCTATAAATATTATTCAATCTTATCATTTTTTTTTTTTTATAATTATCATTATAACCTCCGTCTCCATGTCTTAGAACCTCATCTTTCCTTTACATCCGCTCTCAAACAGCCACTGGTTCCCGGAGTCTGCTGATTTTAAATGGCGCAACCAAACTGATTTGTATGTCTTACATTTGTGCTGCAATCTTTGTAGATCATCCACAGCAGGCCAACTTTTTGCACGTACAAAAAAACAAAATAAGTTGCGCATGCATTCTAGCGACTCTTATTTAGAATCTTTGAGGATCAGGCCCTTAGTTAAGATTCATAATCAGCCTCTCTGAAAATATTCCACATTGATGCTGGGATAACTGATATTGTTCAAATGTAAAATATTAATATGATATGCAGGAGAAAAGATCCCAATTCTTGAATATTTATGAAAGCTCATCTTTTCTGCTTTGCAAATATTGAAAGAAAATCAAACAGTTTGGATTTAAATGCGCTAAAAATTTAAATCTGAATGCAGTTGAAAGATGATTTATGTTGTGTAAAAATATTTACACTTCAGAGGTACTGACTGCGGCAGAATTTCATCTTTACTGCCAATGAGGTAATACAGAGAACAGGTATTGAAATACTTTTTTTTTTAAACACATAATTAAGCAATACAGCTAATATGTGTTTAGCAGTAATTGACCTAACAGGTATTTTCAGTCTGAACTAGGATTTCAGTGGCAAGAATACTGAATACTTTTTTTATTTTAAAGACTAAAATTATTATTTGAACACCTGAACTAGTAATACTGAGCAAAATTTGCATTTAGGGCCCAAAAACTCAAAAGAACAACATTAGAGCATGTTTATATAAAGTCAGAAGATGTTTTATATTCTATTATTAAAGAGAATCATAGTCAGCCTTTCTTCATAATCATAGTCAGCTTTGTAATGATCAGATGTCAGATGGTCATCTAGTAGTATAGATGGTCATACGTTAAAAACTATTTTTAATGCACATGTATTTGAGAAACCGTGTGCATAGAATAAAAGCAGAAGTTGGGAAGAGCTTTTTTTAAATGTCACCATAAAAAACTGCTTACATCTCACGCAGGCTATGCTATACACTTTTGAAAGAGTTCTGTACAAGTTAATGATCAAACCATGATAAAAATGATGGAAGACGTATGGAATCCCTGATGCCATAGACTCCCTGATATGACATGATGAGGCGTAGAGGTGAGAAAAACAGTGGTTATTCGTCTGAAGACCCCTCCCACAGTAAATTATGTTTTTAAACCTTCCACAAAGATCATATAAGGCCACAATGTTCAGCGATGAAAGAAAAATGTAAACACTAAAAGAAAAAGAGAGAGATTATTAAAGGCATGTAGTCTGAGGGTTGCAGCACCAGAAAATATATAATAGAGCTGAAATGGGATCATATACCTTATGACAAAGGCACTTCATGAACTGTGGGGCGTGACCTTTGTTGGAGTCGATCCACTGTTGATCTCCTGATCTTCTTCTTCCTCCTCCTCTTTCCAGCCACCAAGGTGGGCAGGGGCTGGCATGGAAATGTTGGAACTATGGCAACCATGTGAATGGAAAGCTGGTTAAAAAGAAGATAAACAGCCGATTAGGGTTGTATCTGTTGTAAACACACTCTGGTTGTATTCTCTTTGTTTCAATTTGATTTCCGGATTTAAAAAAAAAGGGTAGCTTTAAAAAAAAAATTAAAACCAGCCTTTTAGATTATTTTAAAGTGCTCTTTGATGATATAACATGCTGTAAACACGTAATTAGGTTTCTTTTTTTAAAAGCAATTTTAATTTTTAATCCATCCTTGTCTGGATAAATGATCTGCTTATATTACATCTATAATGTTTCCCTTTAACGGCCTGTGTTCTGCTATGATAATTAGCTTTAGAAGATTTTTTTCTCAGTGAGTGAGATAAATAAAAACACCATTTAGTGCACCTGTTCTCTGTACACTAGATTCCCCTACAAGCAACCAGATTTGTATCCCCCTTTCAAAGTGGCTATTTAAAGTCACGGTCAGTCAGTGAACTCATTTGCAGACTACGTAGTCCTAAAGTTGGTCGGACAATTCCAGTATCGTCTGGCTACATCGTGATGTCCCATAAGACAAAGTGTGCGTACATTTTAAAGCATCTTTTGTTGGCGATGAGCTCTAGCGTAAGCAATATCTCTGAGTATGGCTCCTAGATCAAGTCACAGCATGTTAAACAAAAATATGGTCTTTTAATACATTCTGTTTTACTTATATCTGTTCTCCCCCACAGTCTAAATGACCAGCAGGCATGTCTGTTTTTTAAAAATCTAACTACTCTAAGCATGTCTGATGATTATGTCAGACAAGCAATATAACAAAAATAATGTAAACACATTGCGTCTCGTAGCAAAGTCGTTATTAATATTTTATAGTAATGATTGAAAGATAAAGGCTTTTTTATTTTGTCCCTCACTGATGCCAATTATTATGAACCTGATATGTACTGCCAATATTTTTGGGCCAATTCTTGATGCTGATATTGTTTTTTTTTTACCTTCAGTAACATGATAAAATTGACACCAGGATAAAAAATGTTAAACAAGCCATAATTTAACAAAAAGAAAGAAACATTTATTAACAAATCAAACCAATACAACAATGGATAGCAGATGGAGGGAATCCAAATGCAATCGCCTCACATGATCTCAAGGCCTGGCTGCTGAATGCACTAAAGAATACATGCAGATGTTGGCAGAGGCCAGCTAATGTAACAGTCTATCTCCATTTTATACAATGTACTTCAGTATGCTTTAGTAATTTAAGGCTATAAAAAGCTTTTTTTCAGTACTGTAATTACATAATTTAATGGTAAACTAGATGAATTTCTGGTTGCACATCAGCAAAGGGGCTGATGGTACAGCATTGGCGTCCGGTACAGATCGGATAGTGGGGAGTGGCGGCCTCGTGCATAGGGCAAGGAGCTTGGAATCCAGCGGTTCTGAGTTCGAGCCCCACTCCCACAGACTGCCACTCTGGGTCTCTGAGCAAGAACCTTAATCCCGCACTGCTCCCCGGGTGCCCCACGATGGCCGCCCTCTGCTCCCCAAGTAGATGGGTGAAATGCAGAGGTCAATTTCTCCAATGTGAGGTCAATATAGTTCAATTACTATTAATTATTATTATTATTATAGTGACAGACTCAATCAAAATACCTCAAACTGTAGCTCCTAGCTCCTGTCCCTTCATATTTTGCAGAGCTATCAGAAAAATTAGGACTACAGCCCTCCGGAAAAGAACTATAAATAACTAAAGTTACACAAATGTTACAAACAACTGAAGCTCTCCATTTTAAAACCCAAAACATATGAAGTTACGTACAAATGCATGTATCACACAAAAACATATGAAGAAATAATTTATTTTGTTAAGCTTTGTGAAGTGAGCTGTGCGTATGCTTCCTCTCAAGCAAAGGATTGAGCTTCTAGCAGCGAGGAACATCAGGAGGTCTCTATGATAAATGAACTGGTGTCAGTAAGCTTCACACTTCCTCCTCCTAACTCCTTCATTACTGCCAACATTATTTGGATAGCACTTATCGAAGCTGCTTATGGACTTAAATCTGGTACGGACACTTAAGCTGTGGCTTTACAGATTTAAAGTATTTGAATTGAGCCAATAAGTTTCTGGATATCTTGTTTAACATGGTGGCTAATTGCTAGGCAAGAGAAACGTGCCAGAGGATGAGCTGCAGGTGCTTGTGTCATCTATTTCCAAGCAACTCGCTGCTTATCCCCTTAATGATTATCGATTAAGGAGAAGCTTATCAGAGTTGATTGTTTTTAGCTCAAACATAATGTAAAACCTGAAAAGCTCAATGAAAAAGCACCCCAAATCCCAACCTCAATTCAAGTTTAAATAACGAACAATCACACAAATGATAAAGAACACACAAGCAGAGAGCTGGGGACGTCAGCTAGATGTCAGACATCAGAAGTCTATAAATATGGGAAGCCAAATGCGCCACATGTCAGCTGGCCAAACTGCAAGAGCTCTAACGATTGTAGTGTGAATCATATGATCATCTGACTTAAATCTGGACAGCAGCAATCCAGATTACTGTCAGAAATAGAAGGCCTTAAAATAAGATTTCACTTACCTGGTTGCTCTATAGGGGGACTGGTCCTCTTATAGAGCAACCCCTAATCAGTTAGACCAGGAATAAATAGGCTGAAAATGAGCAGATTTTGCTTAGACTGCTGATTTCTCGGGGCACTTCTGGAAAACATCTGATTACCTGTGTTGCTGTGAAGGTCTCTCATTGGCACTGAAGTCTGCCACTGTCCTGAAGTCCTCTGTGGATGGGAGCTCTGCTGATGGAGCTACACACACCAAAGATTAGTCAGGGTACGACATAAAAACAAAGTTCACTTTTAAACACAAGCAATACAGAGCAGATCAATATTCAGGTCGAGTAACTGTAATGCAGTGCAGCAGGTGTACGTATGAACATAAAACATCCAGATATTACCTCATGCATGTAAATGGCATGGAGGCTCATCTCTGCTGAGGCGAACTCTGAGTGCAGCGCATTGCTCCGGATGTGAGAGTCACTGTGAGACATGCTGTAAGAGAGTGTGTGTTTTACTTCTTAATCTGTGTACGAGTTTCAAGAGAACATATTTAAGAACCTACTGCAACGTTACCGTCTCATGTCTTTACGTACCTGTTGATGATGGTGCGATCGCTGTGGTACATGGTGGTCTCAGGGTAGACGGAGGAGGGCAGAAGGCCATGGGGGCGGCTGCGACCTGGATGTGCGTGATGGGAGGAGGACAGAGAGGCCAGGACACTGGCTGCAGCCGAAGCAGCAGAGCTTGGTGGGATGAAGCGATGGTCTCGTCCTTGTAATCCAGATGCAGTAAGGATGGGGTGGGCCAGAACACTGGCTAAAAGATTTTCAGGCTGAAAATGAACCGAATAGAGAGGGTATTAAGAACAATTCCATATATTATGGATCCTACATAAATGATATCAACATTAGGCTTCTTACCCCAGTGCCAGACTCGTTGGATTGAAGCGAGGTGCACAGAGGGGCCTCTGAGAGCAGCAGCTGTGTTGAAGGCCCCCCCTGTGCATCATGTTGCACCTTCTCCTTTAAGTGGCTGATAAACAAGGAGCTCTCCTGAGGCGGCTGCCAATGGGGGTTCTTTATGGTGAAATGCATGAGGGACAACTCCGTTTTGCCATTTTCAGCCTGCTGATATACGGACGCCTCTGTCTGGCCCTCTGACATCCACTGCAAAAGTATGAGTATGAACAAATAAAACATAAATAGTATTATAGTTTTCCTAAATCTACTGGCCTCAATTCTGTCATAAAGGTTCAAAAAGTCTTACGGTTGGGTTTCCATGGCGCCTGATATCCATCTGAGCAAAGGAGCAGATATCCCCAACTCCGACCACTTCAACAGTGAAGTTCCTGAAGAAGTCAATGATTTCCAGGGATTTGTTTCTCAAGAGGAAAATAAGGATGAAAGGAGTAACAATAGGGCTTAAAAGCTCCTCCAAAATGAACACCTAAGGTAAACACAGAGACACCAATTAATTCCAACGTAACAAAATGTATCAATAGTGGTATTTTAGAGAGAATTATCCTTTTTATAAATCTTGGTTAACAATCATGGAAAAAGAATCCAGTTCGGTTTAATAGTGATTCATGTCTTCCGATCTATGGTTCTCCCCACCGCTTTGTATTGGAACAGCTGTGCCACCTCGTCACGGGTCTCGCTCTTGTTTGCGTTCCCTCTCCAGTGGTCTGGCATGTAGTGGATATGAGCCAGCACGCACTGCAGAAGCTGCTCCGGACACCAAACCATATGTTCGTCTGGGATGAAAGACCTTGTGTAAAAAAAAAAGTATGAAAATGTTCAAATAAGCTGTCTGAAAAACAGTGGATTACACAGGTAGTCATTACTTTCATGCTACAACAACAAACTTAAGCTTATTATATTGTCATTTTATGTAATACACAGAGGCTAAGTAGAATGGAGTTGTGAAATGGAGGAGAAATGAAACTCGTTTTTTTAAACATATCAACATAAATGCTGCTTTTGAATGGTATTCAGCCCCTAAGTCAATCCTGTGTAAAAACACTCATTATAACAGTATGTTTATGCATTTAGTAGATGCTTTTATCCAAAGCATATTACGAAGTAGACACAATTTTAAAGTTATCATCAATGTGACAATAAGCTCTCTAGAGGAAAACCCCCGCCAGAATCAGTGGTGACAGCTAAGAGAGAGAGAGAGGAAAGTGCAGAAAAAGTAGTAGAGGGTTAGAGAGGTATGGGTAAGAGTTAGGATAAGAGATGCTCTTTGAAGAGGTTGGTCTTTAAGAGTTTCCTAAAGATAGAAAGGGATGTTGCTGTTCTTGTAGCGCTTAGTAGGTCATTCCACCATCTTGGAACAACCCATGAAAACAGTCTGGATTGCCTTAAGCGTGGTGTGGGAACTGCTAGACGACAATCACTTGATAACCGCAGTGACGGAGTTGTGACATAAGCCTTTGCAAGAGGATTCAATTAGACGTGTGCTGTACCACTTTGTAGGCTAGCATCGGGGACTTTAATTTGATGCGGGCAGCCAGGGGTAAAACAGTCAGTATGTATCGACAAGATATGAAAACCCAAAATAAAAAAGCTACTTTTGCAAACTACCTCAAGCTTAGTCAGGCTGAACAGGGTTTTATGACCATTTTCAAATCTTGTCCCAAAACCCCAACTGAATTCAGCTGGAGGTTGTAACTATGAGATTCTAATGGAATAGTTACTATTAATATGTATTGATCTGAATCCATCAATTGCTGCCCTGGCTGTGTGTTTAGGACTGTTGTTTCTGTTGGACATATGTTGGAGTCTGAAATATTTCACAGCCAGAAAAGCTTCCCCACACCATGCTACTACCAGCACCATCTTCTACATTGGGAATGTGGTGTTCAGAAGGTGAGGTTAACTTTTGGCCACTGAGCACAGCTTTAAAACTCTATCTCTAACCTGTCTGGTGTTTTCCTTGTAATTATTAATGCATTTTGTTCTCACAAAGTTCTCTAACCACCATCTGACGTCTTTACAGAGCATCTGGATTATTACCTATTCACAGACTCTATTTACTAAAAATGTGACTTCTAAAGGCCACTGGTTGCATTGGATGTTATGGAGGAGTATGGACAAAATTAAACATTTCAGTCTTTCCATTTCACCTTATTATTTTTTTTCAGTTTGTTCACGTTTCAATAAAGAAATCAAACTTTGTGTTTATAAAATAGTAAAATATTAACTAATGTTGTATGAATACTTCTGATAGTCATTGTAGGTATATTGAGAAAATGGGAGTTGGAAAAAAACATAATAATCTTTACATTTAAACTAAGTAGATTATCAGACTATGAAAGTTACATTAAGAGACAAAAATAATTGTTAGGTCAATTCAAGGCACCTAGTATTGTGTGTATGTATGTTAGGATGATATACAAGATATAGCATAGCAAGTGTTCTGGCTGATAATCATTCTGCAAGTGTTGCATCCACAAACAAAAAGAAATGCCAACAACTTACCTGGTTATGGTGATAACCACACCAAGCACAGTAATAGCGGTCAGGATGTGCTGCACTGTGAGAACGTCCTCATCATAGACGGTCAGTGCAATGAGAACAGCCAGCACCGACCCTGAGAAAAAAGCAACGTTCTTAGCGAGCACAGTCAGCAGCGGTGATGTGAAGGAGTTCATGTATTTGGAAGTGGGCTTGTAGCCACGACCCAATCGTCCATGCAACTCATGGTTCAGCTCATTGAAGTGCCGCAGGTATAAACGGCCATAAAGGGACCAGCGACGTGCGCCCAGGCTTCCGGGTTCCCTGCGGATCACTTCAGTGTAACTGAAGAATGCATACAGCACCTGCCACACCAAGATGAAAGGACACAGCAGCAGATTGGCTACTCCTATCAAAAGGATCACTCTGCTGAGGTTCTGGGCTAGCTCAAGGCGATTTCCACTGCGTTTGTACTTGGGGTGCAGGTTCCATTTGTTCTGAAACAGAGACCCGGGGCCCCAAAACAGGATAAGCTCAAAATTGTACTTGAGGCCTTGGGTTAAGAAGACCACATTGCCCAGCAGGGGGAGCTGCAGATGCACTGGCAGCAACGATTTGTTTATCATTGCCACCATGTAGTTCTTAAAACGCAGGATGCGGTGATAGATGTCAAGCTCTGTCAGCTCTTTCTTGTGAATGCACATCTGCTGTTCCCTCTGCAAATTGATGAGCCGATCTTGGACTTCCTGCCATGTAAAGTTGCATAGTTCATCCTGACAGGAAAAAGGAAGAAAACAAAATAAAGAAACCGATGAGAAGAATAATACAAAGTTTATTTACTGCAGCAGATCTTAGGAGGGTTCATTAAGTGGTATTCCTACCATCTTAATCTTCAGTGCTTTGATGTAGAACTGTCTGATCTCCCAGTAGCTCATAACGTTGCAAAAGACTTTAACAAGACGATAGATCCAGAAGGTGGCGGCCATGATAAGAAGAAAAATGATCCAACTGTCCTCTTGTATCCTAAAAGAAAAGAAAAAAGCACTTTCAGACTCCAAGACCTTTCTAATACAGTTGTGCCTAAAAGTTTACATACCCTTAAATTAAAGACAGAAAAAAGCATCAACTTCCATTAAAAGAAATTGAAATTAACAAAATAATACATAAAAAAAAGAAAAATAGAAATCATGATATTGATTTTATATATATATATATATATATATATATATATATATATATATATATATATATATATATATATATATATATATATATATAAATAAATATAACAAAAGGTCTTCTAGATAAAATTATGAAACAACCAGAGTTTTATGGGTTGGAGCCTAAAGTAGGAAAGCATCAGCCCTCCCCCACCTGTTGCTGTGCACTGCTGGTTAGCCACAGTTTTCCTTCACAAAAAAAAGACATATATAGTAGATAAGAAATCACTTCTTTAAAGCTACAGTGTATAATTTTCAGCGACATCCAACGTCCAGACTGCAGACTGCAGCAACATGAACATCCCCCCCCCCCCCACCGCTTCTCCTCCCCCAACAGTATGGCGAGCGTTACGGGACAAAATGTCTTCCACGACGTCCGCATCACCTACCTTCTCAAGTGATGAGGTTTGTTTACATAGATAATTTTAATACTGCCATCTATTGTTCAGTACCGTCTCAGTTCATCTCTCTCAACTTGCCGTAGTTACTTTCAAGCGTAATGGGCGATCTCGCAATCGCTAGTTTGTTGGCTCTGCGCTGCCGTAGCGCAAAGATGTCTGCCTCCATGGCTGCGAGACCAGCTCCTATGTAATTATAAATAACGAATTCTAAGGCAACGCAAATATTAAGGTTAAGAGGCTGAGCTCGTAGATGATGATAAATAACATAGTTATGTATAATATATTACATTTCTGACTGTATATCCCTGTAATTATTACACACTGTAGCTTTAAAAAAAAAAAACCCAAAGAAAGTAATTTTTTTTTTACAAACAAAAACATATTTCAAGATCCTTTTTAATGAGATAAAGCAGTTTAAAATTACAGTCAGGAAGTGCCAAACAGCTTATTCTTAAAACAGCTGGATGGAGGTAGATATATTATCCACACGACATGAACTGTAGGGTTTCACTTTAAAGAGAGCTTTTTTTTTGTATTTATAGCCGTCTGAATCTGAATATTTTCTGCATACTTTCAATAAACAGATCGTATTCATGCTATTATGAAACATTTTACAACATGGTCTCAGTCAAGGTCCCTTTAAAGGAGGAATGAACTGCAATAACGATCCTCGGTGCACATGTGTTCAACGCTCTTCAAATGTGAAATTAGATAGGCGTTATGAAGAGGACAGAGAGAGACTCTTAACTGAGGGACAAGCTGTTCTTAAAGTGGAGCGCTGTGTGGTTCGACGTCACTGACTTTGACATAAACAACTTTTGAGCCGAAGTTAGACTGAAGCTCGAAAAGATGACAAGTGACCCACAGGAGCAGGATAGGCTGATGCTACACAGAAAGGAAATGTGACAGCACAGGTTTGGTGGGGTGGGGGGTGGGGTGGGGACGATGGGGGGTCTCTTTCAAAGCCAGGTAGCAATGTGTCATGTGGTAGTCAGCTCGTCAGTATCTTAGTCACTCGGTCGTACCACACAGCGAAGCTATCAGTTACACTGGCTGCTTCTCTGAAGCATGTCTGGGCAGTTCCACTAACATCTTTCATGACAAATTTCCATCTTAAATGCTGTCAAGCTTAAAAAAAACAACAACACAAAAGCGTAAAATAATCAATCTATGAAGAAATTGCATTAGTCCAAATAAACAATGACTTGGTGAATTTCATTTAAACTGGGATAAATCCATTTTAAATTTAACGTCTTTAAATTCAACTTTAAACAACAACACTGTGTATAAATATCAATACCAATATTATTTCATTAGAATAAAGTCTCAGTTCTTGACTTTGGCAGCATTACATTAAATAACTAATTGTTAAGCTTTCCTTATTCAACTAATCCCTATAAAGTGGAGCTAAATAGGCTTCTGTTCAATATTCCTGTCTAAAGATACTGACTGTATCTTGCAATCTACAGCCACAACTATTTCAGCCCCATAAAACTCCCATTGTTTAATCGCAACTATATTAGGCAGAGCAGCTGTGAAGAGTCTGACAAAAGAAACTCTCCAAAGGCCTGCCTCTAATTCTGCACTCGGCACGAGAACAAAGCATCTCATCAGACTGGCTGAAATGGCATGACAGCCTCTGATGATATGACTTAATGTGAATGAAACAGATTAAAGTACTTTTCATTTCTGCAACAAAATCTGTACCTCTGTGTGCACTGCTGGCTCGGTAAGATGGCATCTGGAAGAGTCACTTTGTTTCTCTCAAAAGGGTTCTGGCCTTGCCCGGTGTGGTTCACTGCTCGATTGGCAAAAAGGATGTCATACTCCACACAGTTGACCAGGAATGTAGTGAATGTGACAACGAAGAGAAACTGACTGCAAGGGTAAAAAAAGAGTGCTATTGGCTTTCATACTAATTCATTACGCTGCATCTAATTTCAAACTATTATAAAGCCACAAGAAGTTATTAATGATTATGTTAATTAATTCTTTTCCAGCTTGCTTTTTTTTTATTGCATTACACTATCACAAGTACAGAGCAATGATCCCCTTGGGGAGCAGTGGACTGCCATTTTGCGGCACGGGGAGCAGTATGGGGTTAAGGGTCTTGCTCAGGGAGCCAGAGTCACAGTCTGTGGGTCTGGGGTCAAACTCACAACCTCAGGATTCAAAGCTCTATGCCCTAACCACTAGTCCAGCACTCCCCTCTCCTGGATATCAGTTTGCAAATAAACTCCAAGCATCCAATGAGTACCTGCAGCATGCTAGGCTAACATGCAGGTTTGATAAAGACATTACATTAATACCATAATGTAATTATAGGGATAGCATATTCAGATGAGGAGAATCCCTAAAGGTGATCTTAGGAGATTGATTCCCTTCTTTACCATGACTGTTAAGTCCTTGTCCGGCCCTTTTTGCTACTATCTTATCAATTTAAAATGGTTTATTTTTTTTATGACAGTAAATATGGTTCGATTGAATATTCCTCACACAAAACTATTCCACCTGAATGACATGCTCCCTTGTCTTACCAATTTTTGATGGTAGCTAAGAAAATATGGCCCATGGGTCACATTGTACCTAGCCTGAGTGAAAAGAGATTAGTAATTTAAAGTTTGCAGACAAATATATAAATAAACATTTGGTTATATTTATTTTTTTAGACAATTCTAAACTGAGATTTCAGATTATTATATTAAAGGCTGGATTTTGCTTAATCTCTCTTTAGAGAAATGATGCTACTGCATTAAAATATAGATATTTTAAGACTTTCTACCACAGAGAAGGTGTTGTCTCCAGATAAAAGCTTAAATATTAAATAAGGACAGAATTTTAGAGCACCTATAGAAAGAACTGTTTTCTTTCACAATCATGCATCCTTTCATAAATGAGTAGAAGACCGAACTTGTTCCCATAAAAGCATGTGACAGTCACTTCTCGTCATAAAATAACAGAACACCAGGGTCACAAAGCGCTGCTATTTTAACTGAATACAAGGGTGTTCTTTTTGATAAAAGTATGTCACTGTGCCCCAAGCTGCATCTTACATGTATATTTACAACTCCATACTTACATGAGTTCAAAACATTCTGACAACATCATACAGGCAAAGCCATTCTTTTGATGGAAGTGGTAGATGTGAACGGACTGGTTAAGGAAAATCTGAAACGGTACTCTACAACAAACATATAATCAAACTGACTGATCAAAACATAGACATGATATGGTATAAATACATACAATAGAAATGTACAATCTAGTTTCTTTCTAGCAGTGCCTGTTTAAAATCAGACTGATCAAATTGCTGTCCTTTTCTTTTCATCATGCCTTTAATACAAAAAAAAAAACTAAACAAAAACGGTGTCACATTGGAAAGTGAAGGAATAATAAGATAGGAATAATCTATCTGATCTGTATTCAGCTCCAGAAAGAGCAAAGTGCAGACATTTAGTTGATGCATTTGTAGAAAACAAATGATTTCTTCCTTTATACACATGTAATTAATGGGAGAAACACATCAGAGTATTTTAATATCTAATTTGAATATTGCTAGTAGTGGTATTTGGGGGACATTGCTGATTCAATCTTGAAATCCCTGTAGGGGATTGTTTAAAGACAGCTAATGTAAAAAGATGAATAGATACTAATATAGGGGTCAGATTGTGTACATTCTGAAAAGGGAAAAGAAAAACAACAAAAATGCATTTTCCACCAAAAGAAAAGAAATATCACTGAAAAACAAAAAGTAGGAAATAAAAAAAAAACAACCTAAAAAAAAAACATCCATAAATACCAAAGTAGACAAGCAAATCCCATAATTTTAGACTGTATGGTTTGTGGTGGATGTGTTTTCCTTCCTCTGTAAGGTAGAGGAGGTTACCTTTGGGCCCAGGTCATTTCAGACCTTTGCCATCTAATACCAGTTTTGATTGCTTATAAACTGACTTTATCAGGTAGAGAAATTGGCCTTTTTCTAAATATCTATTTCTTTAGTCAGTTTTTTTTTTTTACCCAAATACAACATTACATTTAAGAAAAAAACAATATCTACCCGTAAGTGGTCCCTCACATAGGTTAGTCACATAAATCAATTGCACTGGTGTGACTGAGGGGTACCAAGCCAGAGAAAAGCTAGTTAAGATTTAGAAAAACAGATGGAACTGGTTTCAAAGCTAAACACAACCGCTAGAATGTGAAAGTGCTTTGGATTCAAACAATATTACTGTCTATCGAAATACTTCCTGTCAAATTTTATCATGATAACATCTTAAAATAATATAATTGAGAATAATAAATTATAACAATACATTTTTTCCTAATCAAATTCATTTCCGTATAAATCGTGACATACCTTTAGTCACTAGTGACACTATTTACTCCTTACTGAATATTAGCTTAACCTCCAAACTTCATGGTATGTTTACAAGACATAAAATAAGCTTTTATACCAAAATAAAAAAAACATATTTTAGTATAAGCAATAACTGTGTCTGGAGGATGTTTTTTCTTAAGTAAGCGTTTTTGCTATTCAGTGAAGTTACTCACAGTGTATAAAGTAGCCAAACATTTTATGCAAGAAAGATTTAATTTAAAGAGGATTCCCGCACATGATTTTGCCTGATCAATTGTTGCAACTAAATTTATTCTCTTGCAAGTTGGACAGTATGCAGGAGGTCTTTTTAAAATTTTGATCAGTATTTCTCTTATGTCTAACTATTGATTTGCAAAGAGTTTAATTCAAGTAAGAATAATAATATCCTGTAAGGATTAGGGCTGGGTAAAAAAATCGATTTAATCGATTTGGAATCGTTTCCTTTACATTTTTGCAAAATCAATGTCTAGGGAATGAGATCGATTAGTTTTATAGTGATGTGCGTGACATTGACATTCAAATGAGCAGGAAAGATGCACTCAAAATACTTCAAGCCAGACAGCTGCAAATATAGCCAATAGGTTAATTGAAGACATTAACAAATGAAGGCTGACCAGCAAACACCCTGTAATATTTACAGACAACACTGCAAATATGGTTTGTGCAGTGAAGATAATGCAGCTCATCCATGTCTGCTGTGTCCCTGCTGTGTCAGGTCTGCTTGCTGGAGTGAGGCTTTTTCACTTTTCACAAACAATTTTGAACTTTTGAGACAGTTTTGTTCACATCTCAAGTTTAAACTGTCTGATTTACAAGTTTGCACTTTGTGTTTAATATGACAGGAACAAATAAAATACGTGAGTATTTTGAAACACAGTTGAACCACTTTCATTATTGTAAAAACAGATCGAATCGAAATTAATCGATTTAGAACTGTATGAATCAAAATCGAAGAGATTCAGGACTTTGGCAAAAATACCCAGCCCTAATAAGGATATATTACCCAAGTAGAAGTAAAAAAAAGAATATCCAGAAAAATGACTCTGAAAGTAATACTTTAAGAGGTGACTAAGATAAATTTGAGACCATGTGGTTTGTTGGATGGTTTGTTATGAGCTCTTCTGTGGGCTAGAGCAGGTTACCTGTTCATATCTATTCCATGAAGCCACTTGTTTTGCAATCTGCCTGCAGTAAACATTACACAACACTTCCACAGCAACTACTGATTTAGCAAGACGTGATTTCAAAGGATATTCTTGTAAAGAAGTTATCCAAGTTCTTGATATGGTGCCATGAATCTGGAACAAAAATGGAAACACGCATCATCCATGTGTTAAAACAGCTGCATCCAGTCCTTTTTAGATCACTAAAGTAGGGCAAATGTATGCCCAACCTGTATCAATACCATTGTGTTTACCTTTCAAACTTTCAGGCACATGCACCAGTAAGTCCTCTTCCCCTGGTGGAGAGTCTTCCTCGTAATCCTCAATCCTCTGATACTCCTGATAGGCTTCAAAGTTAGCCATTGTGCTTCATTCTTCAGTCACCCAACTGTTTTTAGTAAACACTACACCAAACGAACTGGGGGCGCAAATCACGGCTACATTATGTAGCTAATAAGCATCCCAAGCAGCTCAAAAAAGGGTAAGAAAGGCTAACATTAGATAGCTAACTAGCTAGTCTGACCGATACTGCTTGTATAACCCAAAATCACAATGATTTGACGTTGTGACGTAATGATTTAACGTGATTTCGCTTTGTTGTTTTAGTATTGAAGGTTAGCAGCGTTTAGAAAAGCTAACAGATGAAACCGAGAGTGTGGGAGCCGCCGGGTTTAGCTTGTAGACGATCAGCCCCTGAGTAGTCAGGGTGACACGGTTTGTTTTGTTCCCGACCTGCTCTGTGGCTATGCTGATCCTGATCTGCTCTCAGACTCGGTCAAAGGAGAAGTCTTTAAACGATTTCATTTAATCCATCCAGCTAGTTTTTGTAACTATTGCTAGTACTTCAGCTTATCTGTTACTTGGTTCCCAGGAAATATTAGCGATCCCGTACGCGTGCTTACTGTTTTTTTTTTGCCTTTCACAAACAAATGTCAACAAAACACCATAAGCGTCATTTCCGTTTGGCAATACGTCATTTCCGTCTGTCAGTGCTACTTTTCATACAATTTGAAACGCTTTTTTATTTATTGGTAAGAAAGTGTCGACCTTATTGGCTATACATTTTTAATTTATTTTAAATGGTTATTTTAGTACAGTATTTTAGATCCAGAAATAAACACGAAAAGTATGCGTCGCATTGTATGGAGGACCAGCTCTGCCATATTTAAAAATAAATACAGAAATAAATAAATGCTCAGTAAATAAATAAGCATATAATTAATTGCCCACCAAAATACAATAAATAAATAAATGTAGGTAGAAATTATATTATACAGTGAGACATAAATTAATATATCTCATAAATAATATCAGAAGTTTACTCTCTAAGACGCAGCCCTTCCTCATTTGCATATGAGGCAAAAATGCATTTGTGCTCTGTTCAACATTATGGGCTGCATCCTCCGAAGGCCAGATTCGAAATACGATTATGTCATAGTGCGGCGCCGAGGTCTGGTCGGATTCCAAGACTCCTCATTATGCTGCCTACAAATGCATCCTTCTTTTCGCCTGATTTGAAGGTTGGGTCTGATGTATCATCGCTATCCTTGGTTTTCCAATGATTCATTGCAAGACCAAGCAAGCTGGCTGCTCCATGATCAGAGAAAATGGTACTTAGCCCGAACAGTGGTGAATATTGGAAGTTCAGCTTAATATAATACAAGTATGTGAATAGTTCTGTCTGAAATTAATGAAAATAGTTGTTTTAATGGTTATTAAATCAGATATGTGGCTGTTGTGTTTAATTTATCTAAAGGTTTGTATCTGTTACTGTGTATATGGATTTCGCTACAATATAAGGACAGATTCTAATATATCTGCAGTGCAGTGGGACTTGTTAGGTTTATTCTTTATATATCATGTGAACTGTTACTTTGTTAGCCAGATTAGACAGAATAGAAGGCCTTCCTTCACATGGTGGATGTCAATGTGTGTATGGAGGAACATCTAATCAGGACAGCCTTTGTGTCTTTATGAATACACAGGATATGGGCACATCTTGGAGCCAGACTGATAAAGGAGAGCTATGTGTAATCCTGTGGTAAAGAGGCAAGATGCATGAAGTTCAAGACATGGATAAAAGAAACAGTTTTGAAAAGTTCGGTACTCATTCTTTTCTGTTCTGTGGTAAAAGCCGCCAAAGGGTAGACCTGTTTGAAATCACAGCCAAAACTCTTCCGGTCTCCTTATTTTCAAATACTTCAAAGGATTCAGTACAGGTAGACCGCCTCCTTGGAAGAAGCAGCCCATAAATTCGAACAGAGCAATAGAATAATAGAAATGTAAAAACAACAGGCAGAAATAAATAGCATTGAAGAAATAAAGAGGGTAAAAAAATACAAAGGCAAAATAAAACCAACACTATACATACTATACTATACTACTATATAATACTATAACATGCACATAAATAAATACTTAAAAAATAAGTTATAAATAAAGTTGAAGATTATAGTGGAAAATCAATAAATAAGGTAATTATTACAAAGGTGAATAAATAAAGAAGCTAATTAAAAGATTATATATATATATATATATATATATATATATATATATATATATATATATATATATATATATATATATATATATATATATATATATATATATATATATATATATATATATATATATATATATATATATATATATATCCTCCACAGCTTTGATGTCAGTTCTTTGCAATGCCACTCACTACATGGCGCTGACGTTCACGTACCACCCGGACACGCGCGACTTCTCTGCGTCAGTATGGCAGCCTGCAGGGAGCCGTGGGATTAATTTTGAGCTTTTCCCCTTTGTTAACATTTTTTCAGCTATTTATTGGCGAAAGGCGTAGAAAACATGTCTCAGCTGCTTTGCTCCAGACTGTGCGTCACTTCTCATTCACGTCCACTGTCTTTTTACTCACTCTGTAGGAAGACAGGAGACAAGTGGAAGCTCTCACGGTGGGTTGAAATGCCCGGTTGCTAGATTAGCTAATGTCAGATTTGGTTTAGGTTAGCATTTGTTGATTACACTTGAAGTGTTAACACTGGTCAAATCAGATTGATTTATGTGAAACCTTCTATTCTGAGTCCATAAAAATTAGTCATTAATTATAACCCAACTATCTCGGCATATTTGATATGATTTGTCCTTCATAAGCCAAGGGGCCAAAGTATCAGTCCACCACATTTGGGAGTGGGACTTATCTGCAGGGCTGAGCAGAGTATCCTAACGTAAAACAGTAAAAGTAACGCTACTTTTGATTTACTCACGTAAAAGTTAAAAGTAGTCATCCTATAAGTTACTAAGTGGTTAGTAAGTACTGGCTAATTAGCAGGGGCGGAGCTAGATGTGGGGCCATGGCCACCCTAAGCCAGTCTGTGGCCACCACTACCACTTCTTCCCTCTAATACAGACAGTGGCAACAGTTGTACTTTCAAGTGGAATATTCAAATCATTTTAATTTTTCATTTATTAAGATTTGCTTGACAAAAAGACGCAGTGGTTAATTATGCACATAAATATACTGAAATTAAAGATAAGTACATAATTCAGAACTAGATTTTGTGTAATATGGGGTAAAGAGAAAATTATTTGTCTTTGCAAGTCATCTAGGCGTCTTCTGTGAGATCAAAACTATTTTAATTTATGTAGATATTTTTACTTGTAAATATCTTTTTTTTTTTTTTGCAGAATGATTATTGATAAAACTAAGTAATGACAGTGGAAAATATGTTTGCCCCAGAACTTAAACCTGAAAGAATTGTATACACTATATATGCATCTGTTTGTTAGCAAAGGCTGAAGGAAATGATAGTTTGTCTTTATTTAGAAAACATGGATTTTTTTGCTAATTAATTTTCCTGTTGGAACAGTATAGCTTAACCATGAGGTTCTTGCGCCTTTCCACTTTCGGCCACCCTTCAACGTACGTTGGTTATTGCCTGTCCACCCATATAAAAATGTTCTGGCTACGCTTTTGGGTAATTGTTGGCTCATAAAATCTAATTAAGGTTTTTAAATTATATAATCAGTCAGCCAGTTATGTGCAAAATCCTGTTCTTTTATAAGGTCTTTAAAAATAACAAATTTAGACAAAACTTGCACATTTTTAAAATATAAAATCAATGTCAAGGAAACAAAACTTCAAGATAAAATATCTACTGTTCAATGAATTTTATGCCCGATTTCAAATAGCTCAAGTGAATATAGTAACCATTATTATATCATTTTACTCAAGAAAGAGTAAAGATACTCCCACAAGAATAGAACTTAAGTAAAAGTAAAACTTTTAAAGGTAAATTATATTCTAAAAGTTACTCATGTAAATATAAGGCGTTATTACCGCCTCTGCATATCAGATATGACATCCTAAAGCTAAAACTGTGGCATTTTAAACATCATTCATCTATCTTTGTCTATTACAGTGCATTCATGAAATATCTATGTTTATATGCTAATTGATATATCAGCCATGTGTTTTACATGTTTGTTGTATTTTTCTCTTGCAAATTACCCCTCAATATTTATTGCTTCGGTAAAAAAATATATTGAAATTACATACAAAAATAAACAAGGAAAAATCTGATTCATTTAAGTTATTTTTCATCTCCTTTCTTTCAAGTTCTTTGAAAATGTACTCCACATTTAAATGTAAATTTGATTGAGATTCTTCAGAAAAGTCTTATGGTGTCCAGGACCAGACCGTTTTAAAATGACCTTGTTAATAATTCCACCATTTATGTTTTTCATAGACCCAAGATTTCCAAAGATTAACTAAGATAAATATTTTAACTTTTGGGAACATAAATGCTATTTGACTCCTTTCGTATATATAACCGAAACACCATAATACTCATGTTAAATTGACAGAATATTAAATGTTGTTTCCTCCGATTATGATCAGTCATAAATATGTAGAACAGAAAATCTACCAACAAAGCCTTTATGTCTTCCATTTGTGCTGGTAAATTTACTGTCTAACTCTGTTAAAAATGTCTTTTGTTCAGGTGGTATATACCTCGTAATTCCCATGCCCACAGCTCCAACCCGCCACCTGGCAATGCTTTGCAACGAATTTGGAGCCTGACTCAGAGAGCCATCCGCCACTCCCCCTCTCGGACATCCAAATCGGCAGGTTTGAAATTCATCCTAGGACCTGCAGTCTTTAGCGTCTCAGCCCGCCTGTTCTGCAGTGTAGCTCGCTGTGAGGCAGATTTCAATAACAACACTCCAGGGGAAGTTATCACCAAAGACCCAGTGCCTGAGTTCAAATGGCACATCCTTTGGAAATTTGTCAGACCTCAGCTTTTTGCTCTTGTCTGTGCTGTTGTGGTAAGCTTCAAGGGGTTCAATTTAACTGGTAACAAACATACAAACTTGGACGTTTCCTGCAGTAAATCTCCATATAATTTCTTTTCAGCTTGCTTTTGGTGCCGCTATCCTGAACATTCAAATCCCATTAATGCTTGGGGACTTGGTAAATGTTGTGGCGCGCTACCTCAGAGAAAACACAGGTAGCTACGTCAATGAGATTAAAGGTCCTGCCATGAAACTACTTGGATTGTATGGTATCCAGGTAAGTACACATAAAAATGTAGATTTGCATGAGAGCATCTTCACAGGTCTGCTTAATAAGTTGATCAGACGGTTGCAGTTGATCCAGAATGCTATTGACTTACTAAAACTAAGGACGTGGAGCACATAATCCCAGTTTTAAAGTCTTTAAACTGACACCTTTTATTTTAGAGAATAGACTTTCAAATTCTTCTGTTAGTCTATGAATAACAGAATTTTTTAGCACCAAAAGATATTACAGACTTGCAGTCGGAGTATCGACCACCCAGAACTCTCAGGTATTCTGCTACAAATCTGCTCATCCACAACAAAACATAGAGAAACCGCGTTTATTTCTGCTCCAATAATCTGGCAAAAACTCCCAGAAAAATGTTAAAGTCATGAAACCTAAATCGAGATTAAAAGCTTACCTGTTTAGAGTGGCCTTCGACTGCACTTTTTAAACATTATTAGTTAAGGTTGTTGCGCCACCTTTACGTTTACTTTCTTGTCTATCATTTTTATCATTTTTTTTATTTTAGGATCATTTTATTTTAATTATTCATTTTTATTCTTTTGATTATTCATGTTCATTATTTGTTTGATTACCTTTTTGCCTCTGTAATGTAATTTTACCTTTCTTTTTCTCATTTACAGCAGTTTAAATTTTCTTGCTGTTGACATGTGCTATATAAATAAACTTTCCTTGACCTGACAGAGTTGTAGATTTAAAGTCAGAGCTATTTTGAAATATAGGTAATAGCTGTACTATCATCGGTAGGATACATTTTACATATGCATATTATTACAGTACCTTGCTAAAGGATTTATAAAATTGTTGCCTAATAAAATCTATATTTTGTTTTATTAGGATTCTGTGAGTAGAAATCTGTGTTGTATGCATTTGTAATCAACTCCAGTTACTGGAAAAAATAAGTTTAAAAGTTTTTTTGTTTTTCCAGCAGCTGATGCCAGTTTTCAGTGTTTTGGTTTTGAAACAAATTTAAGTTTTTCTCAATGATTTTACCAGCCTCTACCTTATGAAAACTTGACCCTGCTTGAAACAACAAGTGTTATTTAATATATTACACACAAGAAGAATGTAAATTCATAGTACTAAAATATTTTTCCTACACTCAAGTTTGCGCAGTAATATTACCATAACAATGCACTTGTTATATATATTCCATTGTCTCAGGTATTTTAATGTTTTGAACTGGTTTTCCTCCTCACCTTGTATTTGGGCCCATCCATCATCCCATTAACTTTAATTATTTCCTAGTACTTGTTCATAAAATATATATATATCCCCACAGTATTATGCTGCCACTAGATGTTTCAACACAAAGATGGTGTTAGTGTTGTCTAAACGAACAGTGTAATGCACACATTACAACGTGTAAAAAAGTTTGGATTTAAACACCTTTGCATTAGAATGTGTGTGGGCTCCAAAGTATCCCAGTAGAATTTCAACACTTTGACTAAAAAATGCTTACAAAAATCACGCAGTCATGGAGACGTCCAGTGGTCTGATGCTATTGTCTTCACCCAACTGTTTTGTGCAGGGCCTGCTAACTACTGGCTACATTATCTTATTGTCAAGGGTAGGAGAAAGAGTGGCTGCAGACATGAGGAAAAGCCTGTTTGCTTCCCTTTTAAGGTAAATACTTCATAATGTGGACTCTTATGAGTTTATTAACATACATCTACCGAATTCATTTCTAAACCGTAATTCTACAACCGTTCGTTTTTTGTTTTTTTTTCACAGGCAAGATGTTGCTTTCTTTGACGCCAATAAAACCGGGCAGCTTGTAAATCGTTTGACTGCTGACATTCAGGAGTTCAAGTCCTCCTTTAAATTGGTTATTTCTCAGGTAGCACCACAAATATGACTCAGCATTTTAGTCAAACGTAAAAAAAAAAAAAGAAAATTGCAACCATCTGGTCCCCTTTTGTGTTTTCAGGGTCTGCGGAGCATCACGCAGACAGTCGGGTGTTTTGTATCTCTCTATGTCATCTCCCCAAAGCTCACAGGCTTGACAGTGGTCGTCCTTCCTTGCCTTGTGGGAGCAGGAGCACTCATTGGTTCATTCCTGCGAAAACTATCTCGTCTGGCTCAAGAACAGGTAATATGCAGTATTCGATTCAGTATAATTTAATGGAATAATTTTTCAGAAATACAAAAAATGTATACTTTTTGATTTTTATTTTACATTTTGTCATGTTAAAACCAATAACCTCAGTGTATTTTCTTGAGATTTGAATTAAAAGACCATCGAAATTCTAAAAGGTGCATTTGTTTTCAGCTCCAGACTTAAAGGAAGAATAACTTAGTACTGGCCAGGGACCATAGGAACTACAGTATGTCAACTGTGTGGAAAAAGGTGATCTGGTTAGATATCTGGTAAACACTTCACCTTCCTATGGACAACAGACCCCAGGATAAAACATGATGCTGGTAGAATCCTGCTGTAAAAAATGTTTCTTCAACTGAGACAGAAAGCCGGTCAGTTCAAGGGAAAATCAATGGAGCTAAATACAGGGAAATCCTGAAAGAAAACCTGTAAGAAGCTGAAAAAGACTTGAGTGAAGATTCACCTTCCAGTAGGATGACAACCCTTGAGCAAAAAAAGACAACAGTATTTTACTTCAAAGCCTATTCCTGTCTTCAAACAGCATATCTGAAGTCTGTTTGAGAATCTGCAGCAATATGTGGTCTACACAAACTGAACCCTTTCAGTTTCACTGAGCTTCATTTATTTTGCAAAGAAGAGCAAACACGAATTCTCTTACCCAAAGAACTTGTAGCTGATGTAGCATGGAGAGGTGGTTTTAAAAATGAAGGACTCGGTGGAGATGTATCTAAATGCAAATCGTACTCTTTAGGATTTTATTCCTAAAGCATTTTGAAAACAACTTCTCGTTCTTTCACTCAGCTATCATGCGTCAGCTTGTGATTTTAATGTGACTGTCTGGAAAAGTTCAAGGGGAATGAATACTTCTGCAGGGCATTGTATGATACTGTGTGCTGCTAGCTTTCAAAATCTTAAGCAAAAATATTTAAAAAATAATTAACTTGTTGTCTGACTATTTCCTTTCTTCAAATTAAGGTAGCAAAAGCAACAGGGGTGGCAGATGAAGCTCTGGGTAATGTACGGACAGTGAAAGCTTTTGCTATGGAGGAACGAGAGCTGCAGTGAGTTACATTTCCTTGTAAAATCATTTGTTAATATTTGAATGTTTGTTGTATGTTGTAGTGTTTTACAAGTTTGTTTTTCTCAGATTATATTCCAATGAAGTTGATAAATCCTGTGAAATGAATGAAAATCTTGGAGGAGGAATAGCAGTTTTCCAAGGCTTGTCCAACGTGGCGCTGAACTGTACGTGTTTTGATTGTTGGACACAATGAGTCTTAGACCTTCAGTAACTCGGATGTTTTGATGTTCTTCAAACAGGCATTGTTCTTGGAACAATTTTTGCTGGAGGGACTTTAATTTCAAGCAATGAGATGTCTCCAGGGGACCTCATGTCTTTCTTGGTTGCATCTCAGACTGTTCAGAGGTATGTTGGGATGTGCTTCACAATAAGAAAATAAGTGAAAGAATCAAGAATATACAGTAATTCATTATGCACATATGTTTGTGCTCAGGTCTTTGGCAAGCATTTCCATCCTTTTTGGACAGGTAAGTAAAAGTTGGATGTTTAAACTGCTGCTTGCAAAAACATTTTGCCAAATGAAAACACTGGATTGTGTGGTGAACATTTTTATGCTCCACTCGCCCAAGTCAATCGATTTTAGAACCGTTTTTCACTGCAGACACAGCTGCAAATTTATTACCAGGTTTTTTTTTTTTTTTTCCCATTTCTGTAGACAGATATTCTTGTGAAAAGACTCAAGCTCAGTCTTAAGGAATAAAGGCCAGAACACACCGAATCACATTTTTCGTCGGTTTGACAGAGGTTGTGGTGTTTAGCGCTCATTTACATTCAATGGGTTGGTCACACCCGACCCGATTTTACACATGGGGGCTTGTGTAGGACCAACTGAGATAGACCCCAGGTGTATGTCAGATTCAGCTGCAATTTAATGGGTCTGACAGGAAAAGAGACACGTTTGCACACTAAAACACATCTGCTTTGGGGGAAAATAGAAATCTGTTAATTGCACACGGAACGAGCCAGTTTTGGAGTCGCACACAGTCTCATATATATATATATACCCAGTGAACCAGACTGGTACAAAAACAATCAATGAAACATTTAGAAACAATACTTTACCCATGATAGCAGCTCAGGAGCACAGAAAACTGATCAAGTATTGATCCTCTTTGAGCTTCGCAAAAACAACGAGGGACACAAAGCTCAGTTTATCAATCTCCTCGGAATAAAAAATCTTCAGGACGAGAAAAAATTATATATTAAAGTAGTGATCCTCTTTGAGCCTCACAAAAAACAAAACAAGGGACAGAGGAGCAGGTAAGAGCAGCATATCTCTGTCACCTCTTTATGAAAAAAAGTAAAGTAAACCTTTGATAAACTTCTCAAGTCTCTCTCTGAGAATCACCTCTCTCTGCCTCAGTCAGTGTGTAAACTGTCACAGCGTTTATTGTTGCGTCTTTCTTTTCTTTGGATGTTGATCTCAATATGTATCTGATATAGGCATATGGACATTCTCTATCTGTTCTGGTTTGAGATGCTGCACAAAGTGCAGCATCTCAAAGTGGGGCTTTGCTGTGTTTGATTTTTTTAATAGCTTTTCATAATAATTTTTGGACTCAATTTTATTCAAGGGCCTCAAAGTGAAGGGGGCTGAGCAAAAATGCACTGGAAATTTTTCAGACTTTGAAAATTAGCTTTTGTTTTACCATCTATGTCACCATTATGCAGTGCATTGTACTTGTCTGGAAAAGTACCTTTGCAAAGCACTGACTGACTGTAAACATTTTGTCTGAGTTCTTGTCTTGTTTCCCTACAGGTGGTTAGAGGGATAAGCTCTGGGGCTCGGGTTTTTGAATACCTGTCGTTGCAGCCCACTATTCCTCTCTCAGGGGGAGGACGCATCCCCTACCACTCTCTGACAGGAAGAGTGGACTTTATGAACGTTTCATTCAGGTTTAAACATTTTCAAACCGCTGTTACGTTTATATATTAACACTAAACAAAGTTGTCAAATATTAGGAAATAATTTTTTTTTATTTTTTTTTTTTTATCAAAAGTTATCCAACAAGACCCGGCCATGAAGTCCTGAAGAAGTTCAGTTTAACTCTGCCACCTTGTAAAACTGTGGCCATTGTTGGTGAATCTGGTGGAGGTACTCTGACACCATGGCAATACGTTTAATTTTGTTTACCTCTAAATGACATCAAGGTGAGCTCATAAAAGTTAAACCTTGTAGGGAAGTCCACAGTCGCCTCCTTACTGGAGCGTTTCTACGACCCAACCAGCGGTGTGGTCATGCTGGACGGACTCGATATCCGTACGCTAGATTTGGCCTGGCTAAGGGGCCAAGTTATTGGATTCATCAATCAGGTAGAGACTCTTCATTTTGATTGTGTCCAGATTAAATAACATAAACATGACTTCTTACCCTCATTGATTATTTTTTCTTGAGTTTAGATTTAAATGTTGGCTTCTTTTGTTTTTTGTTCTGCTTGAAGGAGCCGGTTCTCTTTGGATCATCTGTTATGGAGAACATCCGCTTCGGGAAGCCCGATGCCACAGATGCTGAGGTCATTAGTGCTGCAAAGCAAGCTAATGCTCACCGCTTTATTTCAAGCTTTCCTGATGGCTATAACACCATGGTTGGTACGTGCTCTCATTTACGCTTTGTCTTTTTCAACACTGTTGCATGTCAGCTCTAAAATTCTAAGTTTCTAATTATAGGTGAACGAGGTGTGACACTATCAGGTGGACAGAAGCAGCGCATCGCCATCGCTCGAGCATTGATCAAGAACCCCAGCATCCTGGTGCTGGACGAAGCCACCAGTGCTCTTGATGCAGAATCTGAGCGGGTGGTCCAGGAAGCTCTGGACAGGGCCACAAGGGGTCGCACTGTGCTCATCATCGCCCACAGGCTGAGTACCATTCAAGGGGCTGATCTGATCTGTGTCATGAGCAATGGCCGGATTGTGGAGGTGAGGATGGGGTGAAGTACGGACACTATACTTAATTGTCTTGCCTCGTTTAGTAGAACAATTTGCAAGTTAAAGATAGAAGCAGCAAAAGAGAATTATTTAATTTAATCTTTATAGATGTTTAACAGATTATTTTTATCTTACTTGCAGCTATCCGTTTCATTTCATTGAATCTAATAGCTTGTTCTTTTCACACAGGCTGGAACACACTTGGAACTCCTGAGCAAAGGAGGACTTTATTCTGATCTGATCCGCAGACAAAGAGCCGAGGGACAGAAATGAAGATTCAAAAATGTTTTCTATAAGCAACAATAAATAACACTGCATTTAATTGACATCAGATACGTGTAAAATGAAATGGCTGTTTTTATCTTGATAGACAAATCAAACATTTCTACACAGCATGTATATGCATGAGAGGACCAACTGGATTAAAATATGTTTTTAAAAATACTATTGAGCTTAAAGATAAAAATTATCTTTTTGAAAATAAAATATAGAAAGACAAATTACAAAAATAAGATGACAATGGGTGTTTTTATTTATTTAATTATGAAGATGGCAGTGGGCTGCCATTGTGCGGTGCCCAGACCCAGAGTGGCAGTCTGTGGGAGTGGGGCTCGAACTTAGAACCTGTGGATTCCAAGTGCAACGTCCTAACCACCAGGCCTCCACCCACCTAAATTTTGTTAAATATCCTACATGTGAGAACTAACATGTACATAATGGGACATTCAACTGGTCCCCATATGGTAAAGTTCTGTCCTTTGAGTTGGGGTTGGGGTAAAGTTAGGGTTAGGTATATGTTGGTAATAGGGTAAGGGTCTGGGTTAGGTCATATAAAATATATGCAAGTCAATGACTGACTGATGTCCAGAAGGCCATCATTGACACCCTCAAGCAAGAGGGTATGACACAGAAAGATACTTCTGAATCAATAGGCTGGTCCAGGTGTGTTGTATCAAGGCACCTAAGTGGGAAGAAAAAAGTGTAGCAGGAAACGCTGCACAACGAGAAGAGGTGACCGGACCCTGAGGAAGATTGTGGAGAAGGGCTGATTTCAGACCTTGGGGGACCTGCGGAAGCAGTGGACTGAGTCTTGAGTAGAACCATCCAGAGCCACCGTGCACAGGCGTGTGCAGGAAATGAGCTACAGGTGCCGCATTCCCCAGGTCAAGCTACTTTTGAACCAGAAACAGCAGCAGAGGCGCCTGACCTCGGCTACAGAGAAGCAGCAGTGGACTGTTGCTCAGTTTTGCACGTCATTTGGAAATCAAGATGCCAGAGTCTGGAGGAAGACCGGGGAGAAGGAAATGCCAAAATGCCAGAAGTCCAGTGTCAAGTACCCACAGTCAGTGATGGTCTGATGTGCCATGTCAGCTGCTGGTGTTGGTCCACTGCGTTTTATCAAGGGCAGGGTCAATGCAGCCAGCTATCAGGAGATTTTGGAGCACTTTATGCTTCCATCTGCTGAAAAGCTTTATGGAGATGAAGATTTCATTTTTCAGCACGACCTGGCACCTGCTCACAGTGGTTTGCTGACCATGGTATCACTGTGCTCAATTGGCCTGCAAACTCTCCTGACCTGAACCCCATCGAGAATCTGTGGGATATTGGGAAGAGAAAGTTGAGAGACACAAGACCCAACACTGTGGATGAGCTAAAGGCCACCATCGAAGCATCCTGGGCCTCCATAACACCTCAGCAATGCCACAGGCTGATTGCCTCCTTGCCACGCCGCATTGAAGCAGTCATTTCTGCAAAAGGATTCCCAACAAAGTATTGAGTGCATAACTGTACATAATTATTTAAAGGTTGACTTTTTTTGTATTAAAAACGTCTTTCTTTTATTGGTCAGATTAAATATGCTTCTGAGATGGGAATTTTGGGTTTTCATGAGCTGTATGCTAAAATCATCCGTATTAAGACAATAATAATAATAATAATAATCTCAGTTAGAGTGCAATTAATCTAAAATATATTAATGTTCAAGTTTTATAATTACGTTATGGAAAATAAGGAACTTTATCACAATATGCTAATATTTTGAGAAGAACCTGTACACTTTGTGTAGGGGTAGTGGTGCCCTAACCTCTGCTTCGTCTGGATGAAACGTTTTCTGCCCTCTAATGGACAAAACTGATTTAATTTGATGTGATGCAAGGTTTTAGTGATTATTTGTTTGTCTAAAAGGCTCTGTTAGGATCATAAGGAACAATCAGATCTTTATTATAAGATCAAGCTTGGTTATTTAGGACTTTATATGTGAGAAGCCAATGAAGGAAAGAGAAAATATGATTTTCATCAGAACTCTAATTGCAGCATTTTGAATCAGCTAAATACTTTTATAGATTTTTGACTCCTGATACTAAAGAATGACTAGTCCAATCTTGAAATGATAAATAAATTGAATAGTTTGTTTCCCAGAATCACCCCCTGAACAAGAAAATTCATTTTTTCACCGATATTTTCTGTAGATGAAAGAAGGAAATCGTAGAAAGACGTTTGATATGGGATTTAAATGTAAAGTCATGATAAAAAATGGACCTGACATTTTAAGCGCATTCATAGGCGACGTCTCAGTTTTTTATTTCAGCCAGTAGATGGCCAACAAGACTGGATGTGCTTCTACAATCCACAGACAATCCGACTCCAGGCAAGCAGCAAGACTAGCCAGCTAGCTAGCAAGCTAGCCGTTTCATCCTTTCTGCCCTGTTTTGGGGGCATTTTGTCGGTTTTGGATTACCAGTTAACTCTAGGCTGGCTTCACTGACTAATCATGCAGAAATACGAAAAGTTGGAAAAGATTGGAGAGGGTAAGTTTATAATAAACAGAGAAGGTTATAGCTGTTAGCCGAGGTAACACAGCTAAGCTTTGCTAGCACGGCTAGCTAATTTAAGCTAGGCTGTTAGATATTTTATCGTGTTAACTAGCCCAGAAAATAGCACACAGCACTGTATCTACCATTTTATCATCAGCTAACATGATTTTGTTAAAATATGTTAAGGATGTTGGATCCAGCTAACGATTTGGTGGCTGTTAGCTTTCGTTGCTATGCAGTTGTTATGTGGTTAAATGTGGCCTTGTTTATCCTGTAGGTACATATGGAACAGTTTTCAAAGCTAAAAACAGAGAAACCCATGAAATTGTGGCTTTAAAACGGGTCAGACTGGACGACGATGACGAGGTTTGGACACGTTGACACTTGCACAGTTTAGTGATGAGGTTTTAGCAGACTAATACTAAATCAGAGTAAATTCTGTTTGTTTTTTCAGGGGGTTCCAAGTTCTGCTTTAAGAGAAATATGTCTTCTGAAGGAACTAAAGCATAAAAACATTGTCAGGTAAACCTGCTGCAAATTTTATATAATTCATTTTGATTGTGTCCACTTATCTGTAAATGCTTATCTGAGCAGCTTTGAATCTGATGTCACCAACATGGACCACTGAGAATTGTTCAATCTTATTTTTTTATTTCTTTTAGACTACATGATGTGTTGCACAGCGACAAGAAGTTAACGCTTGTTTTTGAATATTGTGATCAGGTGAGTTACCCATCCAACCTAATGTAAAGGTTTTTAGACTTTGATTATTAGAGACTAAGACCAAAATATCTTTGATCCAATGCAGGATTTGAAGAAATATTTTGACAGCTGTAACGGGGATCTAGATCCTGAAACTGTGAAGGTGAGACATAAGAAATACAGCATCAACTGTATCCCCAGACACACACGCACATACATGTTTGTTCTCTCTTTAACGCTAAAACTAACCCTATAAATCTTAACCATTACCAATGCACACCTAACCCTAACCCAATTGACACCTTAGCCCTAAACATAACCATTAGCAAAATAGCTTGTGAGTATCGGCAAAATGTCCTTACAACAATTGCTCCTCATTGTGATGGTGAAATTGGAAAATAGTCCTCACTCTGATCACTAGACAGGTACACACAAACTGTTTATGTTTCTCTGTCCTTGTGGGGACCTTCAATTGACTTTCATTCATTTCTAACCTATTTCTACAGCCTAACCTTGAGCCTAACCCTAAGGCCCGGCGTACACTGTGCGATTTTCGGGGCAATTTTCCAGTCGTGCGACAATCTATCGATCAGGCTGACTTTCAGCCTGATCGTGAATTGTGTAGTGTACAGGGGGTTACAAGTGGCGATCAGCCTCTCACGACCACCTCCCGATCAGGAATCGTGAGGTCGGGAGAATATCAAACATGTTTGATTTTCTCTGGACCGTTGTGGTCTCCCAACCACTGCAGAGCTGAGTCCGACGTGGTTTTCAGTCTTACAGTGTGGGCAGGTAGATTACATCAGAGCGTCAAGCTGAACATAAATTGTGAGCTGTGAGCTTATACTGTATGACTAAACTCTGCGGTTAATCGTATAGTGTGAGCAGCAGCTACGTGCAACGATTGAAATAAATCGCAGTGTACGCCGGGCTTAATCCTTACCCAAACTTGTTTCCTCCTTAAGGCCAATTTATGCTTCTGACGCATAGCCTCTGCAACTGTCAAATCCTGACTACGCATTGGTCAGTTACAAACCCGCGCAGATCTCAAGCGGAAGCGTGCAGACAAAAAGCAGCTGTGATTGGTCCTTGGTATGCCTTTTCGACTGTCTGTGTGGTCGTCCTTCTGGATTCGGTGCCGGGGCGTGCCATTTTTAAAAACCGAGGAACAACTACAATGGACAACTACGACGAAAGGTTAATCAGTCTTTTTGCCAACTCTATTAACAGAACCTGTTCCTCAATAATCACTAGCAACTCTAGATCAATCTCAGTGACCGGGATATATTGCAGACACGGCATTGTTGTTTTGGAAGATAATCACTCCCGCCGGTGCCGCCGAAGTTCTCGTGACCATTTGCCGAAGTTCTCGCGAGTTCTCGAATAGGCTCCCCCTTGCACTTTGCCAGGAAACTGCTGTGGGTCCCTAGAAATTCCAGACCGACGGTGCAGAAGCATACCAGCAAAACTGGTTCGCGACCAGACGCAGGCGACATTTGATGTGTGCGGTGGCAGGAGTCTAATCTGCCCTTTGGTCCTAAACCTAACTACCTTAGCCTGTAAGGGCATTTGTACCCATGGGGACCAGACACCGGTCCCCATTAGAGCACACGGTCCCCATAATGTGTTAAGATTTATGGAAAATGGTCCCCACCATGAAAAAAAAGCACCCACACACAGACACCCACGAAAAAAAGGCTGATTTGTGTTTTTGGCTCTGGTTTTAATACAGCAAACTGTCTTTTCTTTGCAGTCGTTCATGTACCAACTGTTGAAGGGACTCGCTTTCTGTCACAGTAGAAATGTTCTTCATAGAGATCTGAAGCCACAAAACCTCCTCATCAACAGAGTGAGTTCTGGACTTTAACATGAATTATGATAAACATTGATTCCAGTACGAGGCTGTCAGTTTGCTATTTTGACAATGTTAAAATGTCACTTGGATATTTATTATTACCTTTTTGACTTTTTATGATTGTAGCAAAAGCAGATGTTGAAGTTATCGGTAAGGCTGGACTTGATGTACTGGGTTTATAGTGCCATATAAAAAAAATATGCCTTTTTTTTTCTTCTTTATCTGTAGAATGGGGAATTGAAGCTTGCTGACTTTGGATTGGCTCGAGCTTTTGGTATTCCTGTGAGGTGTTACTCAGCAGAGGTAAGCCGTACTTCATTTACATCACAGGTGTTTATTTATGCCTCTAGTAATGAAACCATGTCTAAGCAATAACAACATTTTGGTTCCGAAGGGTAACGTAGCAGAAACCTTATCAGAGACTATTTTTCAGCTTGTTGGCTTCTAGATTTAAAATATTCATGTGAATAATGTTTTTATTAACTTTTTCAATATATGCTCCAAAAATTTGAGTGTAAGATGACATTGCTCACAAATCCACATCAGTTTTATTGGAAAATATTGCAGTCTTTTTACCACAAGGAATATGATCAAAAGATCACATGTGACCAACAGTTAAAAGTGAGAGACTGTCTTAAATAATATAATTCAACATAAATTATATGTATTCATTGGAACTTTACTGATATAAAACCACAAAGTAACACATTATTTAAAAGCAAGAGGGAAAGAGCCCCATTTTTAAATAAACATAGATAAATGTACAAAAATAAAAATAAATAAAAAATATTGGTACATGATCATATTCTTAGTCTTCCTAAGAAATACTAAGTACCTACTGGAACCAAATTTAGCAAAAAATTCAGCTTGAGCTTTTTGGGATACCTTTCTATCTATTTATCCCATTTATGTATCGTAAAAGATACTCACTTTCATTTCTCACTGGACTCGGAGAGACTCCCAACAGTTGATTATACTTTGATCTGAATCATTTAATTGTCTTTACGGAGAGATGAGCCCCAATCCATCCCAAGTCTTTAAAAAAAAAAAAAGTTTTTTCTCCAACCGCTTTTGTTTTTGGTGTGGCAATTTATTTGGCTCCATCAGTAAACTTTAATTAGGCTAAAGGCATCCTCAAAGCATAATGCTGCCACCGGCACACTAAAGTTCAGTCTTTGTCTCATCGAATCAGTTTTGTCTTTTGCTGCTCGGACGTTGACTGTCATTTATCAAGACCAGAAAAAAATCTGTGATTTTTGGAGGAAAAAAAAAAAAGAATTAGTTGATACAACATACTTTTTTTTTTTTTTTGCTTGTCTTTTTACCAACTGGTTAAATGTTATGCCTCTTGTAATTCTTATATTTTGGGTTTGTTTCTCTGCAGGTTGTGACGTTGTGGTACCGTCCTCCAGATGTGCTGTTTGGTGCTAAACTTTATTCTACCTCTATTGACATGTGGTCAGCTGGATGTATATTTGCAGGTCTGTTATGAGGCATTTTATAATAGTTTTGTAAGGTTTTTTATTTTGTCAGAGGAAAAAAAAGGCACCAGTGGGATTTTAAAAAACCCCGTAATTAATTCACTTAAGCACAAAGCTCATTTAATTGCAGGAATTAATTATTGCAGTCAGGGCTCTGTCTCACGATGCTCATAGAGTTTAAATGAACAAGCTTAAGAAAGCCAAGCTGGGTTAATTTATGGAGCGCTGTACATTAGGTCAATGCGTAAATCCAGAGGTGTTGGTTTATATTGAGAACTGGAGCGAGGCAAACACTGAACTGAAATTCCTTATTGGGTAGTGAAACAAATGACTAATGCAACATATTGTTTAAATTTAAGATCTAAATTACATTTACATTTAAATTATTTTTCAAATTAAGGCCTTAATTGGCATTAAAATCATTAAATGTTTATTGTTGCATTTAAAATGCTTTATTAAAAAAATGTTTATAAAAACTATTTTGTCATATATATTATATCACAATATATTTGCGTGAAACTGCTTCCGGTTGATCGCAAAGCTGTATGTTCAGAAAAGAAGCTTAAGTCGGAGAAAAAGCTAGAGAATGGGGGGAAGCACATTTCAACAAAAGTGGCTGGAAAACGAGGAATTCGGGACATGGCTGCAGCCTGTCGACGGGTACCTGTTGGTGGCATTAAAGTTATTTCTAAGAGCATTAAAAGAGCATTGAAAAGCATTAAGTTAGAGTTATTCATTCCTGTATAAACCCTGATTTAGATGTGTTAGTAAGACTCTGAGCCGTTATCTATTTAAGCTGGATTTTAATGCATGACACATTTTACCTTCATCACGAAATTGTTTAACTGTTATGCTGGTGATTGTTCTGCCACTGTTTTGTTTAGCTTGATTTGTTCATTCCTCCCCTCTGTGGTTGTTTCATCAACTTATTTTCCATTTCATTACCAAAACAACCATAAGCTTATTCAGTATGACATGTTTATAACTGTATACCAACAATCCCTTCAGCTGAGAAGATGCTTTTTCCTTTGCTCTGTCTATTGAATTATATCGTAGTTTCTTACTGATTACTAATTACAGAAATGAGTTTCCTGATATTTATTTATATCTTTTTTTTTATTTTACAAAGGAGAAATTCCCAAAGCAAAGCTGAAAGATATTTAGTGCAGGAATTATAGACCCATTAAAAATACTAGAGATTGTTTTTAAGCCAACACGATTGAATGCACAGGTCCCTGCTGACATTCTGTGCACCAATGACATTATGACCACAGCAGGGGCGGATCTACATGGGGGGGATATGGTGTGATTTACTAATAGCTTGTTTGTCTGAAAGCCTCTTCCAGCCTTCAAATTAAATGTACATTTACAAAAATGAAAAACTATTTGTCAAAGCTTGTCAAAAAAAATCCCCTGAACTCAGCCATTGCAGACGAGGGTTTGAGTTCTTAGGCTCTTCTACAAGCAGTGGCTTAAATCAGTCCTGCATGGTAAAGTTACTTTTCTGAATTGGTCTTATTCATTTATGATTTTTGTGTAATCTTTGCTTTACTCAATTAGCATATACCAAAAAATATCTTTGATTCTGAGAGGAGAAAATGACACAAAAAATAGTTTATAAATATATTTTGGGATGTTTTGTCAACTTCATTTACATTTAATAACTTTCTTACATACTCCAATGATTAACACAATAACATGATTCACTTCTTTGCATCTTTTATTTTTCAGGCAGACACAATACTATTAAAAAGAATTTAAGCTATTGAACCATTTGAAGACATTTGTTTATGGAATGCGTAATTTGGGTCACCCTTAATATAAAAAGTACTTTTATATTAACAATAACTTCTTAATTTTCCTTCTTTAAATATGATTCTGCTTTAAGTGTACTTGATAAAAATAGCATCGCTGGGATGTCACCTATCTAAAAATGTATAATGTGACCGCTCAGTATCTTGGAAGGTAATTCAATACCCTCCTTCCTACCCTTTGTCCCATTACCATAAAACAAAATGACTTCCTGCTCTTGAGGGAACATGGTTTATAAACATGATATTAGAAATCCTTGGATTTTCCAACACAAATGCGTCAAACGGATGTTTTCTCAATATGTTCATCCTGACAGCTGCTTCTGCGTTTTCATGCTTCCTGCAATAATCAAGGAGAACAGGGCCTTAATAGACAAAGAGCAAAAGCAAACCGCTTCGCTAAAGGCTAGATGTACCTGATAAGTGGGTGTGGTGTTCAATGCGTTCAGTTTGCCAACTAGGAACACTGCTTCCTCCCATTTGTTTCAACCTGAATGACTTGTTACTAATTTAATTGAGGATGGCAGTGTATTAAAAAAAATCTCCTTATTATTTCACGACAGGAACTGTTAGGTTAGTGTGATGTTTGCAATGAGCAACACAGTTTCTATGATGCATTCTCTTTGTACGATTTTTTTTATTGTGGCTTTCTCTGTTGTTTTAGAGCTGGCTAATGCTGGAAGGCCATTATTCCCTGGCAATGATGTGGATGACCAGTTGAAAAGGATCTTCAGATATCCTTTACTTTCCAATTTGATTAGCTTCAGTATTCAAGAAGAGGTCACTATGGTCAATGATATGCTTTGAAACTTTGCTTTAAACATGGTCCTTAACCACTTTGAACATTGTTGGGGACACCAACAGAGGAGCAGTGGCCAACGATGACAAAACTTCCTGATTATAAGGTACATTCACCTTTCTCGAGCTTATAGTAGTAACACTATCTTTACTTTGGGCAGATATTTCTCAGTAATATTGAGCATAATTTAAACTGCAGTTTATTTCTAGGTATCCAATCATTCATATGTATAAATGTATATACATATTAGGGCTGAACAATTAACAAATAGAAATTGTGATTATTTTCAAATAATATTTGCTATTTTATTTTATTTATTTTTTGTCCATGTTTTACACCAGGATTTCAGTTTTTTCATGGCCTCGAGCCTTGCTCATCCAGAATCCAGTTTTGCAGGACTTCACTGTTAAACTTTCACAACCAAGTTTATACTTTTCCTATAACGCATTCATCTAGGTGCTAGCTGCAACTCTTCCCTTCTGTGCAGCATTATGCTTACTTTAAAGCTACAGTGTGTAATAATTACAGGGATATACAGTCAGAAATGTAATATATTATACATAACTATGTTATTTATCATCATCTACGAGCTCAGCCTTTTAACCTTAATATCTGCGTTGCCTTAGAATTCGTTATTTATAATTACATAGGAGCGGGTCTCACAGCCATGGAGGCAGACATCTTTGCGCTACGGCAGCGCAGAGCCAACAAACTAGCGATTGCGAGATCGCCCATTACGCTCGAAAGTAACTACGGCAAGTTGAGAGAGATGAACTGAGACGGTACTGAACAATAGATTCAGTACAGTATTATGCCTGAGAATACTATCTGTAAAATTATCTATATAAACAAACCTCATCACTTAAGAAGGTAGGTGATGCGGACGTCGTGGAAGACATTTTGTCCCGTAACACTCGCCGTACTGTTGGGGGGGAGAAGCGGTGGGGGGGGGGATGTTCATGTTGCTGCAGTCTGCAGTCTGGACGTTAGATGTTGCTGAAAATTACACACTGTAGCTTTAATCATACTGCCGCCTAAACAGCTGGAAGGAGAAATTTAGTGCCTTATTCTTGTTAAATGGATTTTAATAACAAATTGAGTGCCTCAGCAATTTGAAAATTGCATTTATTTTCTAAATTGTGATTATATTGCAAATGCAATTAATTGCCCAACCCTAATATATGTGAAAGTAAAAATTTGTATGTCTATAAAAAAAATAAGATATCTTGATCCACTCATCAAAGAGGGTTGGTTGCAAAGCAACATTTGTGAAGTGCATGGATTTTCAGAGAGCGGTATCCGAATGGAAAGTTGAACGGATGGATAAATGATTGCAGGAAAAATGTTCACAAGCAACAGTCATGAGTGTAGCCCATTTAGGAGCTTTTGGGAACTTCACCAGGCATGGACTACTACTGAAATCAGTGTTTCAAGTACCAAAGAAAATTTTGCAGCTATTAAGGCTGACCTTTTTTGTTGAATTTCTGAAAAAGATTCACTTAAAGCAATATTTAAATGTATTGAAGTACACCTGTCTACCTAGAGACTGCTAAGGAGCTCTTGTCCTTTTCTCCAGCCGTACCCCATGTATCCGGCCACCACCTCCCTTGTGAATGTGGTTCCTAAATTAAGTAGCACAGGAAGGGACCTACTGCAGGTATTTTGAACATTTTGTTGTTTTTTTTGTGTTGTTATGCAGTAGCAGTGTGCTAAGACAGTTTAAAGATTTAAATTTTGTAAGTTGTATAGCTACTGCAGCAAACTTATTCAGATATGTTGCCAATTTACATTTCTGCTCACATAAATCTGCTCAACTACTAAATTATTTTGTTTCACAACATCCAGAACCTGTTGAAGTGTAATCCTGTTCAGAGAATTTCAGCTGAAGAGGCCTTGCAGCACCCCTACTTCGCCGATTTCTGCCCACCCTAAAATGTTAAATTGCCTGTCACTGAGCCACAGCCGCAAGAATCAATCATCCTTCACTCTGTTTGGTCATTAGGAGCGATTCCCAACAAGGCAAATCCCTCCCTGGGATTCAGACACTCCCTTGCAGTTCGTTCTGTTGTGCCTCTGTGTGGAACAAAGCCCCAGTGGCTGCGGTAAGCTTCAGGGGCTTTTAAGTTGATAGCCTGTTTAATTTGGTCTTAACATGCCTCCAGGTTAATTAGTACAGATGACAGTTGGTGTTATATTTAAAGCATTTTACAGTCATAGTTTTTTTTTTTTTTGCATTTAAAAAGTTAAAGCAACAAGCTATTTTAGATTGTTTTTTTAATGCTGTTCCCTCATAGCTATCTTATTTGGTGAATAAACTCCAGATGCCTGCGAATCAAAGTGCTTGTAACTAGTGCGTCAGTAAATCATAGGCCTTTTGTAAAGAAATAGTTTCTGTTCCTGATGGATTTTGTGTTCTTTTTTTTTCTTATTTTAAATAGTTTTGCCACTTTTCTCTCACTTGTAAAAGTCTTGACAACCTTAGAGAAAGGAACAGGTGTGTGAAATCTCATATTGCATATCTATATTTGCAGGTTTGTAAAAACCGAACAATTTGCTGAGTTTTTTCCTATTTTTTTTATTTTTTATTTTAAATGATAGACACTGATGCAGTCCCATTCAGAAGTTTATATACACCTATCATTAGTATGCTAATTAAACTACTGTTTCCTTGTTAAATTGCTTATGCAATTAACCTCATTAAACTTGGAAAATAAAAAAATTAGGGCAGAAGTATAATTTCAATGGTAGATGAGTAATAAGTGCTCAAAATTAAACTTACCGGCTTAAGTCATTTGTCCCACAGTAAATTGCACCTGAATCAAACACTTTTATGTTTTTCCCCAACATTTCCTTACATTAATCTGCCTCTATATAATCACTCATCCAGGTAGAAAGCTTTTAGAATAGTTCACAAAAAGTTTAGGTCAGGGCTTTCTAACAGTTTAATGTCAGGTTTTTCTAATCCAAGACCAGTTTTGGATTCTAACCCTGTTGGACTAGAGTTTTAACCAATTAGCTCCATTGCTTTGGACTAGATGGCTAAAAGCCCCATTGCTTGACTTTGCCACCACTGTGCTTAATAATTACTACAGTGTTCTTAGATTTTAAAACCCCCTAACATACTTGATCCCATTGAGGTACAAATGCATTATTGAAAGTCCAAAATAAATTAGATTAATGCCCATGATGAGTATATGTAAGCTGCTCTTGGAGAGACAGGAGCACTACGTATAAATTATTTTGCACTTTTCTTTATGCCTTATTAGTGTTCTTGGAAAGCTGTTGCCGTTCTATTTCGGTAATATAGAGCTTACATACAAGCAGCTTTGCTTACATTAATCTGCAGCATGACAGCAGCCTTGTTGATTAGATCTGTATGCTTCATGCACTGTATCCACTTTACATTCCCTTTGCAGCTCCCCCTCCCCCCAATTGATACCAACCAGCTTTAGGGCTTATCAGGTCTGGCTTGCATCAAAAAGGTCCCGTGAAGTGGTAAAAGTTGCAGGTTAATGTCTTCCAGTGAGTTCTTCTTTTGGTTCTTTTAGAATAAATAATTGGTTTGTCCATCGGGCTGAAGCCAACAGCTACAGTAACCTAAAGGGGCCAAGAACAAAAACGGCTTGAACAATTTTAAAACTTCAATGTCAAATGTAACTTTGCAGGTTAGAAAGTATTCACCTAAACTGCTAAGTTCAGCTATATCTACAATAGCCAGTGATTTACACACAGGTGATGGATATTTACATCAGACAAAGAAAGCAGGAGGTAGCTTGCATCCAGTAATGCTGTGGAAAACAAACCTGTTTCCGATGAAGATAACCTCCTAATATAAAATCTACTAGATTACATTTAGTACATCTACTACATTACTATTTACATTTACTAGATCATTATTGATACATTACCCCCCATCTCCATCTTCTCTGTCATCAATCACCTTTGGTAAAATATTTTGGACTAGATGCTTTTTGAGGTTAAAATTGTTCTTAAACCTTTAAAGTCTGCTTTTGGTTGGATTAGATGCAGCTCACTGAGAGATTAAATACTTACAAACTTAAAACAAAACCTCAACATTCAGATTTATCTTTTTTTCTTAAAACATATACATGGATGGATTATTAAACAAACATAAATCGGCTGTTATACTAATGGGACCATCTGCCTAATTGGCAAGTGCCAGTGGTGAAACTCTCCACAGTAAATGCTAATATACATTTTTTATTTTTTTTGTTGATGTTAAAAACCCAGTAATCTGTGGATCCAGTTTACATCTCAGTGGTCTTCATGTTATGGTGTTTTGGTGCATTGATATTTATTGATTTGGATACTTCTATCTTTGTGAACAATTAAGCTTTACTTCAGATAATATTGACTCCTTTGGTAGACGCAGTGAAGTTTAGAAACCATAGATGTATAATAATGCTTCCCTCCTATTGTTTTAGCTTCACTTGTTTTGTATGCTTGTTTTAATTAAATGGGCTCCCAGGATGTAAGGATTTTATTACCTACACATTGGGAACCAGCAACCTTCTTTGACAGATCCGCTGCAGTAAATTACAGGATTAAATTAATTTTTTAGCTCCTTTAAAACTAGTTTTTCCTCTTGAGGTTAAAGTATTTCTCTCCAATCATTGCTACCTAATACTCTATTTTCCAAGATGTAATGCAGGATCGGATGAAAGACCACAGGCTATTTCACTGCTAGAACTTCACACTTATACTGTTTCTCATTTTTAAATAAAGTATTTGTTCCACTGCCGATTGCAAGATTGTATATTAGCATGAAAAGCAATTTTATTAATTTAATTTTTTTTTATCTTCAAGCTTTTTATTTCTGTTTGTATTTATTTTTGTGCACTTTGTTACCATAGTTATGAAGATTATCACGTTTAACACTGACATGCTGAATAATAGGCAGTTAAATAGACCAATATTTACATAATGATGACCATTTGTGAAACATTACTTGTTATAACTGTTCTTTTTATTTCTATAATGCTTTTTTATAAGGTTTGCTACTTAAAAGGAATACTATTATGGTATTCTGTAAACTTGTTTTGCACCATTGGCTTTTACTGGTTGGTGATTGCTTGTTAACAGCTAACTGTTTTTATTTCTCTCCATATGATTAAAGTGATATGTGTGCTAATAAAAACCAACACATTGAGTGGTATGTAAAACAACCGTTCCTGGGAAAAATAATATTTCTTCCTTTCAATTTAATTATGTTAAATAGTTACTGGGTGCATGTATTTATTAAATATGGAATGTCTGTTTTCTTGGATTTAGAAATGTAGCCAAACTTATTTGGTGCAAAAGCATATTTTCAGTAGTAAAAAATTTTGCATTTTGTGGCATTTTAAGAATTTCAAATATTTGAAGGATGTTTGCTTTTGGATTAAATTATGAAGGGAGAAGAAAAATAGTATTTTCTTTGTGTTTCATGATTTTCTGCATTTAGAGCAGCAATAAGTTTTCATTTTGGATCGCTCTTTGAAGATTTCAATACAGGCTGATTTTTCGTTTCTTTGGCTTTGCTTTTGCTTGTAGATATTTCGAACAACATGACTATGTTAAAATCAGAAATACTCCAACCTTACATGGAAACCCTGTTGCTTGGTTTAAAAAAAAAATATTTAAACTGGATTATTCAGTACTCTAAAACTGCAGAATCTGAAATACTGATGTAAACCTAATTGTTTTTTAAATAAATGCATATCGAAAAGATCGATTGAAATACAGTCAAGCCAGTGTTGTATGTTTTTATCATTTTTACTAAATTTAATATCATTGACAATTAAAATGTCACTTGAGAGCTTTAGTAAGAAATTTATGATTCGACCTATTCTTTTTAAAGTATTTGCTTTTGTTGGAAAAAGATACAATTCAATGTGCTATTTGTCTCCTTCAGCAGCGTAAACCGTCCCTATGAATATTACCGTTGAAACTGAAATCTGTAGTTCATTAAGTGGCTCATATCTAATTACTCTCTTCCAGCTTAATCAAAACTTTTCTTAGACTAAATTATAGCTTGTATTTTTTTTCTTGCATAGTTTATCAATTTCAAAACTTAAACAAGTAAAAAGAAACAAAAAAACGGTTCAATAATTTCTGTTTTTGGTGGGAATAGGTCAAGACACCGCAACAGTTATTCCCTCTCAGGATTTCTAATGTGATTAATTAATGAGCAACCACAAGGGTAAGTGCGTAATAACTATTTAATGTACAGTTCAGAGTTAAAATCACATATCTACAGTAAAATACACATCGTGTATATAGAGCCAGATGAAACAACTCTGGATCTCCAGATGTTTGTGTCTGAATGCCAGGGGGGTTAGAAAGAAATTACCTGTAAGAATTAGACTTAAAGGCACATTTTAGCTTTACTTTATCTATATAACCTTTGCTAAAACAGCTAAACAGATCTTTATGTGTATTACTGGCAAACAGATTTCATAAAGATGTGGAGAAAACCATTTGTGATTCATCTGACTCCAGAAATACACCTTGGACAATACAAAGTGAACAGCATAGCTATCGTTACATTGATAGGTCTGATATATTAGGAATACATTATGATCATGCAAGGGGAAAAAAATTATTTTGCTTTAAAATATTAGCATAAATTAGCTATGTGTAAATATTTTTATTTTGAATATAGCTATGCAGTAAATATCAATTTCATGAAGTTTATTGATAGTTTCTGCCAGCTCAGGTACACTCTGCAGTTCTACACGTAATAAGGCAGGGGTTGGGGATAGAGGTAAAGACCTGGAACATTCTATCAAAGCCCTCTCCTCCACAGTATACAGTAACAATGGGTCTGATTTTTTACACTAACCTCCACCATAAACCCATCACATCAATGCAGCATCACCAGAGCAGCATCATAGTGTAACAAGAAGTGGCACCTCCATGCATCTCATGTGGATGATGATGGTTTTTTCTACATACAACGGCCACCCTCATACATTTATGTAGCAGTGGGCAGCTTTGTTGTTTACAACCATTTATGGTGTTTACACAGATTTATCTCAATACTTCAGGACGCAAAACTGAAAAAATGTATTTCAGCTATTCAGTTTAAACAGTGAAACTGGCCTATTAAACAGAGGTAATACCCACACACTTCTGGTAACCTTGGTGATTATGGCTTTTAGCTAATGAAAATACAAAATTCATTGTTTAGTGAAATTAGGATATGCATTACAAGACCGATAAAAAGGATGTTTAATACTGAAATGTTATTCACATATATCCATGTGCAGCGCAGCTAACATGTTATGAAGGCATTAACTGCTTTTATAGATGCATATTCAGCTGGTATGCATTTAGGTCGGTCCTGTTTGTTGGCTAATTAAGCACAGTTACATCCTGACCACCATTGATACTTAAAGCAGTACGGGAAGGTGCCAAGTCCATCTGGAAAATAAATATCTCCTTCACTTGTGTCAGCAAAGGGAGGCATGAAATGCTATAAAATGTCCAAATTGTTGGCTGTGCTGATGTGGAACTAAATTCCTAAATCAGCACTAGCTTTATGAAACTTCTGTTGGACCTCAAAAAGCTCAGATTCTGGGCCTACTCACTCCTCTTTAGATTCTGGGACACTTATTGACAACTTAAGTGGAAATTGGATCACTGTGCACAAATCAAGTCCTTTTTTTTTCTCCCTCAGTCCAGGTAAAACACTTTGGACATTGTCCCTACTGCAGCAGAGGCCTAAAAAATTGACCACAAGCAATCCTCCCTGTTGCTTGTGTATCTTCTCACAAACTCTTTCTTTTCACTGAACTTTGAAAGAAATGCTTGGATACAGCTTCTGCAGAAATAAACCTGTAGCTCACCCTCTGTTTTGAGGGTGAACAACTCCCAACGCAACAGACTGTGTAGACCATAACATATTGATTTTAATAAAAAATATCTTAATGGAATCAGTTAAATTTAGGTTTAAATAAGCTTTCCTTGGTGCATGGAAATGCAGAAATAAATTAACAGACATTCTAAATGTATAACATGTATCTATATGTATATAACTCATATCCAAAATCCCTTTTACACCATTCTCAAAATTACATCTCCTTTATTGCTTTTAAGGCAACACCAATTCTCCTTTCTTGTCCTGAAAAAATTAAGATCTCTTAAAAGTCTGCCTTAAGGTGGCTCCGTTCTCATTCCTGTTGTCAGAGCCAAGGGCACATCATGTTTAACAGTGTGTGTCATTTGAAATTCGAGCCACACAAGGCTGTCGGAATCAGAGGCATCCCATCGTTGGCTTGCGAGCGATGGCTAATTTCCAAGGGTTTGTGCTTCACATCAACAGTCATCTAATACACATACTACACGGTAATAAAGCTACGTACAGTGGTTTCAACACCATGATATCAAACTGTGTCACAATTAAAAACTTAAATGCTGGTTTGAGACATTTGTTTTAGTTCTTACAGATCTGATATTTTAGACACACGGACTTGAATAACATTGGAAAAGAGGAAGAAGCATGACACCGAGATAAGAACAAGAGTTATGAACATAAATACTGATGGGTAAATATAGTTTATTATACTGGATCATTTGTACATCACAAACTGTTATTTGTGACTTATTACATATTCTGGGATAATAATATTAAAGTTTGTATACAGTGGTCAAATTGTACAATGAGGCTCTTATATGTCAACCAAACTGAGTAGTGCTGCAGAGCATGGGTCTGATGCCTTTGAAAAGATTCAGAAATACAAATTACTTCTATTAATGAATAAATGAAGAAAGATGTTCTTTATCTATCTGTATATAAATATTAATACGCAATGTTTTACATGAGTATCTGTGATTTTTCTTTTTTTTTTTTGTTGCATTTAACTGCAGGTATTTACAAGTTTAGGAATGTCACCAGTCTCTTTAAAATCTTCTTAGTGAATAAATTACTATCGCAGGGATTGTGCTGATGAGTACCTTTAAGAAACTCTGATGGAAGAACATTTTAAAGACGAAGGGTAACAGCAAGTCTTACTTATTCTGTCCAAGTCAAATCAAAGACAACTTTATGAAAAATACTCCCCCCCCCCCAAATAGATAAAAATGTCAACAAATTGTCTTTATTCTTCTCACCACACTAGTGGTATCACTTCAGTTGGTATTATTCATCAAGCTCAACCTTCTAGAACGGGGTCTTCAATTTCAGTCCTCAAAGCCGTGCCTCTGCTTTAACACGCTTGAATCAAGAGGCTTCAGTACCTGCTAAACATGCAGCAAAGATCTCCAGAATTCTGCTAATGACCTGATTTTTTGATACAGATTAGTTGAAGCAAGATGAATCTAAAGGTGCAGGTCACCATCAACCTGGCAGTCGCCAGATTGATATGTGTAGAACTGAATTGAGTTATTCTATCATTTTGCTTTCTGAGGCTGAACACTCAGATCTTGCGACAATCCAGCTTGTAGCGCAAGGTTAGGTCACCAGACCTCCAGGAATGGAATTAAAGACCCCTGTCCTACAACATGAGGGCTCATTATCATCCATTTAAACTTCAAATTACAAGATTTGTGTAAAGGCTTTGTTTTCAAATCTGGAATGGAAGTTTATGGTTCACTGTCTCTTCACTACTATTGTATGTGGATGAGGTGTCCCCTAGCATGGATTTAGCTTGTTCATAATGAAAGATTTCAATTTTCCTCTACCTTTTGCCATTTATGTATTAAAAGATGAAACAACTATTGCAGGCTAGTGTAAAAAATAATCCAACCACCATATAGTTTTTTGGCTCAAAGAGACATTTTTAGCTTTTTTAATAATAAAAAATCTTTAAAGGAGAAAGAAAGAAAGAAAGAAAGGAGAAAGAAACATTCTAACTAGATTTCATTAAATTCCAAGGCATTTTCCCCCCAAAAAAACCAAAACAACAACAAAGAAAGAAAAATAAATTAAGTGTAAAATGTTTTGTCATTTGTCTATTTTCACATGCAAAGTCTAGACTTGATATCTACTGCTACTGTCAATAATCCAATTCTTCCAAGTCACAAAGAACATAGATGTAGAGGGCTGTCTTATTCCTTTCTTAGCGATATTTCATATCATCATGATGTTTCAGTGGTGCATGAAACTATTTGGCTTGAATAAAGCTGTAAAATCACCTCCTTACTTCTCTGTTACCGTAGTGATAGTAATTTGATCTCCAGCCAAGCCAGACAGCCATAGACTTTTTTTTTAAGTTATACATTTCTGACAGATGACTCAATTAAGAGAAGCAGGCATATGGTTCAGACTCACCACTGCTACAAAATCTATGGAAATTCTCATAAAATGTTGTAATTATATAATAATATGATTTGTTCTCCTGCTATGTTTTTCAAATGCTCTGTTTGCAATGAAAATAATTACTCATATCTGCCTGCTTCCCGTTGAGAGAGAACCTCTGCATGTCAGTCCAACCTGATTTTAGATTAGTTCAGCTCAATATTATTGGACTATTTGGGGGCAATTTTAGTTCAGGGAGTAGAGATATCAAAAGATAAAATAACTCACATTTTAAAATCTGCTTCTGAGGAAAGATCTGCAAAGGATCAAATAATTTTAGGGAATTGAATGTAGGTATCTGACTTTGTAAAGATTTAGCTTTTTTTCATTGCTGCATTATTCTTGTTGCGTAATAGTAATTCAATTACAAATTCAGTATGTGCTTTTAATATTTTATGATAAACAGCTTGCCATACTGTGTTATTTCAACTGATAAATGGTTTTCACCCATCAAAATGGAAGGGAACTTTAAAAAAAGGGCAAACAACTAACAGAAAACTAAAATGACCTAAAGATAAAATCCACTCCCTTTTTTAATGATAAAATTCTAAAAATAAAATGACTGAAGGCAACAAAACAATTGTTCCTCAGTCTGTCACTTGGCAAACGGCAAATAATACTTTATGCTTTTGCATATGTACAAATAATGAAGTTCCTGCTCATTTTTAAAGTCAAGTACACATAGCTGTCTAATTAATGAGACAATCCACAGTGTCACTGTGGGAAAAGGCAACATTAAGCACGAGTGTTTTCATTCAGGTCTGAAAAGCTTTCAACCAACAATCAGTTAAAAGAAAAGCATTGGTTGTATGTTGGGAAATATACCACTGTGAAAATAAACATTACTGCACATACCAGTCCCTATTTTTACCGTTTTTGTTCTGAATTGATTAATGCAAGGCAATACTTGAATGGAGCTGTCACAAAACTCAACTTTTTCAGACAGATTTGTCAGTGTGGATCGTTAGAACTTCAGTGACAGAAGCTAAGCTACAAAATGATACACGGATAAAATGAACATTTATGCCCTTCGCATGGGTGTTAAACCTGAGTTCTGTTCTGGAAGTGGTCTCTTTTTGTGTACATGTGTGTTTTGATGATATTCTATTTCTATCAAACTGATTTTTAGCATACACGTAATGCTTATCCTTTGAATACACAAATATTTTCACAGTTTGCCGTCAAGTCTCAAGATGTGCCACAGCCTGAGCGTTGTGTCATCAACAAGCAAATTCTTCAAAGTTGCCTAAAGTCGGGTGACGAGGTAACATGTTCGGCGTGAATCCGAGACTGTCCGAGTGACTCCGGAGGGTGTCGCATGTGCTCTGCAGAAAGGAGTAAAAAAAAAAAACAAAGGCAGGAAAGGAAAGAAGGGAAGACAAGTTTAACCAGGTTAGGGTGGAAGAGATGGCAAAAGAGGAGGAAGCAAATAAATAGATCGAATCAGAGGATAAGTTGGACAAAAGTCGGAAAGTTGGAAGAAAAACAACAATTTGATGAGGAGAAGTTATCCCAAAACAGAAAAAGAAAAGCCAGATGATAAGAAATTGAGACATAGAAAAAGGGGAGCATATTTAATTGAAGATGACGAATGACAGAAACATATATAAAAAATATAAAGGTAATGAGTTTCGAGAATTTGTTTAAATTTTGGGGAAAAGATATCAAAGGGTGGTGGGGTTAAATTAATGAAAGCAGGGAGAGGGGAAAGAAAACATAATATTTTTAGTCATGTTTATGCAGAAACAATTACAACTCTAAAACATTAAGAATTTAAAACAACATACAGCATTAACAGTGCAGAGGATCAAAAGATTGAAAGTCATTTCAGTAAATCAGGATCTTACAAAAATCTCATAATTTTTCATAAATAATTTAAAAGGTGAAACACAGTTCATACACAGACGTATTACTGCATATGATATATTTGAAGTATTTAAGTCTATAAATTTTGATGAATTTGGCTTAACCTAAAAATTACCCTGCTTCCCTTCTCTTTGAAAATTATACTTAAAAAACCAATTCATAACTCATAAAACCAATTTTAAGAAAATGTTTTTAATAATTCAATCTCTGAAAAGTAGGTCCATGTACCGAATATGCACTCAAAACTTAGGGCGCCTTTCTTAAAAATGACTAAATCAGTGCTGTGGCATAAAGGTGAGTAGCCTCTGGAAGCAGCCTTCATCTCACCTACATCGTTGGCTCTGTAGTATCTCATCATCTTGACAGTCAGCCATAGATTTTCTCTATGGGTTTAGGTCAGGCAAGCTTGGTAATTAGCCCTGATTTCAAATAAAACAAACATTTGTTTTATCTCAAGATGACTTTGGAGCACAGATTTAGAGTCCAGCTCTTTTTCTCTTGGATACAGACAAGCTGCTTTTGATGTTTTTTTTTTTATTCTGAAGGGTAAAAACACAGTCAGCCCATCCCTTGGATAAGTCTGTGTTAAGTCTGGTTGCTCTGATTACACTGACCAAAGCCACAGTTCGTACGTTAAAAATCTCTCCCAAACTACTGCCTCTCAATCCCCCACATATCAAAGAATACCTGTTTCTTTTTACCATCTTCCATTCATTAGCCTTTATCATAATCATATAAAAAATAATGTGTCAACAAAATTTTCTTATTGAATCGATTTTTGTCTTATCCAAATTTCCTATTCTAAAAAGAAGAAATCCTGATTTTTGGGGTTGTAGAAGCTGGGAACTATAATCATTATAATTAAGAGACTGGCATGCTTGAAATCTATTCGCAATCAATCTGCATAATCAAACCTTTTTTGAATTACTGCAGTAAATTAGGCTGTTAGTGATATTCTAATTTCTTTTAACTGTATATAAGCCTGAAGAATATTATTCCAGCAACCACCATTTTTTTTTTTTTGGCAAACTCACTGCATGTAAACCACATCACAAACTATAATGATGACCTAGTGACGAAGTCTGGTGGAATGCTGAAATACATGGCTGCAGAATGGAGCTCTGCACAGCAGGGAGACAAATAGATCTAGAGTTTTATTTATTTATTTATTTAGTGTTGTTTTGTACAGCCAAGCAAATTCAAAGATAAGTTTTCACAGGAGCGGTGCACTACTGTATAACCATAGGGGAGGGGGGTCATAATCCAGTGGATAGGACAGATGTAGAGAATAAAACTGAAACGCACTCGGAGAATCCAACCAACTCTAGTCTCCTTTGAACCTGAAATACACACTCATGACTGACCTTTCCTGAAATTGCAGTAAATATCTAAATGCTCGCTGGAGCAGGTTAATCACCCCTCTTTTGTTGACAGCCAACCAATTCTTTTGTGACCTCCGATGTAAAGCATGGATCTCAAGGATGAATGAAATAGAGGGACAGCATGGGAGGGAGCATCTGTTATCAATGGGGTGTGCTACCTGGGGGCATGATTAGGCGTGACACCAGGGCTGGTTGGGTTCTCTGGAAACTCCTGGAATAGACATGGTGAAAAGAAAGATGGGTGAGGGTGACTGAAATGAAAATAAATAAAGAAAAAACATGTAAATTTAAAGTAAACTTTTGAGGAGAAATGCATTATGTAAAGGGTCTCCAAAAATGAATTTATTTTCTTTTTATTTATGAGCAGGGGAAGCAATGATTAGATACTGACATCCAGATGTGAGATGATCAGTTAGGGAATGAATGTTCAGATTTAAACAAACTGCAAATAAATAACTTTCTGTTCAGGTAATGTAAGGAATGATATGACAATGGAGTTGTAAAAGCAGAAGCAGAGCAAAATGTCTGGACACCCCCTCGGTCCAAATTTTGTTACACAAAAAAATGTGATGGTTAAATGTTAAAGCTTAAAGGTTAACATGTGACATATAAGCCTTGCAAAAGACCTAAAATTCTTGGCTTTTTTAACATTTCATCAAGTTACAACCACAAATTTTACCACAAATGGTTGGGATTATATTAAAAAAAAAAGTAAAACAGTAGTTCATAACAAAGCAAAACTCTAAAAAGGGTTGCATGTGTTTGTAATTGACCCCTTTTACTATATTCCCAAAATTAAAATCCAGTACAGTACAGTACAGTATTGTGAACAAACCTAAATAATACTTAATCATCCGGCCACATAAGGCTAAGTTTTTGCTCATTTAAATGTGATTCTAAAAAATAAATGAATATTCCATAAGGGAAATAAGATTGAACTCTTATAGGGATTTATTCAATAAACTGTTGTGGATGTTAATATGATGGTGAAGGCATTTTGCAGTGAGAATGATTCTCTTTGTTTGGTGGCAGGGAGACATTTCAGAACACATGTAAATGAGGTAACTAGTCTATACAGAGAGTACACCTGTTTTTTCTCCAGCTCCGTCTTCCCACACGCCCAGATGGTCACAGCAGATGAGCTCTCACACTGAGCTTGGTCAAGATGAATGTTTCAATCTTTTGAAAGAAGTTTGTTCTCTTTTTCATTTTACTGTAAACAGATGCCTGTTCAAAAAAATTGATTAATGCTGTTTGTTGTGATCAGCCAGGCTTCTGTAATAGGAAAATGTTTAATCAATTGGCCTAATAAGCTAAATTTCACTGCATCATGTTACAACTTAGAACAAATTGGAACCATCAATCTGATTACTGTGATTTAACTCTTTAATTCTGAAAATAAACTAGATCAGTTTGTCTTGTAAATTGTGTTGATATGATACTGTTTAGAATTGATCCTGTACTAACTGTCTGAGATCAACTAAATTGTTCAAAGATGCTTTGCTTCCAATATGATTGATCTTAAAGGGGCACATTCCAGCTATATGACTTTCCAAATGTATATTCTAATAGCTCACTCTGCCATACAAAGTTGCTGTATTCATTGTTACGTTTGTGTTTTGTTTTTTGTCCAGTTTTTTAGTAGACAAAGTCCTTCTATGTGTGTTCACAATAACAACACCACATAACTGATGATACAACATTGTGCATGCATAATATTGGTAAACAAGTCAAAGCATAGCAATGAAATTCCTAGTGGAGGTGTGAACGTAATTAAGGAAAGTCTGAGATCCTGTGTGAATCTCAGACTAAAAAATAAATAAAAAAAATTTAGGCATGATAAAACATGAATAGCGCTTGGAATACAATACAAATGTTGACGTTCCCTGAAATGTGAGCTAAAGCTAAAGAGGCATTCAGATGCCACTTTGAAGTTAAAGGTTTGAATATCCTTAATAGTCTCTTAGCTGTATTGACTAAAGTGTTTACATGATATTTAATTTGTTCGATGTCTTCATTGAACATGTTTCCTATTCAATTTGATTGACTGCCATAAACATAGCAGGGGAGCAGATTTCTGTCACTGCTTCTAGAATACAGATCAGATCAAATTTAGGTTTCAACAACAATACACATACCAGAGAGCTTTTTTATGTGCATTTATTCCAATGAAAATGTTTATCCTATCTTGTTTTTATTGATTTATTAAAATAGGCCTTAATGTTTTTTTTTCCCTGTTTGTTCTTGGTAAATTTTCTTTTTCCTGAATGTTATACTAGGAGGCTCTATGGAGGATTCACTAGAGCTTGGAGTTGCCGTCAGCATGGGTTTGTGTAAGATAACAGAGCTGTCACTGTCCCACAAGGCATCGCAGGACGGTTCTATCAAGTAGCTTGCCTAATTCCAGGGTAGTGCCGGCAGACGGCACACATGTCTTTTTATAGCCCCGGTTACACTATGCTCTGAAAACCGATCCGTGCCGAGCTTGGATCAGTTAACAGTGCCAAGCTTGGTTCCTTACAACCAAAAAAATAAAAACTGGCTCGTCCACATTTTTACTAAGAGATCCAATAAATTTAGACTTAAACAACTGCCTTCTTAACTATTCTGGCTTATACCAGATGTATACAGTATCTCTACACTGTTGAGAAATAAAAACATCTATGATAAATCATTTCAGTGCTCAAGGTGCCCAAGCATGGACAAGCTAAAATCATCCTGCAGTGAACAGAAAAAATAGTTGGTTACAACTTATTTTCTGTGCCATCGTTCTGGATTCCCATGTCTTACAAACATTACACTGTTTGCATTTGGAGTATTTGCAGAAAAACAAACACCTGGGAGATACAATTAACTCAAAGTAAACAAACATGCTACATGTAAATACAATTTGATGAAATGTCCTTAATTATAATTACACAAAAGTATGAACAGTTCTGCAGAACATCTTTGCAGAGTGAATTAGATAAAATTGAGACATTTTAATGATGGTATGGTCTGCTTTGGTCTCTGCCCATATTAAAGGTATAGAGGACGACTGTTTATTTTTACCACCTATGTCTAGGTGGTGTCCTGAAAACAACGTGGGCTACATTAATAACTGGCAATCCTTTTGGGGAAAGCCTGGTCTGATTCGGAGAGATGGCATCCATGCCACTTTGGATGGTGCAGCTCTTCTTTCTAGGAATCTGCACAAATTTGTTAGTCCTCCAAAACCCTGACAACCCAGGGTGCAGACCAGGAAGCAGAGTCTTAGTGTAAGACAACTCTCTGCAGCTTCTCTGTCCATTACTCCATCCAGACCGTGTCTTGCCCACGACCAAAATCAAATAAATACGAAAAGATTCCCAAAGGATTAAATCACGATAATTTACTTAAAATAAAAATAACTCCAGTTGGGAAAAAATGTAAACGATTAAATGTAGTTTATTTAACATAAGATTTCTTTCTTTAAAAAGTCTGCTAGGTAATGACTAGATTTGTGAAATCACATTGATTTATTTTGCCTTACAGAAACTTGGTTGCAGCAAGAGGATTATGTGAGCATAAATGAGGCAACTCATTCTAGTTATTTAAATTTTCACATTCTAAGAGATGGGAATCATCTGGGCAAGGAGGAGGAGTAGCAACAATCTTTCAGTCTGACTTACTGATTACTCCAAAGGCAGTTAATACTTACAACAATTTTTAACATTTAAGCCATAGTCTCTCTCATCCAAATTGCAAAGCCAGAAAACGTCTTTTTGCAACTTTGTAATGTCCACCAGGTCCTTACTCTGAAATGGAGCCTAGGCGGAAGTTTAACTGAATAAACTGATTACTCGCCTTCACCAGATAATCAGCTTTGAACCACACAACAAAGTCCAATCAGCATCCAGAGTTCATCTTAAAAGGTCTCCAAACATTTCTCTGTGTTTCAGCCATCAACAGTTAGTTAGCTCTCTCTGTGTTCAGCTTGCTGACACTGATTCAGGTGAGATGTATTGCTTCAAGGCTCCAGTGTTTCCTCATTCATCGCTTCAGGTCTCTCCTCTATCAAAACAGCAAATCTCATGCACATGCTTCTCCAGCCCACAGCTTCTCATCGGTAATTAAGTTCAATCCTCTGATCTTTGCTTTTCAATGTCCCCAGCCGGTTCTTACACACTTTCTCTGTTAAGTATGTCATGGTGATTTATTAGCAGATGGTGCGCTGCTTTTAATGGATGAATCAACGTTGTTCCTACATTTCTTTCAGTCTGATTTGATTTCAATAACAATTCATGCTTGTCACCCCCATTCCAAATATACGGTAAGTCTGAATTTAGAAACCAAAGTTATTGTGGTTATAAAGCAGGTAAGATGTTTTCTATTGTCACTGACTTTAATGAAATCATTTGAACCTAATATTTCAAATATATTTAAATCTAATGCTTTGGTCTAACTGCATGAACTCGCCCAGTCAATCAAGCAAACACTGGTTATGCAAATATTAAATCTCAAGTTACTAGAACCCGAATTCCTTAATTGAACTCACATCAGTGTGTCAAATCCATTAACAATTTTTATTTTACCAGGCTAAAATGGATCAAATAAAAATAATCAGTTGGGTAAACATTTACAACTGTGCTGTCTTTAAAAAATAATAATGATAAAAAAGTCTTGCATTTAGGCATTACTTATTACGTAACATATAATCAAGTCTTAGCATCACTTTCTTGCATAGACTGGGTGAGCTTTCAAGTGGATTTCCCATCACTCTAAATGATGCTTGCAGCCTTCTCTTTACAGAGGTATATCTGCTTATCCTCTCTGTCGGCGCAGTCGAGGTAGAGATATTATTGATATTGGTATTGATCCCCTAGCAGACACTCAACATTTATCATCTTTAAACTAAATCATGGGTCCTTTTTAAGCCTTGTGGAGTCATTGCAGATTTTCTTTTTTGGGAGTTGATCATGTTTTACTGTTGTTTAATGTCTAAGGCTTGCAAATGTGAATAATGCTCATTTGCCGCCTCGTCGAGGATAGGTTCAAGTTTCATGACCTGTAGGAAGCTAATTATGTGACTGCTGCATTTTTCATCTGGTTGGTGATTATGTGGCCCCTGCATTCATTAATCTATGCTTCTAGTATCACAGATCGTGATTAACATGAAATGCCTTAATGCCAGCATAGTCACAGGCATTATCACAGCACATCGTTTCTATCTGAATCTCTGCACCATGTTAG